GGGGGATTGAGAGTGCCAAAAACTCTCAAGAAAAGGTGAGGACAAGGGTTCCCATGGAAAAAAAAAATTGATTAATTAAAAATGCAGGTATGCATTATGGCACACAATTAAAGTCGATTTTTCTTTCAGACAATTTGGAAGGGGTCATTTCGAACGTCTGGTGGGAAGATGAGGTGCATCTCTAGCTCCGCTCCAGCCAAATATGACCTAAAATCATACACTTGAGGGTATACTTTTTGCCCTAGCTTAGAGTCGCCCTTTATTTCTTTATAATCCCCAGAATTAAAAAAAAATACATTTTAAATGCAAGAGTAGATTTTAGAACATATAAAAATTTAGTTTTGCATCCTTCTATACACTTAATCGGAGAGCAACGGGAGAGATCTATTGATGCATATGGTGAAGTGGAGGAGGGGCTTATTTAGCCAAAATCGACATTGGATGGGAGCCAAAGTTAAATAAAATGTATCGTAATTTTTGGTTCAAGGCATGCATTTTTCTCTCAAATTCTTCATCTTTGAACAAGAACCTTCTTCTTGTATTCTCAACATAGTCCAAAATTTCTTAAGCAAAGAAATTGATTTTCAATCTAAACATGGTTCTATAAGTTTCTGCTCGTCAACTTTAAACCAGACATTGAAGAACTACCATAACGTTAAGCAGAACAGACATTGCATTAAGAGTAAATCACCCAACTTTGCAGATCTCATAAATAAAAAAAAATCACAGAATATAGCAAGTAAAGACATATAAATACAATTTTGACGAAAACAAACAAGTTATTAACTTATTATAAAGTGCAACACTTGGAAGCATAACTGAACTTCAGTATTACCTGCTGGTGTGGAAATTCATCGTCTGACATTAAACATTGATTAAATAGACTTATCAAGAAGCTAATAATTTCACATGATACTTCAGACATCTTGCGATTAAATTGTTATAGTTGTAAAATGTTGTCTTAGTTAAAATACCCGATAACCTCGCTGAGTAGCACTTGAAGCCAATGAAAGATCCTTTTCAATACCAGAAACAGAAACATTGCGAAACCCCCTCTACATTACATAAATGTTGCATAGGAGTAGGTGCTATAATTATCCATACATTGATCGTGGGCCCTTAAGATATAGAAGAAGAAGAAAATACGTAGGCCTATTTATTTATGTGCTGAAAATGAAAATTCCATTAATTTGGATTAATAAAAAAATCTTATCCTAATTAAGTAACCTAATTTAACAGCAACTGTATAGAGTAGAGGGCCATGCAAACTTTTAAAATGAGAATCCTTATAAGAGGAGAAAAAAAGGGGCGAGGTGGGGGGGGGGAGCTTATGTTGAGTTAAATGGTCCCCTAGGGATGCGGATGGTTTCCCGAAAAAAAAATTGAGGACCACTGTTTTATAGAATAAAAAGCCGACCGTGGTCTTGCTTAAGAAACCCAAATTCGTATGCATCCTGAAACTTATTTCTAGTTTGAATAAGCAGGCCCTGATCTGTCCTCGTTAGTTAAGATTAGTTAGTTCTCACTCAGAGTTAAGATTAGTTAGTTCTCACTCAGAGCTAAGATTAGCTAGTTCTCACTCAGAGCTAAGATTAGTTAGTTCTCACTCAGAGCTAAGATTAGTTAGTTCTCACTCAGAGTTAAGATTAGCTGGCTACTTTTTTTATTTGGATTGATTTCCTTTTTTTTTTTTTTTTTTTTTTAAACTTTAACTTATCGAATACGAGAAGGCGATCCCTCCAAAATTATTTTCAATAATGTAATAGCTCGTTTTGTTTTTTTTTATAAACAAATTTGAAATTAAATTAAATATTTCTTTAATTTATTTTTTTTTGTTTTTTTTTTTTTTTGTTTTTTTTTTTTTTTTTTTTTTTTTTTTTTTTTTAAACTTTAACTTAGCGAATACGAGAAGGCGATCGCTCCAAAATTATTTTCAATAATGTAATAGCTCGTTTTGTCTGTTTATAGAAACAAAGTTGAAATTAAATTAAATATTTCTTTAATTTATTTAAAAAAAATTTAAGTACAAATGTATGTGGACCTTGTGGAAAGCATTAAATAATCCGCCGTCAAAACTGTGTGTTGCGAACACAACCAATGATCATCGAAGAGAAAGATCAAAGTTTACTTTTATTCACATTCTTGTATATCAATGCGCCGTGAATAAGACGAAATTTTAATGTTTAAAAACATTTAAATCAAAATAAATAAAATATTAGAGCAACAGTTCGTTATATCAATTCAAAATATGGATTGAAATTTACAAAGTCTTTGTATTGTAAAATTATGTTTTTATTAAGACAGAACATTCCCGGACTCTACTTACGAGTGTTAGGATATTCTCAAAAAGTGGGTTGGAAGTGACTAAACACGGAACACCCCAGGAGATGACTATTCCGATTTACTGAGTTCGATAATAAAACATGACATGAAACTTTTCTTACTCACCCCCGTTTCTGCTAAAAACTGCAGATACAAAGATCTTTATGGGAGTTCGCTGATACAAATGTGGAATATGCAGTCAAACGAGAAGATCTTCGCTAAGGCTCTTCGCACTACTCTCATTGTTTTGTTTATTCTTCAGTTGGTAAGTGATAGTTACTGGCTAATTAAGTCATTTAATTGTGCGAATAAGGCAGGAACAGAATCAATAATTCAATCAAAATTGATTAGAAATCATTTAACTAATACTAATATACTATTATTATACTTACCTTATTAAGTTTTGAAAATATAAAGTAGTTAAACTCAGGAGGAACAATAGACAATAAGAGACTATAGACCTAGAAGTCAACAAAAGTTGTCCAAAGTTTGTTTTGTATCGCAACATGACATTAGTATTAGTAGGTCCTATGCCTATACTATGGACCAGTATTGACCATGGACGAGATGGTTATAGTTATACCGTTATAGTTATATTATTTAAAATTTAAATAAAATAAAGAGACTCTTACTGAAGACTGAAGTAAATCATACTCATACTCTTATTATTCTATTAGTAATTAGTATTTAAGTAGTATTGACAGTATTGGTCTTATTTAGTTGTAGTTGTAGTATTTGAGTTTGACTGAATCACTGGGTGCCATTTAAATTTTAATATGAGTATGAGTAGGCCTAATTAAAGTCTTTTACTTTTAGGCTAGCATAGGCAAAATTATAATTTCCTTGACAAAATTTATTTTAATGAATGGTGCGCCTCCCCCCCCCCCCCCCTTTTTTTTTTTTTTCCATCCAATAAATTGCCAGGAACATCAGATGGTGACTCATTAATTTTAATTTTAGCATACTAAACTAAATTTAAAGAGGTGATCATTATTTAAGTGTTGTTAAATTGAAAATTCCAGTCGGCCCATGCTTATCCAGATGGAACTACATTAAAACACTTTACAGTTAATCCATCCATGTCTGTGGCACTACAACCGGGCCCTTGTAGGGCATTTGGCCTGCTTCCCCACTTCCTTCCATGTAACCTACTTGGGGCTTTTCTTTTCCATGTCTGAATTTCCAGCTGCTGTAGATCTTTTTCCACATCATCCATCCATCTAAGCCTAGGTCTGCCTTTGAGCCGTTTGTCTCTGGGGTTTTGGTGGTGCACCCACTTCACTCCTCTGTCATTTGGAGTTTTTTTTAAGTGTCCCGCCTAGAGAAGCCTGCCCTTGTTTTTGTCTGCTACTACTATGGGGTTCTGATATAGTCTATACAATTCCTGGTTGGTTCGTATTCTCCATTCAGAGGCGTAGCGTGGTGGGGGCAGGGGGGTACAGATGTCCCCGGGCGCGAGCTAGTTAGGGGCGCCAAAATATGCTTTGATATTATTTTATTGATGAAAATAATGGGTTTGAGAGTTGAAAAAAAGAAAAAGGGGCGCTAAAAATGGATCTTGTCCCCGGGCGCCAAACACCGTCGCTACGCCACTGTCTCCATCCATATTCATCCTTAGTTTGTTCTTATATTTTCCATGTTTAATAAGTTTTCTACTCTCTTCGTTTCACTTGTGTATTTTACAACTGGTATGATTACAGTTTTATATGTAGTTTTCTTTGTTTTTCTTGTAATGGTTTTTAATTTTTAGTATTTTGTGTTACTGAAGTATGCCCCGTTTCCTGCCAATATTCTTTCTTTTATTTCTATTAGTAATTCATTTCTTTCATTTATTAAGGATTCTAGAAATTTCAATTTATTTAATTATTCATAAGTGTGGTTTCTAATTTTAATTTTTTCATTTGTCTGTTCTTCTCTTAACATAGTCATGTTTTTTGGTTGTAAACGTCCAGTCCTGCTTTGAGTGATACATTGTCTAATTTAATAAAAGCTTGTGAAAGGCTTTTTCTACTGTTTCCTTACCTGGCTATGTCTTCAGCATATTCAAAATACTGAAGGGGTTGGTTGTAGAGAGTGTCTATTGGTCGTTGGTCTTGGGTTGTCCCTTCAGAAAGTGTCCTGTGATTGTTTTTGAGTGTCAATATGTTTGCTTCTTATAACCCTAATGTTGGGTTATATAGCATACAAGACAGTGAGTCTCCTTGTCGTATGCCTCATCTAATCTGAAATTTCTTGAAGTCTCCCTGAACCTTGATTTTGCTTTTTGAGTTGTTTAATGTTATATGTATCAGTCATATTAGTTTTTTGGGTTTGCCAAACTCCAGCAGAGTCTTATATCGATATTTATTTTTGATTCTGTCATAGGCCATTTTATAGCCCACACAGAGTTGGTGTACGGTACTGGGGTGTTATATTCTTAACATTTTTCTAATAGACAAATGACAGTGAAAATAGTATCAGTCAATGTTCTGTTTTGTCAAAGTCCTCATTGGTAGTCGCCTAGTATATGTTCAGTGTACAGTTTTATTCTCATAGCAATTAGTTTTTTCAGTATTTTGTATGTAACATTTAAAAGGAACATTCCTTGTTGTTTGTGCATTGAAATTTGGAAACTTTTTTGTGTATTGGGGTTATAGTGCTGTTCCCATTCTGTTTGAATTTTCTCTTCTTGCCAAATTGTATTTATAAGTTATGTGTATGAGTGTGTTTTTCTGTTTCTCCATATTTAATCAGTTCTGCTGTGATGAGGTCTTCTCCAGTTGTTTTTCATAGACTTTATTACTTCTGTAGTTTCTTCCAAATTTGGGGAGTTTATGAAAGGGTTTGGTCCTCCATGTCCATGTGGAGGTTGATCATCTTCATCTTGTCCACTGTCTGCATTTAGTATGCCCTCAAAATATTCAGCCTACCTGTCCAGTACTTTACTATTTTTGGTAAATAATTCACCAGCATTGATCTCATGCATTTGATGTTATCTATTATTGAAGTCTTTTATTTATGTACCGGGTACATTTATATTTCTCTCCCTTGATCGGTATTCTATTTCTTTTAATATAGCTTTTTTTTTCCATTCCCTTTCCTTCTTCCAGTACATTTTTGTGTTGTTTCTCGTTTCATTGTATATTTGTCTCGTCTTTCTGGTTTCCCTTTGTATCATGGTCATTCATGCATTGAACCTTTCTTTGACAGTCTCTCTGCATCCATTATCAAACCAGCCTACTCTATTGTTAGTTAGCGGTAATCCTACTACTTTTTCTGTTGATCCTTTCCTAGCATTTTTTATCCTAAACCACTGTTCATTTGTTTTTTTCCCCTGTTTATATTCGCCTGTAATGCTTCTAGTTATGCTTGTACTTTATTTTGGTAAGCTATTGCGGTTAGTGGGTCTTTGGTAAGCTTTTGGTAATCATATACTGGTAGTTCTCTTTTGACTTTGGCTGTTATGTATTATGCTTATTCTCTGCTTATATTTAACTATTTAACCCTTATAAGTAGATGGTCAGAGTCTGCATCTGCTCCTTGATAGCTACTTACATCTGATCCATACCTATTGTTGATTAGAACGGGGTCAATTTGGTTGTGAGTGATTCGATATGATGATCGCTATTTTAATTTCATGTTGTGGTACCTCCCCGTAGATCTTTTCCAGCATCTCATTAAAGGATTCTTTTATCTGACCTTCTGTATCTTCAGTGGGAGCATGAATATTTATAAATGCTTTATTAAATATTTTTCCCTCATATACAAAGAATACAGTTTTTTTAATTCTCTGGTTTAAAACCTATGACTGCAATGATGACTTCTCTCTTCACTGCAAGTCCAATTCTAAGAGTGTTAGTGTTGTTGCCACTATACAATATGGTGTAGTCTTTTGTTTTCAGGATGTGGGAATTTTTTCAATTGAATTTCTTGGAATGCAGCAATAGAGATTTTATAATAAATTAGTTGATCTATTAGTTGGCTAAGGCTCCTGCTCTAAACATGCTTAGTACATTCCAGGTGGCAATAAAAAAAATTATGTCCATATCCAGGCATATTGTTGATTTCTATTAGAATCAGTCTGGGTTTTATATTGTTTGTCTTTTGTAACGATTGTCTTTACATGGCCGGGTTGGTAGCCCTGCACACTACCGTCTGAGGGTCTGCCTCTTACCGCTCTCTTGGTAGCTGCCTTAATTTTGGGGTAAAGTTCCCTAGCCTTCGTAGATGCCTCCACTTCCTACAAGGCAGTAGGTTCTGATTTTGGTCCGCATCGGGTATTTTATTTCCCCAGTACCCACCATATCTGGTGGGCTTTTCCCTATCCACCACCTGGTGAAGTGCTCTATGCAAGATCAGTATTTACGCAAACGTTAGAAAAAGTATTTATTTATTTTTCAAATAGTTTGTCTTATATTTTCGTTGATATTAAAAAGGATTCTTAGTTTTTCATTTATACCACAATGGCGCTGTTAATAACAAAAGATGCATGTACTTTTTTGATCTCTTCCATTTATTTAACAGTTTATATTTTGTGACAAAAAGACAATATTTGATTTATAAGTCTGTTTAATAACGAAACAAGTTGATTATTGACAAAGAATAAATTCAACCATGAAACAAAAAAATGTGTTTACATTAGCATTTAATTTAATACGCTAAAATAAGAGATCACCCCATCACATGAAACCAAATTATTTATTTTCAGTATTTTTTAAATTATTTTTTCCATTGAATAAATATGTTCTATCTTTTTATACAGTTAAGCACAGTCGAAAGACAAATCTTCGATTTCCTGGGTTACATGTGGGCACCTATCATTGGCAACTTCTTTCAGATAATTGTTGTCATCCTTGGCATTTTTGGAGCATGTAATTTTTACAGGTCTTTTATTGTTGTGGTAAGTATTAGGGTTAGAGTATTTTTCTACAGGCTTACGTAACTATATCTGAGAAATAATCCATGCATTGGAATAATAGTGTATGTTCCTACACAAGCAACTTAAAAAAATTAGCAATGTACACATCAGCTTTCCAATGTGCCACTTGTGTGCTCTATGTATAACATAATTAATTGGATATCATTGTACCACTTGTGTGCTCAATGTGTGGCAAAATTGAGGTCACATTATAAAGAAACGGGAATTTGTTTTTAATGTTCTAATCCTTGAGATGATCCACTTTTCAGTATGCAACTTGGAACTTGTTGTGGCTCGGTTGGAATATATTTGTCATCTGCCTCTATTTGGAAGTTGGAATATTGAATAGGGTAAGTAAGAACAGCAAAATAATGAATTCTAAACGGTAAAATAAAGAACTCTTACACTGTAAAATAAAGAACTCTAAACGGTAAAATAAGGAAATCATTTACAGGAAAATAATGTCTCCTGTTTTTTTATATTACTTGTTGACAAACATTTCTATTCCAAATAATGGACACATCTCGACTCTTTAACAAAGCAACACATTCATCGACATTGGGCATTTACCTTACAATTTTATGTAGCATCCACGAATTTCACTTTTAAAACAAATAAAACTATAGACCGGTAGTATGAAACAAATAAAACTATAGACCGGTAGTGTGAAACAAATAAAACTATAGACCGGTAGTATGAAACAAATAAAACTATATACCGGTAGTATGAAGTAAAATTCCTTGATTTGAATATGTTTCAGAATTTGCGAGAGCTACATTTTATTTGACTATATTTCAGAATCGTGAGCGCTACATTTTGACAATAGGCACAGAGGGTAAGAGCTGGTGGCTGGAGCACGGCATTGGATGTGAGGTGACCAACTCTAGTTGGGACGATGGGGAGATGGACTCTGGCCGCAGAGTCCCACCTGAAGCCTATGTTGTTGGTTGTATTCTACAATATTACTATGTTGAAGTAATCCATGCGGCTGTGCAGTGCATTTTATCAGTAAGTCAGAGATTCATTCATTGATATATTTAAGATAATTAAATGGTGTACTTTTTTTGGTTGTCTATAGACAGGAAGTAGATGGACCTAACGGCCATCTTTGTTGTTCAAGATCACTTCTGTCTTATTGATTTGAATCATAAAGGATGTTACAAGGCTACACTTGGATACCACAAGGGTGTTACCAGGCTACACTTGGATACCACAAGGGTGTTACCAGGCTACACTTGGATACCACAAGGGTGTTACCAGGCTACACTTAGTTACCACAATGATATTACCAGGCTACACTTAGTTACCACAAGGGTGTTACCAGGCTACACTTAGTTACCACAAGGGTGTTACCAGGCTACACTTAGTTACCACAAGGGTGTTACCAGGCTACACTTAGATACCACAAGGGTGTTACCAGGCTACACTTAGTTACCACAAGGGTGTTATCAGGCTACACTTAGTTACTACAAGGGTGTTACCAGGCTACACTTGGTTACCACAACAGTGTTACCAGGCTACACTTAGTTACCACAAAGATGTTACCAGGCTACACCTGTATACCATCTAGGGTGTTATCAGGCAACACCTGTATACCAACAGGGGTGTTGTCAGGCTACACCTGTATACCAACAGGGGTGTTGTCAGGCTACACCTGTATACCAACAGGGGTGTTGTCAGGCTACACCTGTATACCAACAGGGGTGTTGTCAGGCTACACCTGTACACCATCTAGGGTGTTGTCAGGCTACACCTGTACACCATCAAGGGTGTTGTTAGGTTACATTCAGGGTGGTCTTAAGCTATAATGAATTGGTTGTTTGCATAGTCCTTGTTGAACTTTGGTGGTTTTCACAAGTTCATTCAATATGATTTGACCACTGTGGGTAACTGAGTGATGGCTTAGTTTTCAACTTGATACTGGTAGTGTGTAGATAGTGATGTTCTGATTGGGTCCCCTTATTGCACAAGGAGGATTTATTTAACACTATAGAGTATACCTTTGATGTCAGCCAACATGTACTCTTAACTTAAAGAAATATAAGTACCTATTACCTATTTCGTGTACCTATTACTCATTGTGTGTACTTATTACTTATTTTATGTACCAGTTGCCTATTTTGTATTACTGTGCATCATTAAAAAGTAACTATAATCTATTTTGTAATGCAGTCCATAGCTTAAGTGTACAGATAACCTATTTTGGCATTGGTACAAAACTAAAGTGTCATAATCTATTTTGCATTGGTACTGAACTAAAGTGTCATAACCTATTTGGCATTGGTACAGAACTAAAGTGTCATAACCTATTTGGCATTGGTACAGAACTAAAGTGTCATAACCTATTTTGGCATTGGTACAAAACTAAAGTGTCATAATCTATTTTGCATTGGTACTGAACTAAAGTGTCATAACCTATTTGGCATTGGTACAGAACTAAAGTGTCGTAACCTATTTGGCATTGGTACAGAACTAAAGTGTCATAACCTATTTGGCATTGGTACAGAACTAAAGTGTCGTAACCTATTTGGCATTGGTACAGAACTAAAGTGTCGTAACCTATTTGGCATTGGTACAGAACTAAAGTGTCGTAACCTATTTGGCATTGGTACAGAACTAAAGTGTCATAACCTATTTGGCATTGGTACAGAACTAAAGTGTCGTAACCTATTTGGCATTGGTACAGAACTAAAGTGTCATAACCTATTTGGCATTGGTACAGAACTAAAGTGTCATAACCTATTTGGCATTGGTACAGAACTAAAGTGTCGTAACCTATTTGGCATTGGTACAGCACTAAAGTGTCGTAACCTATTTTGCATTGGTACAGCACTAAAGTGTCGTAACCTATTTGGCATTGGTACAGAACTAAAGTGTTGTAACCTATTTTGCATTGGTACAGCACTAAAGTGTCGTAACCTATTTTGCATTGGTACAGAACTAAAGTGTCGTAACCTATTTTGCATTGGTACAAAACTAAAGTGTCGTAACCTATTTGGCATTGGTACAGAACTAAAGTGTCATAACCTATTTTGCATTAAAGAAAAAATCTCTTAGTATACACATGTTGTAATACAGAACAAATGTAAAGTGTACATATTTTGTATTACAGAACAAATTAAAGTGTGTACATATGTTGTAATACAGAACAATTCTTAAGTGTACACATTGTATTACAGTACAAAGTGTGCACATTGTATTACAGTACAAAGTGTGCACATTGTATTACAGTGCAAAGTGTGCACATATGTTGAATGAAATGACTAAAGAATCCCAATAACTTGTTCATTTTGTCCACAGCTCGGAGGTTTTGTTGCTTCCCTTGTTTGCATTTATTCATTTATTGAGGAGAACGATGCAAGTAAGTACTCTTTATCACCTGGCTCTGAAACGTGTGCTTATCGGTCAGCTTACAATGACCACATAGATTCCTCCATGCTCCTAACTCCGCGCACTCGACGCTTCCATTCTCACCAGCATTTACCTTCTCTTCCCGATGTTGCTTTTCCGTATTCACCTTTATCTCAGAAAGTCCTCGGTGTCCCACCTCCGAACAGAGTGTTTGGCGGCACACCTCGAAACCGAGCATACGGTGTCTCTAGTTCTACTGATTCTCCCCCAGTAACGGTGCCCAGACCCAGAGTCAGCTACTTACCGTCACCTCTGTTCCAAGAGTTTGTCAACTTGTTCACCAGTCAGAAGACATGCTCTTCCTTCTTTAAATGGGACACTGCTGGTAATCACCTTGACCAGTCAGCAAGGCTGGAATTAAGAGATGTACCAACTGAAGACATGATGGAGTCTATGTATAAATACAACATCCCAGATGCTACTGTCATGCTGAGCCTGGGCTCACTAGACTTAGAGCCGGACGATGTCTTTGTTCTTCAGACAGAATTGTAACTCGCTGGAAAAGGAAAAAAAATGCCAGTCAAAATTGTAGAACCATTAATCTTCAAACTGGCCAGAAATACATTTAATTTACACATGGAAAATTGGTTGACATTGTTTTAGCTTTAGTATTGATAGCCTACTCAGGTGCAAGTTTTAGAATAAACCTATCTCTCATTTTTCATTAACTATCAACTCGTGTGAATAAACCTATCTCTCATTTGTCATTAACTATCAAATCGTGTGATTAAACCTTTCTCTCATTTGTCAATGACTCTCAACCCGTGGGCAAGTACAACTCATGTTCAGTCATAGGCCCTGAAGGCTGAGTATATTTTTTTTTTTTTGTTACTCTTAACAAAGTTCTGGTTTATAATTTATAACACAAACAAATACTTGTTCATTTCTGTCAGTGGTGCAAGATATCTCAGATTGGGCACCACTAAATTAGTGCAAGATATCTCAGATTGGTCTACAATATATTAGTGCAAGATATCGCAGATTGCTTTAAACTAAAACTAAACTAAAACTCTGGACATACCGTTACCATATTTTATCCAATCCATCATCTCTTGCACTGTGGGAAAATGAAACGGCCGCAATGTTACTCTTCTAACATTAATTTGCTGTTCATTTGATGCTAATATTTCTGAGTTGTTTTGGCTAATCTGTACCGGTAATTCTGAATTACTTTTCTCAAATGAGTTAGAACAAAATATTTTTGTTGTTGAAAGTACCTTTATTAACAAATGATAATTTTATTACACCAATACCAGAATACCTAGTTGCCATGGCAGCTACAATAATGAATCAAAATAAATTATCTTAAACTTAAACATGGGTTTAAATTTTAGACAAAAGCATTTATTTGTCCACATGTATGTAGAATCATATGTTCAAGAATCAGTGACGAAGGAAGTGGGGTGCTGAGGGCTGCCCCCCCCCCGGGGCAGCAGTTTTTACTTTGTAAGGTGGGGCTGCTTTTTCTGCAAACTGCATTGTCCCCCCCATGGAAGGGGGCTGGACTGGGGCAGCACTAACCCTGCCAAGAATACACTCTAATGTTCCGATGTACCGGTACTTTTTATAGCATTAGAAATCTAGTTTTATTTCTTCTGTTGAATAAAGGGAACAAGTGCTTGTCTAACTGTACACAAAACTAATTTTTACTTTTCCCAATAGCTCAAGATACAAAAATGGATATCAAAATATTTTTAATTTAAACATTTTAAGGTCATTGGGACTTGATGTAAATTTTAAAATGATAACCTTCTTAAAACTCATTGATTTTCTACAGTGAGTTCAGCCAATGATGAGTTGGAGTTTGTCAAAATGCGCTACAGAACTCCCACACACATGGCTGCGTACAGAGATGACAGAGATGACATGGCATTCGACAATATCAACCTTACAACGGATACATTACCACATTCCAACCCCGTACCCAGGCAGCGGGGCGAGCGCGAGATGCCCCCCAGCTACGACACTACCATGAGGAATGCTCACGCCACGGCCGCAGCCAACCACTATTACGCCTCCGAGAGGCAAAGTGTCCGCAGCAAGGCCAGCACCAGGTCAAAAAGGTCGACTCACCGCCAGACCAGTGCAAACAGCAACAGTGTTACCTACAGTGAACCAGTCCGGGATCTTCCATGGGTGCAGATTACACCAATGTCTGACAGCCATATGATCCGTAACTATCCATAACTCCCAGAGCTGTGTGATTTATTGTTATCCATCAAAACTCAAGTGTTAAAAGGACCTTTGTTCACTCTCTAAGATATTTTGTAAATTTATTATTAAAAGCAAAAGACATCTTTCAGCATATTATATCCTCATATTTCTGATTATACTGTAAATCTTTTTATCTGATGTGAGTATATTTTTTTCCATATATATGTCTAATGAGAGTACCGTATATTTTATCTATTTGTCTGATGAGAGTAAATTTTATCTATTTTTTTGGTCATCAGATGTCTGTATGAGTAATCTATTTTGTATTGTCCGATGTGTGCTGTTTTTTTTCCAAGACAGCTCAATCTTGTACTAGTTGAACGACAGTTCAGACTTGTACTTGTTGAACTGATACAGCTCAGACTTGTACTTGTTGAACTGAGACAGCTCAGACTTGTACTTGTTGAGCTCAGACTGAGACAGCTCAGCTTGTTGAGCTCAGACAGCTCAGACTTGTACTGGTACTTGTTGAACTGAGCCTGAGACAGCTCAGACTTGTACTGGTACTTGTTGAACTGAGCCTGAGACAGCTCAGACTTGTACTTGTTGCACTGAGACAGCTCAGCTTGTTGAGCTCAGACAGCTCAGCTTGTTGAGCTCAGACAGCTCAGCTTGTTGAGCTTAGACAGCTCAATCTTGTTCATGTATGCCTGCAGCATCCGTCCAGTACAAGGCAAATGATCTTTTGGCATCTGAGCTCAACTGATCTACAATCAATTAGGCAGGTCATCTCTTTGGCTTGGTTGTAACTTTGTCTCTCTCCTGGCACTTCATTTGTCCACCAGCCTGAGGTGATGAGAGTTATGTCACTGTATTGCTTGACCAAGAACTCTATCTGTATCATACTTAGCTCAGTAGGTTAGTTGGTTAGCATAGAGCAGATTTTACATGGGGTGCAGAAGACACGGAGGTTCAACTGTTTGATTGGATTAGCAGAGTAGTGATTTTAGGGGTGTTGCCATTCTGTGGAGAGCTAATGTTTATCAGTATCAGTTGTAAATACGAAATAGTCACTCTGGCTTTGTTTGAGATGGTCACCTAGCGCTAAGAGGTTCTGATTGTAATTCTAACAGTAAGCAATAAAACATCTTTGCATTTCATGTAACTGTGGCTCATTGGTGGTTTACAGATCAGCTGTTTATAAGATGGTTTGGCCATTTCAGGATTACTTCCCAAATTAAAATATTTTTTTTTAACTTGTTATTGTTATTGTTAACTTATCCCAGCCTGTTTTGAACAAGTGGGTGCGTTGGGGGCCAGTCGGGTGAGACTCAAATGGGTCATTTGAGGGCCAGTCAGGTGTGACCATATACATCCTGTTATTTCAATGTAGTCATAAAATAACTTAATTTAAAAATAAGACGAGAGGAAATTTGTATTCTCTATCTGTGTTAGTCTGTCAAGTCAAATCTATCTTGTTTACAAACAATTAGATGTACCGGTACAAACGTTGAGATGTCTGTGCCTACAGATGTCTGTGCCTACAGATGTCTGTGCCTACAGATGTCTGTGCCTACAGATGTCTGTGACTAAATGTCACTGACTGTAACTAAAGATCACCATACCCATGACCACAGATGACCTTGTCACTGGCTACAGATGACCTTGTCTCTGGCTGCTGAGTCCATGACACCATTACAATTTCAGTTGCTTCTGTGGACCATGACAACCTGTGACAGTGTCCATGAATACTGGTAACCATGACTACAGATGACCTTGTCTGTGACTACAGATGTCTTCCTATATTTAAGACTTCTACAGCGATCTTGATCAGTTTTTGAGTTACAAGATGCAAGCTTGCAATGAACAAATTTATTTTTAATACTGAACGTGAAGAGCTCTTTGTTGATTAGAATTTTAAAAAGTTTTGTTTCATGGTTACCATTGTTCATTTGGGAATTTGTCTGTCTAAATACTTTAACTCATATCATCTGAAATGTCATTCAATTAAAATTAAAACTAAATAAATTAGGAATTAGATTTTCTTTGACTTGTGTTTATGTACATACAAAGTTAAGCACATGGCTTAGTTAGTAGAGATCCCTGTGGGTTGAGTTGTAAACTCATATATATTTTATACATAATATATCGCTTGATATCTTTATACTCATAGTTCATCAATGTAGACATTTTGGTTAATCACATATCAATCATGTGTGTTGGTTGGGATCATGTGCTTTTTAGTGTCAAGTGTCAGGTTTGTTAGGATAAAGTGATGTGTTTGTTGGAATAAAGTGATTTTTTTTTGTTAGGATAAAGTGATATTTTTTGGGATAAAGATATGTGTTGATATAAAGTGATGTTTTTCTTGGGATAAAGTAATATGTTTGTTGCGATAAAGTGATGTGTTTGTTGGGATCATGTGCTTATTAGTATTAGTGTCAAGTCTGAGGTTCGTTAGGATAAAGTGTTTGTTAAGGGATGTGTGGTGTTTGGTGTTTGGATTTGTGAGAAGTGATGTTTGTTATGATGAATTGTGATGCTTGCTATGAAGGTTTGTGACATTTGTTTATGCTATTGGTTACACATTGGGACCTCAGTAATTCTGTACAAATAAATTTCTTCCAAAATCCTAAAAAATCTAAAGAGGTCTGAATGTGGAAATTCTTATTTCACTTACAAACCTTAAAAAAAAAAGAATTAAAAAAAACCGGAACATTTGTTTATTTCCATGTCAAATGATTATCTATTCCTGTGTCCTGTTTTAATTTATTCCTGTGTCCTGTTCATATCAGCCACTTAAAATGGATGAGTAGGTTTCTATTCAAATAGACCACTCCAGCGGCTTTGAGATTCAAGTGTTTATGATGAGATTTGATTAAACTGTTTATGGAACTCAGCTGTTTGTTATGAAATTCAACCGTTTGTTATCAATGAGTTTCAGCCGTTTTTTTTTCAATGAGATTCAGCTGTTTATCATGAAATTCAACTGTTTATTCATCAATGAGATTCAGCTGTTTATCATGAACTTCAACAGTTTATCCATGAGTTTCAACTGTTTGTCATGAGATTCAGATGTTTGTTTATCAATGAGTTTCAGCTGGTTAACATTGTATTCCATCCAAATTGTTTACATTCCACTGTTCATTCCCAGAGACAGTGAAAATTGTTTTCATTACAGTCCTCACCAGTTTCTGTATCAGAAACAAATTCTTATTTTTGTAGTCTTCAAAATACCGGTACCTGTTGATGAGTTGAACATATCCTGCTCTGTTGCTATTGGAGACGGCCACAGAAACATAAAGATCTGTTGTAAAAATCCACAAACTGTTTTTTATGATAGTGTTTATGGTTGTTGTATCGTGTTTATGGTTGTTGTTTTCTTTAAATTTGACTTGACTTTTGCTTTATAGAGTTTTAAAACAATTAATTATGGGGAAATCAATAAATTTGTATAAATTATTTTTCGAATTGATGATCCATGTTTTCACTTTTGTAAGAAATTTATTTCATGTCCTGCGAATGTTCAGATGTTCAAAGTTCCCCAAAACATTGATTGATTTGAATCAATTGATTCCTTTTTCTAGAATACTAATCAAAGCATTTTGCTGGAGTCTTAATTATAGCATCAAAATAATATAATAGGACATGGTAAATCTTCATATTAAAGGAATCCCCATGTACTGTAAGCACCTGTATACTTTGTTGAGATTCTATTATTATAGGATATTTGATTTCTTACATTTTGACAGACTCCCATTACTCACCAAACCATCCATGATCAAAATATGAGTTTTCATACTGAGGGCTGATGTTAGAAGTTTCACTGGAAGAAAGGGAAGAAATCATAGCAGTACAAGTGCTGAGGTGCAATCGTAAACATGACCTAATGGAGTGTTTTATGGACATGAAGTCCTACACCTGTGGAGTGTTTTATGGACATGAAGTCCTACAGCTGTGGAGTGTTTTATGGACATGAAGTCCTACACCTGTGGGGTGTTTTATGGACATGAAGTCCTACACCTGTGGAGTGTTTTATGGGCATGAAGTCCTACACCTGTGGGGTGTTTTATGGACATGAAGTCCTACACCTGTGGGGTGTTTTATGGACACAATTCCTGAGGCGTTCATGGTCTTATTACAAATCGCCAGCTGTGGCAAAATATTTTATCAATTTTTCCGCCACTTATGCCTGTCTGACACAGTTGTCTTTTATGCCTGTCTGACATAGATGCCCCTTATGCCTTTCTGACATTTTTTCTACCATCTTGAAGTTGTCCTCAGCTGTATGGATGAAAGCTAACACCAGTTTGATACAACCCAACACCAACTAGCTTAATCTCCTGATGTCATGTTGAGACACTTGAACTTGAGGATTACATTTCACATCCTAGAAGTAACTTCCCCAAAGCAGATAATCTTGTACTTAACAGAGTTAACATAGGCCACCTTGTCATGAATGGGGATGGATATTTGAGCCCAACTTGGACCCTATCTGTGAGTCTAAGGGCTGTTTACACATACATCGAGGGTGACTAAGATCCTAGCTATTGGTGAGTTAAGGACACTTTTTTATTGGCCAGATAAAATTTTATGTTAAATCGACATCTGTTTGTAAGCAAAATAAATAATTCTTTCTTTGAATGTGATTTTGAAGATCCATGGCGACTGGCAATGGGTAACTGGTTATATAGCAACATTTACTTCAGTGTACTTAAGTGTTAAAGAGTTCTCTGTAAGGTTTTCCTTATTCATCAGGAACCAATTGAAACATGGTTGTGATTTACACTTCTTTTTATGAGTGGCATCCTTTATTTGTACACCTGTCTCAAAAAGAATATTTTAAAATAAATCTTTGATCTTTTCATGAATAAACTTACACCATTACAAAACTAAATATCAATGAAAACTTGCAGTTTTTAGTTCATTTAACATACAGTTTGCTTGGTTGATTTAACATTTCTTATTGAATTTCTAAGCCATGAAATATGACGTGATGTTTCTATTGCACAAATATCTTTGCCCATCTCATGATTCATCTGTAAATAAACTTTAAACCAAAAATCTTTTGTTAAATTTTTCAATTGATACTTTATATTTTTAAATTCTCCCTCACAATGACCACACTGTTTACAACAGTAAGGTAGCACGCAACACCAGCACACAATCTACACACCCACACAATTTTACCACAGTAAGGTAGCACGCAACACCAGCACACAATTTTACCACAGTAAGGTAGCACGCAACACCAGCACACAATCTACACACCCACACAATTTTACCACAGTAAGGTAGCACACAATCTACACACTTGCATACTTTCAGTCATCTTAGCTAATAGTAATACATCAAAATAAGGTATAAAACAATTTGGTTTGCTATATACATTTTAGGACAACATTATACAATTCAGTGATATTTTGGTTGATATTTTGGCTAACAACACTGCATATTTGATTAAAATCCTAAATTAAAAAAAAACTGACACGTAGGGGATAAGGCTAGACTAATACTATCTGTGACAATGATCATACAATTCTTTGATTTTGGGATTGTAAATGTTCTCATATTCTATTAATTAGTTGAGTTCATAAAATATGTACTGGTACTTGGCATGTTATGTGAACACAGAGTGTAGTAACAGTACCAGGAATTAAATACTTTGAAATATCTAAATGTGTTACTACATCAATTCACGTTCGCTGTTTTGTTGCGTTTATTTTTTCAGGCTTAACCCTACTCTGTTTTACTCATTTTATTTTGTACTAACCTGATTGCAGTCTCTCCCCTTATTACCATCAATTCATTAGTGTGCTTGGCTTTCATGTCAGCAATATTATTGACATTTCCAGTCTATTAATAAATACAAGTGTATTCTTCTTGCTAGCTGTTACGCCTTGTCCATGTCATCTTCCTGCTTGCTCTTCTTGCCTTGTCGATGTCATCTTCCTGCTTGCTCTTCTTGCCTTGTCTGTGTCATCTTCCTGCTAGCTGTTATGCCTTGTCGATGTCATCTTCCGGCTAGCTGTTCTTGCCTTGTCTGTGCTTTCTTACGACTAGCTCTTCTTGCCTTGTCTGTGTCTTCCTGCTAGCTGTTATGCCTTGTTGATGTCATCTTCCTGCTTGCTCTTCTTGCCTTGTCTGTGCTTCCTTCCTGCTAGCTGTTCTTGCCTTTTCTGTGTTTCTCATAAAACTGATGAGCTTTGGCTTTGCTTGGCCTGACCACTGATGTAAGATTATGTAGCCGCAAGATCCCAGCCTCACCACCAGATGCCAGCCACAGGCAACAGTTGACATTCGGGCTGAATCGAACCTGAGGGAAATCACGAACATAATTAACATGCTTTTACCTATTCATTGCATGGACCCGGGTGTCACTTGGCACACATTTTTGTGTGTTATTGTTAATCCGTCTGTCACAAAGTGACGATGGTATAGATTTCTCTAGGAGGATAAGCTAGTTCCCTAATTGCCATCAATGGTGAACGAGTCCAATCCCCCAGAGGTGCTGGTGGTGTTTTTGCTTGTTTAGGCTGCTGGGGACTGAACTCAACCCCAAGCAGCTGGGGACTGAACTCAACCCCAAGCAGCTGGGGACTGAACTCAACCCAAAGTGGAAATTAAAATTGAAGGAGCCGAGAGCATCCACTTCTATATAATATGCCTGGATCAGATACTATCTTAATTCTTTGTCTCTGGAATTAATGTCCATGTTATGATGGAATTATCTATTTGGCATATGTGTTACGCACTACCCTAAACCATCACATCTTTTTTGTTCTTCACCAGAAAATGTTCAAATGTTTCAATTGCTGGTATAGAGTTAAAGGAGATAGCATGCTCTTTACAGGCAATACAGACTTTGGTTTAAATTTTAATATATAAATCTGATTTTGATTTAAGAAAAGAAAAATTTAACTTGAAAAACTCACAAAATGTTCAAAAAGTCACACAAAGAGAAAACTATAATCCAAATGCAATACCAGAGCACATTATAAAATGTCCGAAAAAATCCATTTGCACTGGAAACAATCTGTCGCTATTAGAAAATAATTGCACTGTATCCTTGTATGTATTAACATTATTATGGTAAATGGAAGATTTACCATAAATTTGTCATATCTTTTCATCTGGGTTGAGCTATGGTAAGCCTGAAAACAATCCATATGGATGGGCGGATTTGACTGACATCCAGCACAAACGTATAGGCCTACCAGTACAGTTTGCCCTGTTTGTATACTGTCTTTTTTTTTTACCTAATAGGAACTTTAACTATTTTACACCTACTTTATTCAAAGGTAAAAATTTGAAATTGCACTCAGTTTTAGTGCTAAGAGTAAGATCAGCAGCTTTCCTTTTAGAATCTACATTATTTATATTAGGAACAGTATTAGCTCTTCTAGAGGGCACTTTAGCTGTGGGGGTGGGGGAGGGGAGGGAGGGAGGGGGGCTGGTTGTTCAACAGCTGATGAATTATCAATTACATTAGTTGCTCAATAGTACTACTAATACAACAACTAGGATTATAATTATAGGATTCATCAGAATCAGCTTCTGCATATGAAATCATAAAACCACTGTCTGAATCATCATCAGAGTAATATTTTCAACCTTTATTAGATCGACTGCCAGAGGTGTCAGGTCAAGATTTCATGTTTGTAAAGAAAAATAAAATAGTGTATCAAAACAACCGCTTCCAACACTTGAATCAAAGAAAATCGGATGTTTATCAAAGGGAAATCATTCTAAATCTGATTAAAAGTAATTTACAACCAATAGCTAAGAGGAGAACCAAAATAAACAGGATTTTATACATCAAAGTTCCGATCGTAGATCCGTACAAAACCTCATTTGAAATCAATGATGGGATTGTTGATCCACTGCTGTGTTAGGTAATGGCACTATGATCTTCCACCAATGCACTAACCAGAGTACTTACCCTGTCCACTTCTGTGTTAGGTACTGCCACTATGATCTCCCACCCATGTACTAACCAGAGCACTTACCCTGTGCACTGCTTGTATGTTACTGCCACCATAAACCTCATGTTCCACCTTCCCACTGACTTTGGCACTCAGCTTCAGCTCAGGTCTTGTCTAGAACACCAACAAACATTATTTTTATTAGATATATGTATTCTACAAATGTGCTTTTCATGCAATCAAATATAATATTATGCTGAGCTGAATAAAATAGAGATGTAGAATAGTAGAAAGAAAGAATTTAAATCAATGACTCATGAAAAATCAGAACACAAGGTTTTGTTTATCAAATATAAGAGAAGTCTGAAGCATTCTCTCCTTTGTTGTGTTAGAGGTCATGCTGAGGAGGAGAGACCACGCTGAGCAGGAGAGACCTGCTTACAATCTTTCTAATTTAAGTGTTTCTTTGAAATGATATCTAAACTAAATACGTCTGCCAATTTGTCAATCAAATATAGAGTCGTGATCAGAATAGTTCTCCTTGTTTGTGTTACTGTAGTGTGGTAGAGTAGTAGTGTTACATTGTGATATGGCGGTAGTGTGGTTGTATGGTGGTTTGGTATAGTGGTAGTGTAGTAGTATAAAAGCATATAATGTGATAATGTAGTAATGTGATTTGAATTAAAAATATAAAATATATATCTAAGATTATAAAGATTATATTACAGGCTTATATTTAAAAAATCAACTATTACTATTACATATTAAATTGGAAATAATTAAGTAACTATTTGGGGTAGGTTGCAAAAGGGGGGGGGGGAATTCAGTACCTTGGCAGAGAGCACAGAAAGGTGTAAATCACCTGGTGATATGAGGAGGCCACTGCCCTGGTGATATGAGGAGACCACTTGCAAAAAGTGCAGTAATTGTTTTAAATGGATAAGTTATCCACTTACCATCATTTTTAAGTGATTTGTATCGTACCACTTCAGCATTGAATTAGTTCCCTTTATATCATTATTAAATGTCAGTTTGTAGCAGCTGGAGTTGTGTTGTTTCTTTGTGTGGCTGTTAAGTGGGGGAACCGAACCCAAGACAATTCTTAGACAATGCCTGGACAACTCGCTGTTAAGTGGGGGAAATCGAACGCAAGACAATTCTTAGACAATGCCTAGAAAACTCGCTGTTAAGTGGGGGGAACCGAACCCAAGACAATTCTTAGACAATGCCTAGACAACTCGCTGTTAAGTGGGGGGAACCGAACCCAAGACAATTCTTAGACAATGCCTAGACAACTCGCTGTTAAGTGGGGGGGAACCGAACCCAAGACAATTCTTAGACAATGCCTAGACAACTCACTGTTAAGTGGGGGACCCGAACCCAAGACAATTCTTAGACAACTCGCTGTTAAGTGGGGGACCCGAACCCAAGACAAGCCTTAGACAATGCCTGGACAACCCGCTGTCACATATTAACTTTAAAGAATGAATTTTACCTCCACATAGTGTAAGGTATCCTCACTATTTGGACAACTTTCGCTGCATGCAAGGCCGGGGACTTTCGTAGAGCTGCCAGATTTCTTTGCAGATGTTGGCTTGGTGTGACCAGTCAGAATTTGATTTGTTTCAGTTTTGTTTAAATTCTTGGAGTTTTCTAGATGTAAATTATTTGTCAATGTGGATAGCTGAAATTCTTCCTTGTTGATGTGGTTAGCTGGTTGATTTGACTCTGTCTCACTGGATAAGTCAGGTTCATGACCTTGACCAGGAATGACACTTTCAGTATTTTGAAGATGCCCTTCACATTGCTGAGTGACATTAGCAGATGGACCTTGACCTGCAGGGGTCTCTTCAGCAAGTCTTGCTTGGTATAGAACCTGTGGGTTATGAGATGTTCTTTGAAAACAGACATCATTGAGTACGTAAAGTTCAACAATGGCTGCCGAACGTTTCAAGAAGATCTAAGATGATGATGACACAAGTGTGGATACCAAAATTGTGCAATGAAAAAAATTATTGTCAAACTACTCAAATCTTTCAGTAGTAAAAGATTGTCTTCTCAGACACTTGGGAACAAAATGATTGTCAAACTACTCAAATCTTTCAGTAGTAAAAGATTGTCTTCTCAGACACTTGAGAATAAAATGGAAGGAAAATTGCACTCATTTTTATTAAGTTGTTTTCAAATAAAATGGTTTATACCAAGCCTGCACAACATACGGCCCGCCAGAACCCACTTTACCGCATGTGAAGTAAAGAAAGAAACTTTTTTATCATATTTTTAACAGCAACCCACCCCTACACNATTTTTCATAAAGTATGCCGCCGCCCCCCCCCCCCCTTACATCTTGAGTTGTGCAGACCTGGTTTACACTAGACGCCCCCCTTAAATTTTGAGTTGTGCACACCTGGTTTACACTAGACGCCCCTCCCCCCCTAACATTTTGAGTTGTGCACACCTGGTTTACACAAAAATTAAAATGTATTTTTAAAGCTGTGATATAGAAACAAAACAATGATGTCACCATAATCTCAGACCCAATTTGACCCTACATTGTGTTATATTTATTACTTTTTTTAATTCGGTATTAATTTTTCCCCGTAGCAACCCAAAATTACCATTGAAGGGCATGTCCTGGTGTGCCATGATATCTGAGACTTGATAGTCTTGGTGCGCAGTCCAACCATTTGTGGTAATGTCACCTTGACCTTGCCTGTGGCATCACAGGAAGCAAGTACCTCATAAAAGGGAGAGAAGCAGACATCCTGAAAAGGGATTTTTTTTAAAGTCAGTGAATTTTAACTCTCTTCCATTTTTTACTTTTTAAGTAGGACAAAATTAAACTTTACTATTAGCAAATGATTACAACTAAACTTAACTATTAGTATATAATGCACATGATTGCACCTAAACTTTGACCCACACCGATACATTGAACCACTATTGTAAGTAACCCACATCATTGCATTGGCCCACATTGGTACATTAACCCACACTGTTATTTGACCCACAATGGTACCTGACCCAAAACGGTACAGTGAATTAGTACACAATTAGTACATTGACCCTCTAAACAAAACTGCCACATTTACCCACTTTTTCCACATTGGTAAATTGAACTCCCCTCCCCCTCAATACCCATTGGTTCATTGACCCACTCATCCACACTTATCCACTTACCCACACACATGCGGAGTGCGACTGGACCAATATCCCAGTAGCCATGTTCCTCAAAGCAGCTCTGGCTAATCCATGGAAGGACACTGGGCAATTTTCAGTGCTGATGATCAAACAGTTTGAGACTCATTGTACCCCAGTTGTTCATTTAACTCATTAGTTATGACTTTTTTGTGTGTGTTAATCATAACTAGTTAGGGTTAATCATTACTAATCAAAGGAAAGCATTTATGACTTAAACACTCAATAATCAACAAAAATGTTTATGACTTTAAAACTCACTAATCAAAGGAAAACATTTATGACTTAAAGACTCACTAATCAAATTTCTCAGAGCAAGAAAAGAATCCATTGATGAGAGGTCCGGCCCAACACAATGAATGTTGAATAAAAAACTTGTGCGGCTGCTTAAAGATGGCTGGAAATAACAACAAGATCAATTGGACCAGTTGGTAGTGGCTGCATTCATTCAAGGGTCACAAAGTTGGAAACATGATACGTGCCCCCCCCCCCCTCCACACACAATCTCATGGTTGAGGATTATTACAGGTTGTGAAACAAAGAATTGTACAACTCAGACTTGTAAAACTCAGACAATGCTGAAAATAACAACAAGATCAATTGGACCAGTTGGTAGTGGCTGCATTCATTCAAGGGTCACAAAGTTGGAAACATGATACGTGCCCCCCCCCCCTCCACACACAATCTCATGGTTGATGATTATTACAGGTTGTGAAACAAAGAATTGTACAACTCAGACTTGTACAACTCAGACAACCCTGCTACAGATTATGCTTGTTTTTTCACCACTGATTTATACAAAGTGGATTTATACAACACCTTCACTATAAAAAACCTGCAGTGCCACTTTCAATATTATGATACACCACCAGTCTATTGGCGTTGACTGTATCTATTAACAGGACCTACCCCACATATTGGCATTGACTGTATCTATTAACAGAACCTACCAAACATTTTGACATTGATTGTATCTATTGACAGGACCTACCCAACATTTTGGCATTGATTGTATCTATTGACAGGACCTAACCAACATTATGGCATTGATTGTATCTATTGACAAGACCTACTCAACATTAAGGCATTGACTGTATCTATTAACAGGAAATATCCACCATATTGGCATTGATTGTATCTATTGACAGGACCTACCAACATATTGGCATTGATTGTATCTATTGACAGGACCTACCCAACATTTTGGCATTGATTGTATCTATTGACAGGACCTACCCAACATTTTGGCATTGATTGTATCTATTGACAGGAAATATCCAACATTATGGCATTGATTGTATCTATTGACAGGACCTACCCCACATGTTGGCATTGATTGTATCTATTGACAGGACCTACCCCACATGTTGGCATTGATTGTATCTATTGACAGGACCTACTCCACATTTTGGCATTGATTGTATCTTTGACAGGAACTACATAAAATTTTGGCATTGATTGTATCTATTGACAGGAACTACCCAACATTATGGCATTGATTGTATCTATAGACAGGAACTACCCACCTATTGGCATTGATTGTATCCTTGTATCCCATTGGCAGGAACAACCATCAAATGAAGATGTGAGGAAGATCGTGGGTGATCTGGGATTCCAGGTACAGGCTAAGATTGAATCAGTATTATATCTAAAGCACTGCATGGGTCTAAGTGTGGAGGAGTTCACTCTGATGAGAGGAGAGCTGGACAGGAGATCCCACAGGAGGGTGCAGCCTGAAAAAAACAAGCACAATCTGTAGCAGGGTTGACAACAACACAATCTGTAGCAGGGTTGACAACAAGCACAATCTGTAGCAGGGTTGACAACAGACACACTCTGTAGCAGGGTTGACAACAACACAATCTGTAGCAGGGTTGACAACAATACAATCTGTAGCAGGGTTGACAACAACACAATCTGTAGTAGGGTTGACAACAACACAATCTGTAGCAGGGTTGACAACAGACACACTCTGTAGCAGGGTTGACAACAGACACACTCTGTAGCAGGGTTGACAACAACACAATCTGTAGCAGGGTTGACAACAACACAATCTGTAGCAGGGTTGACAACAACACAATCTGTAGCAGGGTTGACAACAGACACACTCTGTAGCAGGGTTGACAACAGACACACTCTGTAGCAGGGTTGACAACAACACAATCTGTAGCAGGGCTGACAACAACACAATCTGTAGCAGGGTTGACAACAACACAATCTGTAGCAAGGTTGACAACAACACAATCTGTAGCAGGGTTGACAACAAGCACAATCAGTAGCAGGGTTGACAACAACACAATCTGAAGCAGGGTTGACAACAACACAATCTGTAGCAGGGTTGACAACAGACACACTCTGTAGCAAGGTTGACAACAACACAATCTGTAGCAGGGTTGACAACAACACAATCTGTAGCAGGGTTGACAACAACACAATCTGTAGCAGGGTTGACAACAGACACACTCTGTAGCAGGGTTGACAACAACACAATCTGTAGCAGGGTTGACAACAAGCACAATCAGTAGCAGGGTTGACAACAACACAATCTGTAGCAGGGTTGACAACAACACAATCTGTAGCAGGGTTGACAACAACACAATCTGTAGCAGGGTTGACAACAACACAATCTGTAGCAGGGTTGACAACAACACAATCTGTAGCAGGGTTGACAACAGACACACTCTGTAGCAGGGTTAATAACAGACACACTCTGTAGCAGGGTTGACAACAACACAATCTGTAGCAGGGTTGACAACAAGCACAATCAGTAGCAGGGTTGACAACAACACAATCTGAAGCAGGGTTGACAACAACACAATCTGTAGCAGGGTTGACAACAGACACACTCTGTAGCAGGGTTGACAACAACACAATCTGTAGCAGGGTTGACAACAACACAATCTGAAGCAGGGTTGTACAGTTAAAAAATGTAGCAGGGTTGCTTATCATGGGACTACACCTGAAATAAACATACAAACTACAGCCACGTTCTTCAATCTTTATCAGACTACACAAGGCAAATAAATACAATCTATATAAAGATTCTCCAATGAAATGCATATACAATGTATAACAGGATGCAGAATGGAACCAACAGCTCTGACTGAAGCATTCAAACAGCTCTGACACAATCATCCCAACAAATATATCACAATCATCCCAACAGCTCTGACACAATCATCCCAAAAGCTCTGTCACAATCATAGCAACAACTCTGACACAATCATCCCAAAAGCTCTGTCACAATCATAGCAACAACTCTGACACAATCATCCCAACAGCTCTGTCAAAATCATCCCAACAACTCTGACAGAATCATCCCAACAGCTCTGACTGAAGCATCCCAACAGTTCTGACTGAAGCATCCCAACTGCTCTGTCACAATCATAGCAACAGCTCTGACTGAAGCATCCCAACAGTTCTGACTGAAGCATCCCAACTGCTCTGTCACAATCATAGCAACAGCTCTGACTGAAGCATCCCAACAGTTCTGACTGAAGCATCCCAACTGCTCTGTCACAATCATAGCAACAGCTCTGACTGAAGCATCCAAACAGCTCTGTCACAATCATCCCAACAGTTCTGACTGAAGCATCCCAACTGCTCTGTCACAATCATAGCAACAGCTCTGACTGAAGCATCCAAACAGCTCTGTCACAATCATCCCAACAGGTCTGGCTGAAGCATCCAAACAGTTCTGACTGAATCATCCCAACGGCTCTGACTGAAGCAACCCAACAGCTCTGGCTGAAGCATCCCAACAGCTCTGTCTGAAGCATCCCAACAGCTCTGACTGAAGCATCCCAACAGCTTTGACACAAGCATCCCAACAGCTTTGACACAAGCATCCCACAGTGTTGACACACGCATCCCAACAGCTTTGACACAAGCATCCCAACATCTTTGACACAAGCATCCCAACATCTTTGACACAAGCATCCCAACAGCTTTGGCACAAGCATCCCAACATCTTTGACACAAGCATCCCAACAGCTTTGACACAAGCATCCCAACAGCTTTGACACAAGCATCCCAACAGCTTTGACACAAGCATCCCAACAGCTTTGACACAAGCATCCCAACATCTTTGACACAAGCATCCCAACAGCTTTGACACAAGCATCCCAACAGCTTTGGCACAAGCATCCCAACAGCTTTGACACAAGCATCCCAACAGCTTTGACACAAGCATCCCAACAGCTTTGGCACAAGCATCCCAACACAAAAGAAGCCAGTGAGGAAGTATTTGTTCAATGTATAAAGCTTAAGACATTTAGAGTTTTATATTTTCTTATCAAAATAGCAGGTGACCGTTCACAGCTTAAAAAAAAATATTTTTGTCAACATACCTTGGGCATATCCAGCAATTATATACCGCAGTTCTCCCCCCTGCTGCCATGAGGTACACAAGCAAGGGCCACAACCTAAACAACATCATAAAGAAAGACACTGAAATCACAACTGTTCAAGTTAACCTCATCATTAACTTGTGGTTTGAACTTTATTTTTTGGTAGATTTTAAAACATTCAAGAACTTGGTGACCAGAGTGATGATATTTTATTTGAACTTATTTCTTTTCTGGCAATAGGAAATATAAAGCACATGGTGGGGAGGAGGGGGGGGGGAACACTGAATAAAAAGACTAATGAAACAAAGAACAGCGTAACAGTAATTAATTATGTTAAAATAACAGTGTGCACCAAATGTAACGGTACTGAAATTCCTGCATCAGGTATACACCAAATGTAACGGTACTGAAATTCCTGCATCAGGTATACACCAAATGTAACGGTACTGAAATTCCTGCATCAGGTATACACCAAATGTAACGGTACTGAAATTCCTGCATCAGGTATACACCAAATGTAACGGTACTGAAATTCCTGCATCAGGTATACACCAAATGTAACGGTACTGAAATTCCTGCATCAGGTATACACCAAATGTAACGGTACTGAAATTCCTGCATCAGGTATACACCAAATGTAACAGTACTGAAATTCCTGCATCAGGTATACACCAAATTTAACGGTACTGAAGCTACCACAACAGGTATGCATCAAATATAACAGTACTGAAACTCCCGCATCAGGTATGCATACAACAATTTATCCAAGGTGCAAAGCTCTGTGTCATAGTTTTCACAGAAGTGAAAAGAATGCTATACGGTCAGAAGTTGTTAAAAATGTGTCTCATAATTGAGTTTGATTTTTGCTCATACCTTAAGTGTTAAAGTGATTAGAAAATGCGACCTAGTTTGGTAAGTGTTGAAGTTATTAGAAAGTGTGACATAGTTTGGTAAGTGTTGAAGTTATTAGAAAGTGTGACATAGTTTGGTAAGTGATTAAGTGATTAGAAAGTGTGACATAGTTTGGTAAGTGATTAAGTGATTAGAAAGTGTGACATAGTTTGGTAAGTGATTAAGTGATTAGAAAGTGTGACATAGTTTGGTAAGTGATTAAGTGATTAGAAAGTGTGACATAGTTTGGTAAGTGATTAAGTGATTAGAAAGTGTGACATAGTTTGGTAAGTGATTAAGTGATTAGAAAGTGTGACATAGTTTGGTAAGTGATTAAGTGATTAGAAAGTGTGACATAGTTTGGTAAGTGATTAAGTGATTAGAAAGTGTGACATAGTTTGGTAAGTGATTAAGTGATTAGAAAGTGTGACATAGTTTGGTAAGTGATAAGTGATTAGAAAGCGTGAGCCATTTTAGAAAAAAGTTTCCAGAAAATTTTTTAAAAGATATTTAATATGACGATACAAAGTAACACAGTTGCAATATTTTTATTTTTTGCTGTCTAGGAAGTGAACTGTGTCAATGGATTGGGAGGTCTGGTCAACTGGAAACTGTGTAAATGGAGTGGAAGTCTGGTCAACTGGTAACTGTGTTTATGGAATGGACTTCTGGTCAACAGGTGACTGTGTCAATGGAAGGGGAGGTCTAGTCAACTAGTAACTGTGTTTATGGAATAGACTTCTGTCAACAGGTAACTATGTCAATGAAATGGGAAGTCTGGTCAACTGGTAACTGTGTCAATGGAAGGGGAAGTCTGATCAACTAGTAACTGTGTCAATGGAAGGGGAAGTCTGGTCAACTGGTAACTGTGTCAATGGAAGGGGAAGTCTTGTCAACTGGTAACTGTGTAAATGGAAGGGGAAGTCTTGTCAACTGGTAACTGTGTTAATGGAAGGGGAAGTCTGGTCAACTGGTAACTGTGTTAATGGAAGGGGAAGTCTTGTCAACTGGTGACCAGACTTCCCGATGAGCGTAGGTCAAGAGTTTCGTGCTCAGTGCCGCTTCTGCAGATATTATTGTCGGTCAACTGGTAACTGTGTCAACAGACTTTACAATCACTTAGTTCACACTTTACATTACTTAGTTCACACTTTACATCACTTAGTTCATACTTAACATCACTTAGTTCATACTTAACATCACTTAGTTCATACTTAACATCACTTAGTTCATACTTAACATCACTTAGTTCATACTTAACATTACTTAGTTCATACTTAACATCACTTAGTTCATACTTAACATCACTTAGTTCATACTTAACATTACTTAGTTCATACTTTACATCACTTAGTTCATACTTAACATCACTTAGTTCATACTTAACATCACTTAGTTCATACTTAACATCACTTAGTTCATACTTAACATCACTTAGTTCATACTTAACATCACTTAGTTCATACTTTACATTACTTAGTTCATACTTTACATTACTTAGTTCATACTTTACATTACTTAGTTCACACTTTACATCACTTAGTTCATACTTAACATCACTTAGTTCATACTTAACATCACTTAGTTCATACTTAACATCACTTAGTTCATACTTAACATCACTTAGTTCATACTTAACATTACTTAGTTCATACTTAACATCACTTAGTTCATACTTAACATCACTTAGTTCATACTTAACATTACTTAGTTCATACTTTACATCACTTAGTTCATACTTAACATCACTTAGTTCATACTTAACATCACTTAGTTCATACTTAACATCACTTAGTTCATACTTAACATCACTTAGTTCATACTTAACATCACTTAGTTCATACTTTACATTACTTAGTTCATACTTTACATTACTTAGTTCATACTTTACATTACTTAGTTCATACTTAACATCACTTAGTTCACACTTTACATTACTTAGTTCATACTTTACATTACTTAGTTCACACTTTACATTACTTAGTTCATACTTAACATCACTTAGTTCACACTTTACATTACTTAGTTCATACTTTACATCACTTAGTTCACACTTTACATCACTTAGTTCACACTTTACATTACTTAGTTCATACTTTACATTACTTAGTTCACACTTTACATCACTTAGTTCACACTTTACATCACTTAGTTCACACTTTACATTACTTAGTTCATACTTAACATCACTTAGTTCACACTTTACATTACTTAGTTCATACTTTACATTACTTAGTTTACACTTTACATTACTTAGTTCATACTTAACATTACTTAGTTCACACTTTACATCACTTAGTTCACACTTTACATTACTTAGTTCATACTTTACATCACTTAGTTCACACTTTACATCACTTAGTTCACACTTTACATTACTTAGTTCATACTTTACATTACTTAGTTCACACTTTACATTACTTAGTTCATACTTAACATCACTTAGTTCATACTTTACATTACTTAGTTCATACTTTACATCACTTAGTTCACACTTTACATCACTTAGTTCACACTTTACATTACTTAGTTCATACTTTACATCACTTAGTTCACACTTTACATTACTTAGTTCATACTTTACATCACTTAGTTCACACTTTACATTACTTAGTTCATACTTAACATCACTTAGTTCATACTTAACATCACTTAGTTCATACTTAACATCACTTAGTTCACACTTTACATCACTTAGTTCACACTTTACATTACTTAGTTCATACTTAACATCACTTAGTTCACACTTTACATTACTTAGTTCATACTTTACATTACTTAGTTCACACTTTACATTACTTAGTTCATACTTAACATCACTTAGTTCACACTTTACATTACTTAGTTCATACTTAACATCACTTAGTTCACACTTTACATTACTTAGTTCATACTTTACATTACTTAGTTCACACTTTACATTACTTAGTTCATACTTAACATCACTTAGTTCACACTTTACATTACTTAGTTCATACTTTACATCACTTAGTTCACACTTTACATCACTTAGTTCACACTTTACATTACTTAGTTCATACTTTACATTACTTAGTTCACACTTTACATCACTTAGTTCACACTTTACATCACTTAGTTCACACTTTACATTACTTAGTTCATACTTAACATCACTTAGTTCACACTTTACATTACTTAGTTCATACTTTACATCACTTAGTTCACACTTTACATTACTTAGTTCATACTTAACATCACTTAGTTCATACTTAACATCACTTAGTTCATACTTAACATCACTTAGTTCACACTTTACATTACTTAGTTCATACTTAACATCACTTAGTTCATACTTAACATCACTTAGTTCATACTTAACATCACTTAGTTCACACTTTACATCACTTAGTTCACACTTTACATTACTTAGTTCATACTTAACATCACTTAGTTCACACTTTACATCACTTAGTTCACACTTTACATTACTTAGTTTACACTTTACATTACTTAGTTCATACTTAACATTACTTAGTTTACACTTTAAAATCACTTACATATCGGGGAAAACAATACTCCACTATTAATACTTTAATCTGTGCCTAGAGATCCATTTCCAACAACTGCACCACAAGTCATTTCTGGTCAAATGTTGAAGCTGTAGCCATGCACCGCTGAGAGCCCTATGTACACGTTCAAAATGCAGGATTTTCAGTATTGTTATTTTTGGCACATGCTGTCATTGTTACTTTGGACTCATGTAGTAATTGTTACTTTAGATTTTAAAATAAATGTACTTACTACTTTGTAAGTTAGGTCTCAGGGTTAATGAAGCCTTCGTGTGGTAAATTGGGACAGTAGAGTTTTCACCTGGTACAGTTGAGTCTTGCATCGATGACATCAATAACTGTAATGATTGGGCTTGTGGCAGGCTGAAATTATATATATATATATTATGCTTACATATTTGTGGCATAGTGACGTCAGACTATCCAAAAGTTGAAACAGTTGTTCATGGCATATGATGTATTCATGTCAGATTATCCAAAAGTTGAAACAGTTGTTCATGGCATATGATGTAGTGATGTCAGATCATCCAAAAGTTTTCCTCTGTTTTGTATCATTGTTAATCCTAGTTGACAAAATGATTTGCACGTTTACATGCATTGCCAATCAAATTCATGCAGTTGGCTTATATAACATGGTCTTTGATATGTCCACACCCACTTTCACATATATTATAACATAAATAAGGCATTTGAAGCAGAGCTCAGAGCTCTGTAGCCGGGTCTTTTTGCTCAGCGCTGGGGCTGTTAAAATTTCTTACTTCTCAGAGCTCCAAAATTTGAATTTAAAATTGATGCCCTAATCTTCTATCAACTAGGATTTCAACCTGCCATGTTGCCCCACTCTCCTAAAAGCTATGTTGCCCAACTCTTTTATAAGTATGTCAGCCCACTCTTTAAATACTAGTGGCTGCTATTTCTTCTACTGCGATTTTGCCCCACTCCTCTGCCAGCTACATTGCCCCAATTATTCTACAAACTATGTTGACCCACTAATCTACAGCCATTTAACATTTCTAGTGTTTGTCAATAAGACGGGTTAGTGAAAATAATAAACACATTTTTAAAAGATTTAGCAGCTCCCTTCACTTTTTAATTTTGCGAGGGCTCGGAGGGAGCTGACAAAAATTTGTTCACAGCGGAGCTCAGTCACGAAAATACCTATTTCATATCCCTGACATAAATATTCCTAAATCCCAGCTGTATTAGATGAACTTGTCAGAATCACAACACAAAAATAGCTGAGTCACACGTCCAAAGAATCTCCTTAAGTCTACCTGACTCACCTATAAACAAGAACACTGCCATCAGAGCAAGCCACCGCCAAAATACCAAGCCGCAAAAAACAGTTGTCTTTGACATCTTCCTGTTAAACAGAGACAGGTTGGAGTTGACATTAAAATGAAAAAAAGATCAAATATTTGATTTAATCTCTATGCAACAACTAGCCACCTCAATCATTCAAATATTTGATTCAATCTCTATGTGACAACTAGCCACCTCAATTGGTCAAATATTTGATTTTATCTCTAGGTTGCAACTTGCCCACTATAAAACATACATGCATGAATAATTGAAGGTGCCAATATATGAATAATTTAAGAGTTGCAAACAAGGTGGCAATTCATTTATAATTTAAGAGCGTTAACGGGGGTGGTAATTTATGTGTATTTTAAAAGCTGTAACTGAGGTGGCAATTTATGTGTAATTTAAAAGTTGTAACTGGGGTGGTAATTTATGTGTAATTTAAAAGTTGTAACTGGGGTGGTAATTTAGGTGTAATTTACAAGATGTAACTGGGGTGGTAATGTATGTGTAATTTAAAAGTTGTAACTGGGGTGGTAATTTAGGTGTAATTTACAAGATGTAACTGGGGTGGTAATTTATATGTAATTTAAAAGTTGTAACTGGGGTGGTAATTTATGTGTAATTTAAAAGTTGTAACTGGGGTGGTAATTAATGTGTAATTAAAAAGCTGTAACTGAGGTGGTAATTTATGTGTAATTTAAAAGTTGTAACTGGGGTGGTAATTTATGTGTAATTTAAAAGCTGTAACTGAGGTGGTAATTTATGTGTAATTTAAAAGTTGTAACTGGGGTGGTAATTTATGTGTAATTTAAAAGTTGTAACTGAGGTGGTAATTTATGTGTAATTTAAAAGCTGTAACTGAGGTGGTAATTTATGTGTAATTTAAAAGTTGTAACTGGGGTGGTAATTTATGTGTAATTTAAAAGTTGTAACTGGGGTGGTAATTTATGTGTAATTTAAAAGCTGTAACTGAGGTGGCAATTTATGTGTAATTTAAAAGTTGTAACTGGGTTGGTAATTTAGGTGTAATTTACAAGATGTAACTGGGGAGGTAATTTATGTGTAATTTAAAAGTTGTAACTGGGGTGGTAATTTATGTGTAATTTAAAAGCTGTAACTGAGGTGGTAATTTATGTGTAATTTAAAAGTTGTAACTGGGGTGGTAATTTATGTGTAATTTAAAAGTTGTAACTGGGGTGGTAATTTAGGTGTAATTTACAAGATGTAACTGGGGTGGTAATTTATGTGTAATTTAAAAGTTGTAACTGGGGTGGTAATTTATGTGTAATTTAAAAGTTGTAACTGGGGTGGTAATTTAGGTGTAATTTACAAGATGTAACTGGGGTGGTAATTTATGTGTAATTTAAAAGTTGTAACTGGGGTGGTAATTTATGTGTAATTTAAAAGTTGTAACTGGGGTGGTAATTTATGTGTAATTTAAAAGTTGTAACTGAGGTGGTAAGTTATGTGTAATTTAAAAGTTGTAACTGGGGTGGTAATTTAGGTGTAATTTACAAGATGTAACTGGGGTGGTAATTTATGTGTAATTTAAAAGTTGTAACTGGGGTGCTAATTTATGTGTAATTTACAAGCTGTACCTGGGGTGGTAATTTATATGTAATTTAAAAGTTGTATCTGGGGTGGTAATTTAGGTGTAATTTACAAGCTGTATCTGGGGTGGTAATTTATGTGTAATTTAAAAGTTGTATCTGGGGTGGTAATTTAGGTGTAATTTACAAGCTGTAACTGGGGTGGTAATTAATGTGTAATTTAAAAACTGTAACTGGGGTGATAATTTATGTGTAATTTAAAAACTGTAACTGGGGTGATAATTTATGTGTAATTTAAAAACTGTAACTTGGGTGATAATTTATGTGTAATTTAAAAGCTATGTATGAGGCGGTAATTTATGCATAATTTAAGAGCTGAGGTGGCAAGTAAAATGAAATAGTTGAAATAGAATCTGTATGAAAAGATGTAGTAATATAATTTACTATTGACATGGATTAGAATTGTGCTGACCTGATCAAAACATCGATGTGGACACCAGGACATGCTGACGACATAACCACTGTCGTGCGCGACACAGTACTGGAGACTGAGATCGGCGGAACTTTCCCTACAGATTTAAAGTTAAATAAAATTTATATTTGAGAATGTCAGAAGGCAGACATGTAGGTCAAAGGTCATTAGCCAGTTTGTAATTAAACTATTGACACGCAAGTCACAAACAAGAACTGAAAGGTAGTGAGCCCATAGATACCGCCCTGAGTAGTAGGTGAGATAAATTCTACAACATCTGACAGGAAGTTCTTTATCTTCTGCTTAACCGTCAGTCACACTGATGCCCTCCATCACTTCAAAGAATTAAAATTATTGCAATGAGGTAAAAGTTTTAAAAACAAATGATCAAAGATGCTAACTGAGCGTTTCTCCGGCACAAGGTCAGTCTTTCATTAAAGCCATCAGGCCCTTCTTATAAAATCCTACTTGTCATTCTTGATCGCTCCGGTCGACCAGATCTGAACAAGACCACTTCCTGCATGTGTTGCGCTTGTGTCAGGTGGTTTGTCGGGGCCAATGTCAGCAGACAGAGCCACTATCTGTTCCTGTTCAGCACCTTCAGGGAGGGGACACCACTCCAGTGACCAGATAGGACCACCACAGTAACTGTAACTCTTACCTTGGGAAAGAAAAGTAGTTCCAGGTTGGTAAGAAAAGTAGTTCTAGGTTGGTAAGAAAAGTAGGTCCATGTTGGTAAGAAAAGTAGTTCCAGGTTGGTAAGAAAATTAGTTCTAGGTTGGTAAGAAAAGTAGGTCCATGTTGGTAAGAAAAGTAGTTCCAGGTTGGTAAGAAAAGTAGTTCCAGGTTGGTAACAAAAGTAGTTCCAGGTTAGTAAGAAAAGTAGTTCCAGGTTGGTAAGAAAAGTAGTTCCAGGTTTGGTTAGAAAAGTAGTTCCAGGTTGAACAGGTCTTATTACAATGGAGATAGGAAACATTTCAATGGGAAGAAATGAGTTTCTGTGACAAGAAAGAATTGTTTTTAAAGAAATTTTTGTTTTAAAAACTCATAAATCATTTTTCATACTATAAAAAGTATGGTTGATAATTAAAAATGCTTTAAACAACATGATAGTGCAATCCCAAGTGTTGACAACTGAAATTTGAAAACAATTGCAAAATTATCTTATCATAAAATAAAGATAATAATGATAATAAAGAAAATATAGAAAGTGAGACTGACCATCAATCACTTTTGCTTGACCCCATTCCAAGGATGTCATATTCATGTCTGGCGGTTTGTTTGATGGACCAGCTGTAAAGCTAAAGCTCTTCCTTCGATGAGGTAAATATTTCTCTCTATCCCTGCAGTGGAAGTAAGTGGAGCTTCATTTGTTGAAACAAATGTTCTAACAAGAACATTAACAAATGCTCCTACAAGAACTTAAAAAATGTTCTAACAAGAGCTTAAATGTTCTAACAAGAACTTGAATGGATAATCTAACAAGAAATTGATTGAATGTTCTATAAAAAAATTGAATGAATGTTCTCACGCGCTAAAAGGAGACAAGGAAAGAGCAGGGTTGGGGTATTATCCAGCCGCTAAGAGACTTCTAAAAATAGATTCACATAAAATATGCTTCACATAAAATATGTCAAAAACTAATGCTGCTGGGTGGTGCAGCTGAGAAATTAAAAAAAAAAAATCTGTAGTTTTTTCCACTTCGCAATTCATTTCATTCATCCAAGGAATGAAATAATTATGCCACAAAATTACTTCATACAGCACCGAAGCAAACAAAAATGAAGCTTTACTAAATTTGTGACTGGGACAAATACGATAAATCTCCCTGATTCTGGATCTATTGAGTTCATTAAGAAAACACAAAGCATAAATATAACAATTATTAAGAAACATAGTCAAGGTATATTATTGCCTTTAAAAGTATTGAGAACTTGGTTAGCCATCCTGCGACACTCGTATGCTTCCAAGCCAACACAACCCCCTTTCCTCCCGTGTACCTAATGGAGTTATGGATGGTCCCCATTCAATCATATTTCTTGTCCAGTCACCGCTGGCTACAGAAAGGAGCTACAGCTAACAACAGAACATGTTGTTTTATTGAATATTAGTTATTTCTCTCACCTGTCTTTAAGTATATGTAGTAACTCCTCTCACCTGTCTTTAAGTAGAACCTAGTAATTTCTTTCACCTAAGTAGAACCTAGTAATTTCTTTCACCTAAGTAGAACCTAGTAATTTCTCTCACCTAAGTAGAACCTAGTAATTTCTCTCACCTAAGTAGAACCTAGTAATTTCTCTCACCTGTTTTTAAGTAGAACCTAGTAATTTCTCTCACCTAAGTAGAACCTAGTAATTTCTCTCACCTGTCTTTAAGTAGAACCTAGTAATTTCTCTCACCTAAGTAGAACCTAGTAATTTCTCTCACCTAAGTAGAACCTAGTAATTTCTCTCACCTGTCTTTAAGTAGAACCTAGTAATTTCTCTCACCTAAGTAGAACCTAGTAATTTCTTTCACCTAAGTAGAACCTAGTAATTTCTCTCACCTAAGTAGAACCTAGTAATTTCTTTCACCTAAGTAGAACCTAGTAATTTCTTTCACCTAAGTAGAACCTAGTAATTTCTTTCACCTAAGTAGAACCTAGTAATTTCTCTCACCTAAGTAGAACCTAGTAATATCTCTCACCTGTCTTTAAGTAGAACCTAGTAATTTCTCTCACCTGTCTTTAAGAAGCACCCAGTTGTTGACCTGGGGGGATAGTTCAGGAAACAATCTCCCCCCTAGTGATAGTCCGGTAAAAAATGTGTGCAATGCCTTGAGTCTGTCTTCCTCTTTCGTGTCCTTGTCCATCAAACAAATAGAGCCCCACTTCCCATCTATGGATGAGGCTGCACAAATAAACAGGAAGAATCTTTTCATGAGCCCAGTTGTTTGGAGATGAGAAAATTTAATATTGTGGTAGAATCTTTTCATGAACCCAGTCATTTGGAGATGAGAAAATTTAATATTGTGGTAGAATCTTTTCATGAACCCAGTCATTTGGAGATGAGAAAATTTAATATTGTGGTAGAATCTTTTCATGAACCCAGTCGTTTGGAGATGAGAAAATTTAATATTGTAGGATAAGTTGTCATCAAATCATTAGAATATTGTGGAGAGTTCGGACCTCGACCGACTGATCAAGGGCCGGGTGCGTCAGATCTCACACCAGGTTTACCGGCCATCTGACCAGGGTATTTCTCTCGGACGACTGGTTCCGACCTGGAGGCGCCGACTGATCAAAGGGCTGGGCGCGTCAGATCTTACAGCAGGGTACCGGCCATCTGACGACTGGTTGGTAACCTAGAGGCGACAGGGGTGGGGGTAGTGACCGACTGATCAAAGGGCTGGGCGCGTCAGATTACAGACCTGGGAAAGGAACTCTATGGACCAGGGACTTATAAATAGGGACCTCTGGACAGGACTGGACAGAACGCGGCCGGACAGAGAAGCGGACAGTCAGGGAGAGCTCCGACGGTAGGAGAAGAGGGCAGTCAGAGTTGCGAGATGAGAGAAGGTATAAGCGAAGTGTCAGCCTAATAAAGAACAAGATTATAATCATCAAATGTTATCGCCTGAGTTGCTTCCTCAGTGAATACCAGATATAGATGAAGGTTGGCAGAGAGCAATCAAGGTTTCCTTACAATATTACAAGCTTACCACAGTCACTGTCTGTATTATAGCTCAGATCTATTACTGTTACACAATCCCTGTCTGTACCATTGCTCAGATCTATTACTGTTACACAATCCCTGTCTGTACCATTGCTCAGATCTATTACTGTTACACAATCCCTGTCTGTACCATTGCTCAGATCTATTACTGTTACACAATCCCTGTCTGTACCATTGCTCAAATCTATTACTGCTAATGATGATTGTTTAAACAAACCCTGTGTATATCATAGCTGAGATCTCTTACTGTTACACAATCCCTGTCTGTATTATAGCTCAGATCTATTACTGCTAATTGATGATTGTTTACACAAACCCTGTCTGTATTATAGCTCAGATATATTACTGCTAATTGATGATTGTTTACACAAACCCTGTCTGTATTATAGCTCAGATCTATTACTGCTAATTGATGATTGTTTGCACAATCCCTGTCTGTATTATAGCTCAGATCTATTACTATTACTAATCAAATACAGAACAACTTTTTAAAGAGTAAGAATTGCTATGTTTTATGAAAAAAATGGTGTTTGAATGATACGACAGTTCATCCACAATCTTCATGTAAGAAGATTGAGCAGAAACAGTTTATGTTTTCAAATGAAGATTTGTAGTGTGATTACACTTGATCAAGTATACCAAGAAGTTTACCGTGAAGCTACATTCCAAGTGTTTTGGGATTTAGTATGTTCAGCATGAGTATTTGCTTGTATTTCAAGTATTAACTATTATTGTTGTGATCGCCAACTTGTGCAATAAAGTATTAGTCACTATCATTTGAACCACTACGCCTCTGTTATAATTCATAAAACATTGTGATTGTGACACGCATAAAACAATAGTATATGCTTAAAAATAAAACAATAGTATATGCTTACACATAAAACAATAGTATATGCTTACGAATAAAACAATAGTATATGCTTACGGTCAGCTATGCGAACAGAGTCATTTTTTTGGGGTCTCTCTGTATGGTCCTCATCACTCCCATCAATGAATTCATCTTTGTTGTCATCTTCACTATCATCACTGCTCTCACTAGTGATACTTTTATCGCTCTTATCAGAAAATTCATTTTCACTTCCTTTTGTTTTATGGAATTCACTGATAAATTTCATGGCACTGAAAAATGAAAAGTTTAGGAATGAACCTATTAAAACAAATGTCTAAAAACAAATATCTAATGAGGGTAAAACATATTTCACATTTTTGTCTGGAGGAGTTTTTCTTAATAATGATCATATTGAATACTTAATATTTGAATTATATTCTTAATAATGATTAGACTGAATATTTATTATTTGAATTATATTAATTAAACATGATTAGATCAAATATTTTATTTTATGATTTAAATTAAATCAATTAACACTGATAAGATTTTTTAAAATCTTAAAGTTTTAACAAATATTTTTGTATTCCTTTTTCTTTTGCAACATGAGAAAAATAGTGCTTATTATTGTGTGATGTATTGCTTGTTACTGTTTGTTTCGCAGTGTGTGTTGCAATGGGATTAAAATATTTGACAACTTGCCCGTGCCCCGAATGACTGATTTAGATATAAAAAATGATGATTTAAATGATGATTAAATGTTAATTATTTCATGGCATTAAAACTTAAATAAGAACAATATAAGAGAGCAGATAACTAGATTATGATTATGTTATAGATTATGTTATAACAAGCACGAACGCTAGAAAGAAAAAAAAGAGTAGGAAATGCAAATTTGTGACAAATGTGATTTCAACATTGGTGGGCTACAAGGTGCCCACTTTTAAGAGAAACCCTCATTGTAACACTGGGGGGTGGGCTATAAGGTGCCCACTTTTAAGAGAAAACCCTCATTGCAACACTGGGGGGTGGGGTACCAGGGGCCCACCTTTAAGAGAGAACCCTCATTGCAACATTGGGTGGTTCCCAGGAGCCCACATTAAGAGAAAACTTTACAATTTAAATTTGTAAAAAATGTTACATTTACACTATTTCAAGCAAAGTTGCTATAAATTTAAATAAATCTTTCAGACCACTTCTGAGATATCTGACATTGATCATTTAAAGTTTTTTATTTATTTTTTTATTATTTGTACTTGAATAATTTCCTTACTTAAGTTGAAGACTGTCAAAGTTACTGGAACATTTGATACCTGCATGTCTCCAAACTGAGTTCAAAGTTCATGATATAAATCAAGATCAAAAGTTAAGTTGAATATGTCTAAATTCAATATTACTGAACTAAATTAATTGATTTATGGTTTAACACATTTTATAAATATAAAAAATAAGCTACCATAAATATATTAATTAAATTAACAGAAATAACAAGAATAAATTATTAGGATGATTGATTGAATGTTTCATAGCTTGCTCATATTCTTCGATGTATATTGGCTTGAACATTGATTTTGTATTTTTGCATTTTGTATTTTAATGTGGAAAAATATAAATTGTCATGTATGGTTGAATTTGTACAGTCTTCGAGCCTTAATTAGGGATGAAGCGTGTTTTTTAAATGAACTTTATCATTATTATTATTAAATTCTATACAAAGCAAAAGAACTACAAAATGTCATGAATAATTAATGTTTATATGGAACAAATATATAGTACCTGGGTTGGCTAATAATAGTCCCAAAAAACCCCTCAAATTCAGTAGCTGGTGAAAACATCTACCAGGTTGTTCCCTACTCCCAGGTGTCCACATTAAGAGAGACAACACTGATTCCAGGTTACCACCAAAATGGACAACCCTGATTACAACATTGAGGGGCTCCCAGGTGTCCACATTAAGAGACAAACCTGATTACAAGGGGACATTTAAAAAACAAGTTTGCAGACCAGGCAAACTTCCTGAACGGGTGCAAACTTGCTGAACGGGTGCAAAATTGCTGAACGGATGCAAAATTGCTGAACGGATGCAAACTTGCTTGGACCTGTGACCATTGTCCTACCTTTTGGCAGCACTTCTCTTGGACCTGCGACCATTGTCTTCTTGATCTGAAGGTCCAGCATCTTCAGAGATTTTTTGTTTTTTTTCCTCCTTCAATGCAGTCTGTTTTTCTTTTAACTTGTGGCTTGCCAAGTGCCTGTCGTACCACTGGGCCTTGACACTGTGCGTGCAGATTTCACAAATGACCATTTCATCCTATGATTGGTGAAAGAACAATGAAATTGTAACCCTTGTTTTACATTACATTCCAGCACAGCGTAAAACCACGATACACAACAATTAACAAAGGAGAAACACTCTTGGAGAAGAAAGATGTTAATATTTTCAATGAAATAGCAGTACCGGTATTCAAGAAATCATTTATAATGAGCATTCAAGTATGCTGGTATCAAGTTCATGTGATGATTGTAGTGCTGGGGTAACTGTTTCTAATGTAGTACAGGGGTATCAGTTCCTTCCCACTACCACACCAGTTCATGGGGTGATTTTTGTACTGGGGTAATTGTTTCTTAATTAGAACTGGAGTATCTGTTTCTTACCTCTCTACCACACAAGTTCATGTGGCACTTGTAGGGCTGGGGTAAATGTTTCATACCTCTCTACACACCTGTTCATGTAGTGATTGTAGTTACCAAGTAGCTGATTCTTACCTCTCTACCACACCAGTTCATGTGGTGCTTGTAGTACTGAGGAAATCGGAACTGTTTCTGACACCCTTGACAGATGATGTACCCTAGTAGTTTAATGATGACAGCTGGCTTGTCTTCACCTTGAGGATTGCTCGCCGACCACTAGAGGATTATTTCATTGAATGAGGTTAACAGATAAATGGTAGGACAAGTACTGCAATAAATGATGTAGTAGAGTAGTTGATCATTGCTGTAGTAGAGAAGATATTGAAATATTGGATTAGAATAGATCATTGCCGTAGTAAAGAAGATATTTAAATGTTCAATAAGTATAGACTATTGTTGTAGTGGCATAGTTGATTAATGCTGTAGTAGAGAAGATATGTAAATGCTGGATTAGAATAGATGATTGTTGTAGTAGAGAAGATATTTAAATGTTGGATTAAAATAGATGATTGTTGTAGTAGAGATAATAATTAAATGTTGGATTAGAATAGATCATTGTTGTAGTGATATGGTTGATTAATGCTGTAGAAGAAGAGAAGATATTTAAAGAAGTGCACATCAAATAAAAAAATCTGATATTAGTAAATTAGATAGACTGAGAACAACCAACAGACTAGTAGAGCTGGCTAATTTCTCACCACCAGGGAATGTGCTGGCATCATATGTTTTTTCAAGAGTGCCTGCGAGTTGAATGTCATACTGCATATTCCACACTGCAAACTTGACGATTCTGTACGCGTGGTAGATGATGATGGCTAAAAGGACACAATTTAAGTTAGGATTCGGTTAGATGTGGTTTCGAAACTGTTGTTTTCAACCTTTTTTTTAAAAAAAATCAATTGACATTAAAACTAATAAGTATTCTTATTATCACACATGCATGCATTTAAATTTGAAATTAAATCCATTATTGCTTTGAATTAAACTTTGAGATTTCTTATAAGTTTAACACAGGACTGACCTTGTCTGTATCTGAGATGTCAAGTAAAGTTCTAAGTTTAACACAGGACTCACCTTGTTTGTATCAAGCAAAGTTATAAGTTTAACACAGGACTGACCTTGTCTGTATCTGAGATGTCAAGTTATAAGTTTAACACACGACTAACCTTGTTTTTATCAAGTAAAGTTATAAGTTTAACACAGGACTCACCTTGTTTGTTATAAGTTTAAAACAGGACTCACCTTGTTTGTTATAAGTTTAAAACAGGACTCACATTGTTTGTTATAAGTTTAACACAGGACTCACATTGTTTGTATCAAGTGTAACGCAGGACTCACCTTGTTTGTTATAAGTTTAACACAGGACTCACCTTGTTTGTATCAAGTTTAACACAGGACTCAAATGGTTTGTTATAAGTTTAACGCAGGATTCACCTTGTTTGTTATAAGTTTAACGCAGGACTCACCTTGTTTGTTATAAGTTTAACGCAGGACTCACCTTGTTTGTTATAAGTTTAAAACAGGACTCACCTTGTTTGTTATAAGTTTAACACAGGACTCACCTTGTTTGTTATAAGTTTAACGCAGGACTCACCTTGTTTGTTATAAGTTTAACACAGGACTCACCTTGTTTGTTATAAGTTTAAAACAGGACTCACCTTGTTTGTTATAAGTTTAAAACAGGACTCACCTTGTTTGTTATAAGTTTAACACAGGACTCACATTGTTTGTATCAAGTGTAACGCAGGACTCACCTTGTTTGTTATAAGTTTAACACAGGACTCACCTTGTTTGTATCAAGTTTAACACAGGACTCACCTGGTTTGTTATAAGTTTAACACAGGACTCACATTGTTTGTATCAAGTGTAACGCAGGACTCACCTTGTTTGTTATAAGTTTAACACAGGACTCACCTTGTTTGTTATAAGTTTAAAACAGGACTCACCTTGTTTGTTATAAGTTTAAAACAGGACTCACCTTGTTTGTTATAAGTTTAACACAGGACTCACATTGTTTGTATCAAGTGTAACGCAGGACTCACCTTGTTTGTATCAAGTTTAACACAGGACTCACCTTGTTTGTTATAAGTTTAACGCAGGACTCACCTTGTTTGTATCAAGTTTAACACAGGACTCACCTTGTTTGTATCAAGTTTAACACAGGACTCACCTTGTTTGTTATAAGTTTAACGCAGGACTCACCTTGTTTGTATCAAGTTTAACGCAGGACTCACCTTGTTTGTTATAAGTTTAACGCAGGATTCACCTTGTTTGTTATAAGTTTAACGCAGGACTCACCTTGTTTGTATCAAGTTTAACGCAGGACTCACCTTGTTTGTATCAAGTTTAACACAGGACTCACCTTGTTTGTTAAAAGTTTAACACAGGACTCACCTTGTTTGTATCAAGTTTAACACAGGACTCACCTTGTTTGTTATAAGTTTAACGCAGGACTCACCTTGTTTGTATCAATTTTAACGCAGGACTCACCTTGTTTGTATCAAGTTTAACACAGGACTCACCTTGTTTGTTATAAGTTTAACGCAGGACTCACCTTGTTTGTTATAAGTTTAACGCAGGACTCACCTTGTTTGTTATAAGTTTAACGCAGGACTCACCTTGTTTGTTATAAGTTTAACGCAGGACTCACCTTGTTTGTATCAAGTTTAACACAGGACTCACCTTGTTAGTTATAAGTTTAACGCAGGACTCACCTTGTTTGTTATAAGTTTAACGCAGGACTCACCTTGTTTGTATCAAGCTTAACGCAGGACCCACCTTGTTTGTATCAAGTTTAACGCAGGACTCACCTTGTTTGTTATAAGTTTAAAACAGGACTCACCTTGTTTGTATCAAGTAAAGTTTTAGAGTTGTGCTTGGAAAGTTTTTGCCCTTGACATTTTTTAACTCTTGGCCTTCTGAACCCAAGTTCTTCTTCAGACTCAGTGACATGATTGGCGGCTTGATGGTCAACCGATGTTGGATTTTTCCTACTCCCAGAAGAACATGTAGGTACACAAGGGGAATATGCATCAAGTACACCGTCAGTTTCTTTGGTCTCTTCCGCTTCCTGCACTTTTTTACGCTTCCTTCCCCTTCTAGGCTTGTCTGTTACTTGTGAACTATTTTTATCAAAGCTAATTTTACTCTCTTCACCGATGCTTGTTTTTTCAGTTTCAAGACATTTTTCTTTTGTGTCCTCTTGCAGAAATTTTGGCTGCAAGGCTTTCACCCCACTTCTTGAGAGATGACTTGTACTTTTTTTATTTCTCCCATTCATTGAAACATCTTCTTCACTCGTTCTGATATCTTCATTATCACAGAGATCTAAATAGTTAATATTTTTCCTAGCCCTGGCACTCGTCCGAAACCTTGGTGTGTCCGCCTCAGAGTCATTTTTTCTTGGTGCTGAAATGGAAGTCGGTGTTACATCAACTTCTTTGCTGCGGCCCCTGACAGTTTTCTTGGAAAGGCCAACAACTCCTCCACTAGTTATTTTTCTTCTTTTATTTGGAGGAGTTACAACTTGTGAATTTTTTTCTGATTTGTCCAATGTTATATCTGATGTTATATCCAATGTTATATCTGATGTAAGACTTTCATCTCCCAGTGTGCTGTTTACAACATTAAGGTTTGCCAACACTAAAAGGGAATTGGATGCATCGCCACCATAACTTGTCCGTCTCTGAAACTTGGTAGGAGATCCTCGCCTTCCTGAGACGTGTGGCTTTAAAATACTTTTATCGACACCTCCTTCCAGCGCACTCGTGTTGGCGGAATTGTTAATATTTTGATGGCTTCTTTTGCTAACGGGAGTACTGGTCACAAATGCTTTTGAGGATTTTTTTTTATGTGATGCTGCTGGTGAGTCTGTAGTGCTGTTATCCAAACCTTTGGGAGTCACATATTCATCCGTAATGCTGTTATCCAAACCTTTGGGTGTGACATATCCATCAAAGTTTTTTTGCTTGCGCAAACGTTTTGGTCGAGACACACTACCAGAAACATCTTGGTTATCACTGTCCAAATTCTCTGTAATTGTCTTCTTGTTGTCTCCAGATAGGCTAATCCTTAATTCACTTCTGTCTATTTTTTTTGTACATTTGAGTAATTTCTGGGATCTCTTTGATCTTGATTTATTCATATTTCAAAGACTGTTTCAACACCAGCTGTTTAGATAGCAATTGTTTAGATAGCAGATGTTTCAATTGCAGTTGATTAGATAGCTGTTGACAGAGTTCATGTTATTTAATTTTAATAATCTCATGCAAAATTCAATAGATTTTTTCATGGTTTCTAAATGTAAATATATACTTTGAGCTTATTCTAAAGATAAGCAAGTCACATATTTTTAACTAAATTTAAAAGACAGTAGTCAAATTTAAAGGCAATAAGTTTTAAAAGAGTATGAATAATTGTTAATAATCAACCTGCTCTGATCCATGTCAGTCCTTGTTTAGTCATATTGTGGCTTCAAAGTGTAGGGGCTCCACACTTGCACAGTAGATATCTTGCCTCTACTGTTCAAGGGTATTATTGCCTATTGTATTAAGTATGTCTACACCAGTTAACCTGAGTAAAAATATAGCCAGGGTTTAGTCTATTACAGTACATAGTAACTATAGATTCAGTAATATTAACATATGTTTGATAGTTTTAATTATCAGTTATTTCAGCAGTCGGGTTCATGTGGATTTTAAGAATCATGACTCTGCCATTACTGGTGCACGTAGATTGAAAGATAACTATTAGAGTATGAAAAAAAGACGAAACCTTATAAAAGAATGTTTGATTATGGAAGATGAATGAAGAATGCAACCCCTCCAAAAATTCAACTCCCAATTTCAAATATCTATAAAATTGTAATGTCAATGTGGATAGGTGGCCTATGTTTGAATATTTTTATCCAATATTACTGATATTAGGGTAAAGGTGCGAAGTGATAAATTTTTTTTAATAGAAATGTACATCGAGATGTCCCTAAAGGAAAAGATGAAAGTTGGTAGCTAATTGAACACAAATTAAAGCCATTTTCAATGAAAAACTTAATATAACAAAAAATAAAAACTCAGATTTTTCAGCCAAAAGCACAAAAACCGAAAGGAATTAAAAATTTAAAAGAAGTCTCGGAACCGAAGTCTCATCAACTGAAGAACCTATATGCTACACAGTACTAAACAAATACTACAAGGCCTATTAGCAGTACTGTAATTTATAATAAATATGCCTACCATTTCATTTAAGCTTAAAATCGGACGTAAAGGCAAAGTCAGTGGTCTAAGTGTAAATGAAAGTATTATTTTAAATTACAATCGTAGTAATCTCCCCTCATTGCCTGATTTTTTTTAGTCACTTTGGTAAAATGCATGTTGCATATTCACTTTTAAGTATGCCCTCAAATAATCTTTTAATTGTAAATATTTTACTGTTTGAATAGATATATATAATAAAGTAAGCATTTATAATCAATTTTATTTTTTTATTGAGTTTACAATTTGGATTTATTTTGTTATTTAAATTATAAGTCTTAAGTGGCATACTCTGTTCATTATATCTTGTTCACTCGTTGTCGTAGCTCACTTGAAATCAAGACATGATATAAAAACAAGAGCGACTAATAAAACCACGACCTTATTTATATATTTAAGGAAATTAGAAAATATCAAGTTATTACTAAATATTTGTTTTAAGTATTCATGAAAATTAAATTTCTTTAAATTTTTAAATTTAAAATATTTTTATTTATAAAATTTAAAGGTAATAATTATCCCATAAAATAAAACTGTACAATATTCTAGTAAAAATTTTATGACGTCACGGCCAATTGTTAATGGTTGTCTTTTATCAGGACGGAAACATTTACAGCTGATATCAATCTTCGAAAGCTTAACAATGTAAGCTTTCAACTTCTTAATTTGAGTTACCATATTCTCTCTCGTAATCACAAACATGTAAGTAAAATATCAAAATATCAGAAATTTTATATTTTTTTCTAATATCTAACATTTATTTTTTTTTTTCTTTTGTTCTCAATTTGAGTCAAATTCAATGATTTCTGGATCGGATAAGTTGTTGAATTCATGTGTCGTCATGCAATGAAATGCCATGCATGAGCAATGCTAGAGGCAGGGGTCCAAAAATTAGGATTCTAGAAATAAAAAAACACTAACATCATAAGAGCGAATTTAATCACATAGTCATATATATACTGAATAGACTAATAAAATAATTATTAAATAACTTCACCCAGTATGGGCATTTTCAGTGACTTTAAAATTTAGCGAGAAAGTTAAATTAAAATAATATCTATCTAAACCCAGGGTGGGAAATCCTATGACCAGGTATCAACCTGGTTGATCCACCCTCCCTATCACCTATAGCTAGGTGAGTATCACAAGGTAACTATGCCTGGAAAGTCTTGAGATAGTATCTGGAGTACTAAAGTTGTCACAATAAATAGAGAGAATCTCAGAGAATGACTACGGCGTCTACGGTTGACAGTGTGAACCAAGTCTAGCTAGATATGGGAAAGTGTGTTCATCCTGTATTGTTGTGAAGTTGGGGAAAGGTATCTGGTATTCAGAGATCTGAGTATGTGACATTCAAAGGGTAGAAAGGATACACGTTGTGATTTTTTGTAATTAGTGAAATTCATGCATCATAGAATTGTGTGAGTCAGTATGAAGACTCTTGAAATTATTTTTTTAGACAGAAAAACATGCATTGCCCATTGAATTATGGATGACTTATGTTTCTTCTGATGGATTTCCACAACTATGGAAATGTTAAAACGGTAAATTCAGAGAGAGCGGCCCGCGTCTATTTCCATGCGTGCACTTTTACGTCTAAATGGATCCCTATGCCTAACCTGAACCCTAAATCGATCCCTATGCCTAACCCGAACCCTAAATCTATCCCTATGCCTAACCTTAACAAAGTCGACGTGGGCCGCTAAATCTGAAACAGCCGTTATAACAAAATTGTGACCATGTTTTTAAAAGCACCCAGAATCAGTGAAGCTCGATACTCTGTAATGACCATTTTGACTGGTGAACTTTAAAAAATCTGAGGGCAGGTGCTACTGGTAACTACCTCAAGTTAAGAAAATTGCATGTACGATTCAAAGCAGAATATATCATTAACTCATTCCCTCCGGCAGCGCTGCTGAGAAAAGGGAAGCAACTCAGTTTTGAAATTGATTTATATTTTTAAAATATTTTTTTAAGTTGCTAAATATTCTTTAATGTTAATGAATTAAGAACAAATTCAACAAAAAATGAATAAGGTTTAATATAAATATAACATTAGCGGGGAAAAATAAAGTACAATGGCCAAAAAAATCGATTTTCGGCACCTCGGACGAACACATGCTACATATAGACGCGCCGTACTAAAGCACACATAGTTTTAAAGTGAAACAAGAAAAAAACTTCCGGTTTCTAAATTAAAATCATGCAGAAATCACGCCATAGCCGGAAGTCTCGAGGCACGCAAGATTTCATTGCTATTTTTAACTAAAAATAAGAGAGGTGTGTCGCTATGCGCCGGGACGCATTTGGACGCATCAGGAGAAACCCCCCGAGGACTCATTTAGTCGCAACCGTCGGGAATGAGTTAAGGAATGCTCCAGTTTTTATTAGCTTTATTTATATTCTTGATAAACCGATAATGATATTGGAAATATATTACTCATTATGCAATATTTAAGAAGTATTAATAATATGAATAATTTACATTTGAGATGTGGCCAGAAAAAATTTCAGTGATATATGTGGGAAATGGACCTTTAAATTAAAAATTATTCTCAACTAATTTGCTACTGTTGTGAAAAATCATGTGTGGCTAATTTAAATTTAGGTAATTTTTCCAACATACAGGTCTATGTATAAATTTAGGTGCAGTTTACTTTCTTACTAAAATATTTTGATAAGTAATATACCATTTTATTGATTTTATTTAATTTAACTCTTTACATTCCTTGAATTTTTCTTTTTTTTTTTTATTTACATTTTTCTTTATCTTACAAAAGACTCATTCACTTCTAGAATCCATGTCTAAGTGCATTTTGTTTCTTTCAATTGTGGTTACTAAACATATAAATCAAGACTTAGAATTAGAAGGTGTGAGGAAAATAATTCACACTTTTTTTTTTAATGAAAATGTGTAATCAAATGTTTTGGTGATCAGAGGCAAGGATGGAAAAAGAAAAAAAAAAGAACTATTTATTCAGAAAGAAAGTTTGTTTATGTCATATGAAGAAAGCAATTTATGAAATTTTGTCAATTTATAGATTTTGTAAAATGTGGCAAAAAAGGGAAATAATTTTTTTTTTTTTAAAATTCACCAATCTCTACAAAGTATTCACAAGAATTGTAGGTTATTATTATTTTTACCTTTTTAAATTTATTTGCGCACAACAGAACATATCAGTGGATAATTTAAACTTGATTGTAGGCCTGCTCAGCCTACTATTTTTTTTTTCCATTCCTAATTGATGGCTTACTTACCAATTTCTTTTTAAATCTGTTAGTTTAAAAGTTATTGGATGTATTCTATTGTATTTATGTAAATACATTTAAGGTACTCAGTTTTAGCAATCCACCTAATGCTCAAATAAATTCCTCAGTGAAATCATTTTGGAGTTGCCTATCTAGCAGCTTTAGTTCATCTAGGTAGGATTTTCTTTTCAACACTCCTGAAGGATTATAGCAGACAATATCAACAAAATGAAAAAGGGCTTATCCACTACTGTTTTGTTTTCTTAAGGGTGATGTTTCAAATTTTTCAACTGGTCAACACCATGCATCAATGAACTGTATGATTTGACAATACTTGGTTGTCTCACCTGTAATCACTGAAATACACCAACAGTTTTGGTACTGGCTTTCTGCCTAGGAGAAACTAAAGAGTGTGAACTGGTGGGTTTTCATCTCATACATCATACGAGGTTCACCTGTCTATTTAAAAATCCACCACTGCGATTATAACTTTGAGCATTATTAAGTCTTCACTCTAATTTTTTGCCTCGTTACGATGCATGGTCGGATTAAGGCATTTGAAACTCTGGGTCAAATCAGCATAGGATTACATAGCTGTCTAAGCAGCGTCCATAGATAGTGATTGAATGAAGTACCCCCTGGCTGGGCTCCTTGAGCCCCTTCGGCTAAAAGAATTGAATATGTAGTACGATTACAATAACAAAGAAGACAAAATAAAGTGTGAAAAAAAATTCCCCTTCAATATTTGCAATTATTTAAAAAAAAAAAAAATAAGGCCAGAATTGAAAAACTGCTTCTTAAGCCATTTGGCGCCACAACTCACTTGATGCTCCCGGGCAGCAGTGTATAGTATATTTAATTTTACATAGCTGTCTAAGCAGCGTCCATAGATAGTGATTGAATGAAGTACCCCCTGGCTGGGCTCCTTGAGCCCCTTCGGATAAAAGAATTGAATATGTAGTACGATTACAATAACAAAGAAGACAAAATAAAGTGTGAAAAAAAATTCCCCTTCAATATTTGCAATTATTTAAAAAAAAAAAAAAAATAAGGCCAGAATTGAAAAACTGCTTCTTAAGCCATTTGGCGCCACAACTCACTTGATGCTCCCGGGCAGCAGTGTATAGTATATTTAATTTTTTTGGGGTCAATGGCGCAGTTACAACACATGGGAACCTTTAAAAAAAATTATTTACTAATGAAGTTCACAAAAATTAAACAGCTGAGTAGTTTTTCAATATTTTATATGAATGTAACGATGTAACATTACTATTTAGTGACAAATAAAAAAAATAAAAAAATAATAGCTTATCTTTGTTGCTTTTCAATTAAGTGTAGATTGATACCAAACTAAATTCAGGTAAACACCAAAATGAATCCTTTTATATTGAATTGTTGAATTGTTTCTGGGGAGGGGCCCAATGTTCCCTGCCCCTACTTACGTTCTAGGGGAAATTAAGAGCTTGTGCTAGGGACAGCACTATGTTAATGTTAGTTATTGACAGGTTTCACTGTGCCCAATAGCACTATAGATATTTATATGTAGTGTTTTGGGGGACGGGGCAACAACTTAAATTTGCACCGGATGGCACAATGTAGCATTACAACCCTGCAGGCCCTAATCCAAATGTACCTTTGGCTACTTGTTCATCAAAATATTTAAAATGAAGAAATATTTCTTTATGAGTTTCTTGTGCTAGTTTTAATTATTCTGTACTACTGTAATAGTCACGTGATTGTTTCACCCTTAACTCAATGTCTGCCATCAGTTTGGATGTTTTAAAAAACATGCAGAGTTTGGGAATGATATCACACAATCATGCATTGCTTTACCGAGTGTCATCACTACTTCCTGGATATTCATCAGCCGCTAACATCAAATATTCCCCTGATCTTTGTCTGATTCAAAATGTTCTTTTGATTAAATTCGCCTGATTATTATAAGGTGAACCCCTTACACACTTTACATCAGACTGATTTGGAACCTTCATTAGACTGTCTCAGTAGAATATACTACTCTTGACCTATTGGCCAATGATCTCCCCTTAATTAAGCTGGCTATAATATACTACAAGACCTAGTGACCAATCATCTCCCCTTAATTAAGCTGGCTGAGTCCTGGATTGAAATTCACTAAGGGAATACATTAAGTCCTTCTTGGCAAAATCTTTGAGTTTTATTTCAGTTTATAACCTATTTTTAAATGTTTTACATCACAGACCTTGATGATACGTACAGATGTACAGATGAATTGTAAAGGTCGGCATGTATGCCTACGCCTGATTTGCTTTATTGATAGTTTTATAAGCAATTGATAGTCCTAATTTGGCATGTGGAACTAATGCTCAGAATTGTGTCTTATCGCATATAATAATTGGTTGTATGGTTTAATATGATCAAAGTATGTCATTGTTGAAACACATCACCTTGTTACCATTTGTTGGGTAATTGGTCTCAGGAAACTCTTGTTGGTGCCATGGTCAAAGATTTACTTGTTATGAAAGGGGTTAGTTGACGTGTTATGAAAGGGGTCAGTTGACGTGTTATGAAAGGGGTCAGTTGACGTGTTATGAAAGGGGTCAGTTGACTTGTTATGAAAGTGGTCAGTTGACTTGTTATGAAAGGGGTCAGTTGACGTGTTATGAAAGGGGTCAGTTGGCGTGTTATGAAAGGGGTCAGTTAACGTGTTATGAAAGGGGTCAGTTGACTTGTTATGAAAGGGGTCAGTAGCAGACCTGTTAACCCAATCTACCATGAGGATGGCTTTATACAACAATGACTAATTGAATACAAACTAACACTGTAGTATCTGTACTTTGACTTTGTTTGTTACTACTATCGAGTGTGGGTTCAAGTGCACAAGAACTTGCCCGACGTGCCACGCGTGCTAGCCGACGAGAGATCAAGTGAAGGTCGCTCTTGTAACCCCTGCGTCTGTCTACCTGGTTTATTGTTGACATAATATTATGTTAGGAAACCATTTCTCGATGGCGGGAGTTTTTTTAAAAGAAAAGATGGCGGATAGAGTGAGCGTGTGTGTGTGTGCCGTTTGCGTTTGACAGCAAAACAAATGTTCACCGAGTTTCTCCCTTGCCAGAGTCAGCTCCCCTCGTACATAATGACAAAACTAACAACTCCAATGTTAGCACATTGCGTCTGTCTGATACATCATAACAACTCTGTGGAAGCACATTGTGTCTGTCTGATACATCATAACAACTCCATGGAAGCACATTGTGTCTGTCTGATACATCATAACAACTCCGTGGAAGCACATTGTGTCCGTCCTGTCTGATACATCCATCATCAGAAGAAAGATGTCTGATACATCCATCGTCAAAAGACACATTTCTGTATGATACATCCAACATCAGAAGACATATGTCTGTGTTGACCTTTTCTTTGGCAAAGCTATGGTACGACATTTGGGTTTTATTTGAAGTCAATAAGAGTGACAGCGTTGTTGACCTAGTGCCACTACCAGGGATGACAGCGTTGTTGACCTAGTGCCACTACCAGGGATGACAGCGTTGTTGACCTAGTGCCACTACCAGGGATGACAGCGTTGTTTCCCTAGTGCCACTACCAGGGATGACAGCGTTGTTGACCTAGTGCCACTACCAGGGATGACAGCGTTGTTGACCTAGTGCCACTATCAGGGATGACATCGTTGTTGCCCAAGTGCCCCTACCAGGGATGACATCGTTGCCCAAGTGCCACTACCAGGGATGACATCGTTGTTGCCCAAGTGCCACTACTAGGGATGGCTGCGTTGTTACCCAAGTGCCAATATCAGGGATGACATCGTTGTTGCCCAAGTGCCACTATCAGGGATGGCTGCGTTATTGACCTAGTGCCACTACCAGGGATGGCTGCGTTGTTGACCTAGTGCCACTACCAGGGATGACATCATTGTTGCCCAAGTGCCACTATCAGGGATGACATCGTTGTTGCCCAAGTGCCACTGCCAGGGATGACGTCGTTGTTGCCCAAGTGCCACTATCAGGGATGACTGCGTTGTTGCCCAAGTGCTACTATCAGGGATGACATCGTTGTTACCCTAGTGCCACTATCAGGGATGACTGCGTTGTTGCCCAAGTGCTACTATCAGGGATGACATCGTTGTTACCCTAGTGCCACTATCAGGGATGACATCGTTGTTACCCTAGTGCCACTATCAGGGATGACATCGTTGTTACCCTAGTGCCACTACCAGGGATGACATCGTTGTTGCCCAAGTGCCACTAGTATGGATGACTGCGTTGATTTCTATTATCATAATTAGTATGGTGCCACTGACGGATATGAGGCATGAGGTAGGTAGTGGCAGCCTCACGTTGATGATTCTATATACACAGCCATTGAGGAGGCAGTTGCTAGGGAACCGTTTCGTCCCAGCTACTTCTTGAACTATTTGCGAGTAAGAAAACCCACTAGAATACCCTTTTAGATGGCGCTCGACGCTTCCCTGGGATGGGCGGGGGGGGGGGGTATTAAGACGGAAATATATCATCCCGAGCCCTGGGAAAGTCGATTGCTGATTTAATGAGTCCAGCATCATTGACCGACCGGATGTCCTAAGGTTGAGATGGCCCCCGTAAAGCTAGTCAGTCGAGTGAAGTTACAGGCGGGGCTGTCCTAGCTGGAGGTGTTCTCTAACGTGAAGCTTTGCGGCCCGATAGTTAGAGGACTCTTCGGGTTTGGGTGGAGGCTGCTTTGGGGAGGGCATTAAGAGCTTTTTAGCTCGACGGCTTGCTGACGTCATTTCCTAATGTACATATCTTATGACTTATCTAGAGGGTTAAACCTAGTGACTCTTCTCTTTATAACTGTTATTATACTTCCTGGCAGTTCACACTACCCAATGCCGCGTGGTGGCGGCAGTTGTACACCACATGCCAACACGTGTGGAGTAAGGGGGGAGGGATGTCTTTTCGAAATAACCTCTAAGACAAAAGAAAGCTTGTGGAAAGTGTTCAGGACGTCACGTGTCATTTCTGGTGACCGAGATGAAGGTCACATGATCCCTGCGTGAGACGATTATGTTTGATGTTGCACAGACATGCAGCCACAGATATAGCTCACGTCTGACGTCAGTATACTAATCTGACCTTACTTTGGGTAGGTGGTGTGTGTGTGTGTGGGGGGGGGGGCGGGGGGCAGGAAAGTCAAATCTACTCCATCTCGCGGAGCCTTGGAGCAAGGTGTTTTTTTTCCCTTCTCTCCGTGCGTCACTGTCTGACGTCAGTATACTAATCTGACCTTACTTTGGGTAGGTGGTGTGTGTGTGTGTGGGGGGGGGGGCGGGGGGCATGAAAGTCAAATCTACTCCATCTCGCGGAGACTTGGAGCAAGGTGTTTTTTTTCCCTTCTCTCCGTGCGTCACTGGGGTTACTCTGTCCGCTAAGGAGTTCTATTGGTTGGTTTATTCTGTCTGTTAAAGGGATCTGGTTTTGTTGCCAAGAGCAGTTGGCTAAAATAGAGGTTCTCAAAACACGTCTCACTTATCCCGTAAAAAATTATAATCTAATTATCGTGCACGTGTATCATATAATCATATTGTCGTATCACAGCTAAATGCTGAAGTCTTCCCACCTTATTTTATTGATCAGACTTTGAAATCTAAAACTAAAAGATCCTAAGAAACTATGATTGTCAAAACGTTGTTCTGAGGCAATACACGGATGCACTTGTTTTAGGACAAGAGCTGGCAAATACGACCTACGTCTACTGTAGACTGACGGACTGTAACATCACCTCTCATGACGGACATCCTGTAGTAACATCACCTCTCCTGCCGGACATCCTGTAATAACATCACCTCTCCTACAGCGTTTTTAGTTAAATGGTGTATTCCACTATTTCATTCAAAAATGGTCTGCAGCCTTTTGGTATTAATAGTTCCAAAGTAAGACCTGGGGAGGTTGGGGGGGGGGTGAAATTCATGCAAAAATATACTGTTTTTCTTTTATAATATAATTACAATCTAGAACAAACATCTATAATAGTTATGGTGGGTCTACTGAAGCCAATTATCACCTAAATATTAGTAATAATGCTATAAAATAGCAAAACATGTTTCGTGGTTATCGTCATACTAATGCTTTGTGTTTTCATAAATAGCTGGCAAGATATCCCTGTATTAATATTTAGCCAAGTACTAACACACTAGTCTTTCCATGCTGGTGACGTAATTATTTCCTTTGGAGACCAACCTCCCTCATCCCCCTTGTTTGGGATAATTAAAATTGTGTTTACCGGGTCTCTTACAATAGTTCTTTTGAAGGAGAATCGCAAAAGACTTCTCAAATTGTTCGCCAAAATCACAAAAGTAAACAGGTCTGCAGTAGGCCTACTACATAATTATAATACAAAACAGTGCTACATGCCCACACTTGCTATTTCGCCCGCAACAATGTTTATAAGCATGATCATGATGAATTTCAAGAAATGAATACATTAAAAAAGCCTACGTTTCCTTTATTTTTTAAAATAAAAATTTAAAAAAAAAATTAAAAAAAAAAAGGTGGGAAATATTACCATTCCCAAGGATTATTCAATATTATTCACCTTTGCCTGTTAGTAGGCAGAGTATTAGTAGTAGTCATATCAAATACGAGGACAGCAAGACGTCGAGCAATTATGACTATCGGATTGTCGGCCTAGAGACAGACAGTCTGACCTCTGGTTGATGACCGAAAACCCCTGTCACTTTCAGCCAGATGGCCGAAAGTCTCCATCACTTACGGCCGAAACAGAAATTAAATCGAAAGTTAACTTTTCAGTTTCGGCCGAAACCGAAATTAGCCCGAAAGTGATCAAATGGCCACTTTCGGCACCGAAGCCGAAATTCGGTCGGTCTCTATTATTTGTTATGAGCTCAATGTATGACCGCCGGCACGCATGGAATAAAGGCACTCACGAGTTAGTGAAACCGTTGTGACACAAGAAATAAAGGCACTATATGAGTAGTTAGGTAACGAGTTTGTGAACCGTTGGAACACAAAAAATAAAGGCACTATATGAGTAGTTAGATAATGAGTTTGTGAACCGTTGGGACACAAGAAATAAAGGCACTATATGAGTAGTTAGGTAATGAGTTTGTGAACCGTTGGAATCGAAAACTCGGTGACTCGTCTACTTTTTTGTTTATGGTGAGTTTCACAATGATATTGTCTGCAAGTGCTACTGTGATATTGTGTTCACAATGATATTGTCTGCAAGTGCTACTGTAATATTTTGTTCACAATGATATTGTCTGCAAGTGCTACTGTGATATTGTGTTCACAATGATATTGTCTGCAAGTGCTACTGTAATATTTTGTTCACAATGATATTGTCTGCAAGTGCTACTGTAATATTGTGTTCACAATGATAACATGGCCTGCAAGTGTTACGGGATATTAGAATAGCTGAGTTACTGCGTAAGTTAACATACTTTGGGTGGCTTGAAGTGTTGAGTAAATGTGTAAGTTAACATTTTCCAGGATATTACACCAACACAGCCATTGTGTAGTTGAAGTACTAGATTGTACACCCATCACTTGTTTAGTTCACTGTCTAGGTTGTACACCCGACATATGTTTTGTTAACAGTCTACATTGTACACCAACATATATTTAGTTAACAGGCTACATTGTACACCAACATATGTTTAGTTGACAGTCCACACTGTACACCAACATATGTTTAGTTGATTGTCTAGATTGTACACCAACATATTTTTAGTTGATTGTCTAGATTGTATTGTACACCGACACTTCTTACGTAGACTGTGTACGTGGTACGTACCTCATACTTTTCTAATTGTGTAATGACCTTCTCTCAAAGACAAGTTCGACGATCAAATCACCATGCTAACCTACCCCCCTCCCCCCCACCCTTCTTAGTCCAACCATTCCCCCTTTACATCCCTCCCTTACTCTACTCCCAATAGTTCCTACGCGTGCCCTCCCTTCCTCTCCCCCACACCTGGGACACCCCTCGCCCTCATCTGACTATGGCCAGAGATCAATACATGCTATTTAACAGGAGCCCCCCAATTGACAATGGACATAGCGAGACACTGAATCAGCATTGCTAATGGTGGCAAAGATAGTTGGTCTACAATGGATAGGGCATACAATAGAAAAATAGTGACACATTATTAGTACACTAGGAAGTTTGGGAGAGCGGACCGCAGGACCGTGGCGGGGCAGTGCAGAACCGTGCCGTGGCAGCGCAGGACCTTGCCGAGGCTTCGCAGGACCGTGATTTGACCCTCATGACAATCCTTGGTCAGAGCTAAGTGGTTCACTAATTGTCTGCCCCGTCTATCCTCGTGACTTGACCGTCATGGCAATCCTTGGTCAGAGCTAAGTGGTTCACTAATTGTCTGCCCCGTCTATCCTCGTGACTTGACCCTCATGACAATCCTTGGTCAGAGCTAAGTGGTTCACTAATTGCCTGCCCCGTCTCTCCTCGTGACTTGACCCTCATGACAATCCTTGGTCAGAGCTAAGTGGTTCACTAATTGTCTGCCTCGTCGCTCCTCGTGACGGGACATGCGACCATGAAGGTATCAGAAGGTCTCCTCGTGACGGGACATGTGACCATGAAGGTATCAGAAGGTCTCCTCGTGATGGGACATTTGACCATGAAGGTAACAGAAGGTCTCTTCGTAACGGGACATGTGACCATGAAGGTAACAGAAGGTCTCCTCGTAACGGGACATGTGACCATGAAGGTAACAGAAGGTCTCCACTTGACGGGACATGTGACCATGAAGGTAACAGAAGGTCTCCTCGTGACGGGACATGTGACCATGAAGGTAACAGAAGGTCTTGTCGTTCGTGCAGCACGTATTGGTCGGCCGTACACTACAAACATTTTGACTGGTCTGTAAAGGTCCAATGATGTGGTGTAATACTAATTGACTGGTCTATGTCCTGTGCAGTGGTTCTCAAACCTTTTCACTGATCTGTCTAGGACCAGCGCAGTGGATCTAAAAAAATTTTATGATTCCCGCATACACAGTGAGTGCTCTGTGCACTGCTAGTAGGCACTATTCATTGTAGTTGTTTGGTTCTATGACTTTCTAGTGTAGATGATCGCCCTACACTGCTAGGAGGCACTATTCATTATAGTTGTTTGGTTCTAAGACTTTGTTCAAAGCCACAGTACAGTGGACACACGTAATTTTCATGACAGATATCTTGGTCTTGTTTAAAACGATAGTACAGTGTACATATTTAGTTTACATAAAAGATATCTTGGTCTTGTTCAAAACCATAGTACAGTGTACATATTTAGTTAACATAAAAGATATCTTGGTCTTGTTCAAAACCATAGTACAGTGTACATATTTAGTTTACATAAAAGATATCTTGGTCTTGTTTAAAACCATAGTACAGTGTACATATTTAGTTTACATAAAAGATATATTGGGCTTGTTTAAAACGATAGTACAGTGTACGTATTTAGTTTACATAACAGATATCTTGGTCTTGTTTAAAACGATAGTACAGTGTACATATTTAGTTTACATAACAGATATCTTGGCCTTGTTTAAAACGATAGTACAGTGTACATATTTAGTTTACATAAAAGATATCTTGGTCTTGTTTAAAACGATAGTACAGTGTACATATTTAGTTTACATAACATATATCTTGGTCTTGTTCAAAACGATAGTACAGTGTACATATTTAGTTTACATAACAGATATCTTGGTCTTGTTTAAAACGATAGTACAGTGTACATATTTAGTTTACATAACAGATATCTTGGTCTTGTTTAAAACGATAGTACTAACGATAGTACAGTGTACATATTTAGTTTACATAACAGATATCTTGGTCTTGTTTAAAACGATAGTACAGTGTACATATTTAGTTTACATAACAGATATCTTGGTCTTGTTTAAAACGATAGTACAGAGTACATATTTAGTTTACATAACAGATATCTTGGTCTTGTTTAAAACGATAGTACAGTGTACATATTTAGTTTACATAACAGATATCTTGGTCTTGTTTAAAACGATAGTACAGTGTACATATTTAGTTTACATAACAGATATCTTGGTCTTGTTTAAAACGATAGTACAGAGTACATATTTAGTTTACATAACAGATGTCTTGTTCAAAGCGATAGTACAGTGTACATATTTAGTTTACATAACAGATTTCTTGTTCAAAACCATAGTACAGTGTACATATTTAGTTTACATAAAAGATGTCTTGTTCAAAGCGATAGTACAGTGTACATATTTAGTTTACATAACATATATCTTGTTCAAAACCATGGTACAGAGTACAGATGTGGTTTTCATGACTGATATCTTGTTCAAAACCATGGTACAGAGTACAGATGTGGTTTTCTTGACAGATATCTTGTTCAAAACCATGGTACAGAGTACAGATGTGGTTTTCATGACTGATATCTTGTTCAAAACCATGGTACAGAGTACAGATGTGGTTTTCATGACAGATATCTTGTTCAAAACCATGGTACAGAGTACAGGTGTGGTTTTCTTGACAGATATCTTGTTCAAAACCATGGTACAGAGTACAGATGTGGTTTTCATGACTGATATCTTGTTCAAAACCATAGTACAGAGTACAGATGTGGTTTTCATGACTGATATCTTTTTCAAAACCATGGTACAGAGTACAGATGTGGTTTTCTTGACAGATATCTTGTTCAAAACCATGGTACAGAGTAGGGGTGTGCCGGACCCCGATCCGGAATCCGGTTCCGCCGGATTTTGCACTATCCGGTGAAATCCGGTTCCGCCGGATTTACATGTATCCGGAACAACCGGATTCCGGAATCCGGAATATACCGGATTTCGGAATTTGCCAGATTTTGTGACTCACCGGATCATAATCTGAAATAAAAGTAATTCTCTTTCCCGAATTCCACACGATCACGATACATTAATCGATTGTTTCGAGCGTTGAGCTTGTTTAATGTTTAATATTCCGTACATACCAGAGGCTAGAGTCAGCACCGCTAATAGTGGCCAATAGTGTAGGGACTTTGATAAGAAAATTTAAACTTTTTGTAAAAATAAACCAATGGCATAGTTGAAAAGATGTAATTTTTTAAAGAATTATAACACCAAAATCATATTTTTAGCTGTTGTAGTTTTAAAGTTATGAATTTTTAAAGTACGACTTGGTTTGTCATTTTTTAACATGGACTGCATCTCCACATTCTGTGATCTCATTCCACCAATCCCGTCATGCGCAATGACTATATAGTTTATATAAGGCAACGCATTCCCTGCCTTATCACTAAAATACTGTTTAGACTTAGTTTAAACTTTCAACTTTGGCACATGAATAATTAATTAAAGCTTTCCCTGACCAATGGTTTAATAGTTTTTGCACACGGCAAACTCTTATGAATGAAACTCTGAGGTAGTACTACGATACAGTTATGCAAGTGGCTGTGAATGGTTGCCAATGACAACGTGTTGCACACGGTAAATTCTGATCATTTATAATATGGATTCTACCGGGTTGTTAAAGCTCAAATTAAAACATTCCAGTTTAAATGTCTTTAAATGCATTCTGAAACACAAGTTATCAATTATTTTGATGTAAATAGTGATAATAAATTAATATTTCCTAAGTATCGTCAACTTCCGCCATTAAAAAGGGGGCGTGGCCAACCCCATGGCGAAATTAGGTTGAGCGAGCTGCATAACCTGCTGCGAACGCGTAGAAACATGGCGTCTCTCGTAAGACACTTATCCAAATGGAACGGAACTCAAATATATATCGAAAGTACTAATTTAATAATAAATAGACACACACATCGGAAAATTAAAAACTCGGATTTTTTGGCGCCGATTGCAAATTCCCATACACAAAAAGTAGTAGTCCACCTTGACTTACCGAAGTATCTACCAATAGTACCAAAATCCGGAATCCGGGAGAAACCGGAATCCGGATCCGGCGGATTTCGCATAAGAAAATCCGGATCCGGATCCGGTTGGAAAAAACGGATCCGGCACACCCCTAGTACAGAGTACAGATGTGGTTTTCATGACTGATATCTTGTTCAAAACCATGGTACAGAGTACAGATGTGGTTTTCTTGACAGATATCTTGTTCAAAACCATGGTACAGAGTACAGATGTGGTTTTCATGACTGATATCTTGTTCAAAACCATGGTACAGAGTACAGATGTGGTTTTCATGACAGATATCTTGTTCAAAACCATGGTACAGAGTACAGGTGTGGTTTTCTTGACAGATATCTTGTTCAAAACCATGGTACAGAGTACAGATGTGGTTTTCATGACTGATATCTTGTTCAAAACCATAGTACAGAGTACAGATGTGGTTTTCATGACTGATATCTTTTTCAAAACCATGGTACAGAGTACAGATGTGGTTTTCTTGACAGATATCTTGTTCAAAACCATGGTACTGAGTACAGATGTGGTTTTCATGACTGATATCTTGTTCAAAACCATAGTACAGAGTACAGATGTGGTTTTCATGACTGATATCTTTTTCAAAACCATGGTACAGAGTACAGATGTGGTTTTCTTGACAGATATCTTGTTCAAAACCATGGTACTGAGTACAGATGTGGTTTTCATGACAGATATCTTGTTCAAAACCATGGTACAGAGTACAGATGTGGTTTTCATGACTGATATCTTGTTCAAAACCATGGTACAGAGTACAGATGTGGTTTTCTTGACAGATATCTTGTTCAAAACCATGGTACAGAGTACAGATGTGGTTTTCATGACAGATATCTTGTTCAAAACCATGGTACAGAGTACAGATGTAGTTTTCATGACAGATATCTTGTTCAAAACCATGGTACAGTGCACAGACGTAGTTTTCAGGAAGCCTCAGTGACTTACGGTAGACGTAGTCTTCGGGAAGCCTCAGTGACTTACGGTAGACGTAGTTTTCAGGAAGCCTCAGTGACTTACGGTAGACGTAGTTTTCAGGAAGCCTCAGTGACTTACGGTAGACGTAGTCTTCAGGAAGCCTCAGTGACTTACTGTAGACGTAGTTTTCAGGAAGCCTTAGTGACTTACGGTAGACGTAGTTTTTAGGAAGCCTCAGTGACTTACTGTAGACGTAGTTTTTCAGGAAGCCTCAGTGACTTACTGTAGACGTAGTTTTCAGGAAGCCTCAGTGACTTACGGTAGACGTAGTTTTCAGGAAGCATCAGTGACTTACGGTAGACGTAGTTTTCAGGAAGCCTCAGTGCCTTACTGTAGACGTAGTTTTCAGGAAGCCTCAGTGACTTACTGTAGACGTAGTTTTCAGGAAGCCTCAGTGACTTACTGTAGACGTAGTTTTCAGGAAGCCTCAGTGACTTACGGTAGACGTAGTTTTCAGGAAGCCTCAGTGACTTACTGTAGACGTAGTTTTCAGGAAGCCTCAGTGACTTACGGTAGACGTAGTCTTCCTTATATTTGTGTTGCTTCCTATCATTCAGACGTAAATAATTCCATGTGTCTAGGAGTGATTTTCCTGCGTCTATTTATAGCCGTAAACACGTCTAGAGCCATCTGACCTAGTTTACCATGTAGCGGATTTGTTTCTATCGATTTTCGATACACGTATGGTCAATGGCTTTGCTATTTTTAGAATGCACTATTTTCTTGTTGAACCTTTCTTCCAAGGTTGTTATTAAGCTACTGACGTCTTATGGAAAGTGTGTGTTGGTGGGCAGTTGCTAGACTTGATGTGGCTTTATATACTTGATGCTTCTATGTCTCTAGTTAACTATAGTGATCTAGTTGAATGAGGCAACGTGCCTCACCTGTCTCAGAATTTCTTTTTCCTATGTACCCCCCCCAACCCGCTTACAATCCCTAACATCTTGGTGACACCCCAACCCCAAACAGAAGCTGGTATCTTAGTGGCACCCCAACCCTAAAAATGACCCTTACTTCTAAGTGACACCCTATCAGACGCTGACATCCAGGTGGCACACCCTGCCCCTACAGACCCTGACATCTAAGTGGCACCCTGCCCTAAACAGGCACTTATATCTAAGTGGCACCCTCACCACCCACAGACCCTGACATCTAAGTGGCACCCTGCCCTAAACAGGCACTTATATCTAAGTGGCACCCTCACCACCCTCACCACCCACAGACCCTGACATCTAAGTGGCCCCCTGCCCTAAACAGGCACTTATATGTAAGTGGCACCCCCCCCACCCACAGACCCCGACATCCTGTTGCCAAGCCTCCCCCCCCCCCCATGGCAACCTAACCGGTGCTAACCCGCACACCCAGGGGTTACGACTGCCCCAAAACCACAGCTCCTCTGAAACCTAGACTGGCACCAGGTATTTATTATTGTTGACATTAAAGTCAGCTGCAAGTATTAACTGGAAGGAAAGGTCCGGTTTAAATTGTTGTGACAGAGTAATGCCAGCTAAAGTCAGCTGACTGAAAGAAAAGTTTTGGTTGAAGTGTTGTGATAGTGTAATGTCAACTAGATGGGCAACCATCCATTTTTCACATCGGTGCTGAGATGTGTTCCTATAAGGATAGAATAGAATGACACACTGTGATATGTTCCTATGAGGATAGAATAGAATGACATGCTGTGATGTGTTCCTATAAGGATAGAATAGAATGACACTGTGATATGTTCCTAGGAGGATAGAATAGAATGAATGATACACCATGATTTGTTCCTATGAGGATAGAATAGAATGACATGTTGTGATGTGTTCCTATGAGTATAGAAACCCATGAGTCAAAAACTCGATTATTTACTTGTTTGTTTCAATATATCCTGCTTGAGTCACATCCAATAGATGGGGTATTTCCACTGTACTGATGATGATGTTTCCAGGAAGTACATTGCAGTTGGGTTAGTAGCATGTACATCCACTTTAGACACAATAGATGCTTGTTGAAAAGGGGATCTCCCACAAATCTCATGTCATGATTTAAATGGTTGATTTGATCATGCAGTTCAGCTTTCTGTGGCTATTTAATGCTTTTCTGATGAGATTTCTATTTGGAATATAATGGGGTAGCAGTGTGGTATTAAAGTGAACTTACTGGGGTACAGTGTGTGTTGTCAGGTGAATGTACTGGGGTAGGTAAGAGTTATATCTAAATATGACAAGCACACAGACAGTTTATTGTTTATTCGTTTTTGTTTTCAATTTACATTTCAAGTTGTGTGTGCATTTATTTTATGAAATTTTTAAATGTTTTTTTTTCCCCCTCAGGTTGGGTTGGGGGAGGGTGAGGAGCTTATTACAGTGTCGAAACAATCTCTTTATTTCAGATAGTGCTCTGTCGTCTTCTCTCTTAGCCAGCCTAGATGAGGCATCTGTCGAAACAATCTCTTTATTTCAGATAGTGCTCTGTCGTCTTCTCTCTTAGCCAGCCTAGATGAGGCATCTGTCGAAACAATCTCTTTATTTCAGATAGTGCTCTGTCGTCTTCTCTCTTAGCCAGCCTAGATGAGGCATCTGTCGAAACAATCTCTTTATTTCAGATAGTGCTCTGTCGTCTTCTCTCTTAGCCAGCCTAGATGAGGCATCTGTCCAAACAATCTCTTTATTTCAGATAGTGCTCTGTAGTGTTCTCTGTTAGCCAGTCTAGATGAGGCATCTGTCCAAACAATCTCTTTATTTCAGATAGTGCTCTGTAGTGTTCTCTGTTAGCCAGTCTAGATGAGACATCTGTCCAAACAATCTCTTTATTTCAGATAGTGCTCTGTAGTGTTCTCTGTTAGCCAGTCTAGATGAGGCATCTGTCCAAACAATCTCTTTATTTCAGATAGTGCTCTGTCGTCTTCTCTCTTAGCCAGCCTAGATGAGGCATCTGTCGAAACAATCTCTTTATTTCAGATAGTGCTCTGTCGTCTTCTCTCTTAGCCAGCCTAGATGAGGCATCTGTCGAAACAATCTCTTTATTTCAGATAGTGCTCTGTCGTCTTCTGTCTTAGCCAGCCTAGATGAGGCATCTGTCGAAACAATCTCTTTATTTCAGATAGTGCTCTGTCGTCTTCTCTCTTAGCCAGCCTAGATGAGGCATCTGTCGAAACAATCTCTTTATTTCAGATAGTGCTCTGTCGTCTTCTCTCTTAGCCAGCCTAGATGAGGCATCTGTCCAAACAATCTCTTTATTTCAGATAGTGCTCTGTAGTGTTCTCTGTTAGCCAGTCTAGATGAGGCATCTGTCCAAACAATCTCTTTATTTCAGATAGTGCTCTGTAGTGTTCTCTGTTAGCCAGTCTAGATGAGACATCTGTCCAAACAATCTCTTTATTTCAGATAGTGCTCTGTAGTGTTCTCTGTTAGCCAGTCTAGATGAGACATCTGTCGAAACAATCTCTTTATTTCAGATAGTGCTCTGTAGTGTTCTCTGTTAGCCAGTCTAGATGAGGCATCTGTCCAAACAATCTCTTTATTTCAGATAGTGCTCTGTCGTCTTCTCTCTTAGCCAGCCTAGATGAGGCATCTGTCGAAACAATCTCTTTATTTCAGATAGTGCTCTGTCGTCTTCTCTCTTAGCCAGCCTAGATGAGGCATCTGTCGAAACAATCTCTTTATTTCAGATAGTGCTCTGTCGTCTTCTCTCTTAGCCAGCCTAGATGAGGCATCTGTCGAAACAATCTCTTTATTTCAGATAGTGCTCTGTCGTCTTCTCTCTTAGCCAGCCTAGATGAGGCATCTGTCCAAACAATCTCTTTATTTCAGATAGTGCTCTGTCGTCTTCTCTCTTAGCCAGCCTAGATGAGGCATCTGTCGAAACAATCTCTTTATTTCAGATAGTGCTCTGTAGTGTTCTCTGTTAGCCAGTCTAGATGAGGCATCTGTCCAAACAATCTCTTTATTTCAGATAGTGCTCTGTAGTGTTCTCTGTTAGCCAGTCTAGATGAGGCATCTGTCCAAACAATCTCTTTATTTCAGATAGTGCTCTGTAGTGTTCTCTGTTAGCCAGTCTAGATGAGACATCTGTCCAAACAATCTCTTTATTTCAGATAGTGCTCTGTAGTCTTCTCTCTTAGCCAGTCTGTTTGTCAGCTTGAATAATGTAGATTTACATAAAATCACCACATATTGAATTTGACCACAAATGACCGTTCCCCTCTTGCATAAATCTCAGTTCAGGTTTTATTTGTGTTACACTTTACTGTTCGCTGAAGATGGCTTCTTGCCGATGCTGAAGATAAAACTTGCCGACTTGTTCGTTGTTTTGTTGCCTCCAATTTCCAGGTGTTCCCATACCTTGTTTCACATATTTCCTTTCACCATAAAGTATACTTTATGTGTATTTGTAAGAACTTATAAAAATTACAGCAACTGTCAGGAATTTTAGTAAATTAAGATCATCCAATCTCAGAAGTCTTAGCTGACATCCAGTGTTATTATCATATATCCAGTGTTATTATTATGTATCCAGTATTTTTATCATATATCCAGTGTTCTTATTATCATATATCCAGTTTTCTTATTATCATATTTCCAGTGTTCTTATTATCATATATCCAGTGTTCTTATTATCATATATCCAGTGTTCTTATTATCATATTCAGTGTTCTTATATATTCAGTGTTCTTATTATATATCCAGTGTTCGTATTATTATACATCTAGTGACCTAATAATATGCATACCATATGCTAGTAGCCATAGTAGTAAAATATCTCTAGTACCTGTAGCAGTAAAAGACCACCATAGTGCAGGTCAAGGTCATCAAGGGGATTAACTTTGATTGTATGACAAGATACAAAACTTGCAGAAATGTGTCTTAACCCCAGTGGTATTTGGTGGCTACATTTTCCATGTCCCTCTGTCTGGGCAGGTAATGACTGTGGCAGGTAATGACTGTGGCAGACAGAAATGCTGTTATGTCTGATGGTATAAACATGAAAATATCAAGTGTTTGGTTATTAAACATTGGGGGGGGGGGGGGGGGGGGTCAGTGTCTAGAGGAGTGAGAGGATGAGTGTCTAGAGGAGTGAGAGGATGAGTGTCTAGAGGAGTGAGAGTGTGAGTGTCTAGAGGAGTGAGAGGATGAGTGTCTAGAGGAGTGAGAGTGTGAGTGTCTAGAGGAGTGAGAGGATGAGTGTAGAGGAGTGAGAGTGTGAGTGTCTAGAGGAGTGAGAGGATGAGTGTCTAGAGGAGTGAGAGGATGAGTGTCTAACATTTGCTTAATGAAGACTATGGTTTTTAGGCTATGTCAGTGTTGGGTAAGCTGGAGGACGTGGACATTGACATTAATCTAAGTTTGTGGGCTATGGACAATGGCTCCATTAGTGGTAAAAGTTTGAATCAACCGAAAAGGAAAGAATTTTAGAAATGTTAACTTAAAGACTTGCCAAACAGGGTTAGAACTTTGATGGTGCAATTCCAACAATTTTTTTTAAAGAGACCCAAAATATTGCAATGTCATTGTCCAATGGAATCAAGTCAACCTCATTGGGGGTCAAACTCACATTATCTCTCTATGTGCTTGGATCACTTTTGATCAAGATCAACGGTTATATATTTGAGGGACAGAGCACCTCAACAACTTGTCAGTTCTGTGATGAAGTGAACATTTCACCAAATGTTTCTATGCTCATCATATCAGCAAGTTGTTTCTATACCCATCGTGTCAGCAAGTTGTTTCTATACCCATCGTGTCAGCAAGTTGTTCCTATACCCATTGTGACAGCAAGTTGTTTCTATACTCATCGTGTCAGCAAGTTGTTTCTATATCCATCGTGTCAGCAAGTTGTTTCTATACCCATTGTGTCAGCAAGTTGTTCCTATACCCATTGTGACAGCAAGTTGTTTCTATACCCATCATATCAGGAAGTTTTTTCTATACCCATCATGTCAGCAAGTTGTTCCTATACCCATTGTGACAGCAAGTGTTTTCTATACTCATCGTGTCAGCAAGTTGTTTCTATACCCATCGTGTCAGCAAGTTGTTTCTATACCCATCGTGTCAGCAAGTTGTTCCTATACCCATTGTGACAGCAAGTTGTTTCTATACCCATTGTGTCAGCAAGTGGTTCCTATACCCATTGTGTCAGCAAGTTGTTTCTATACCCATCATATCAGGAAGTTTTTTCTATACCCATCATGTCAGCAAGTTGTTCCTATACCCATTGTGACAGCAAGTTGTTTCTATACTCATCGTGTCAGCAAGTTGTTTCTATACCCATCGTGTCAGCAAGTTTTTCCTATACCCATTGTGACAGCAAGTTGTTTCTATACTCATCGTGTCAGCAAGTTGTTTCTATACCCATTGTGTCAGCAAGTTGTTTCTTTACCCATTGTGTCAGCAAGTTGTTTCTATATCCATTGTGACAGCAAGTTGTTTATATACTCATCCTCATGCATTTGGTTGTGTGACTGTAGATGGTTTTGCTTTTCTATCTGGTGGTGGATTTATGTGGTGGTTTTAGTACGGTGTATCCAGTATGGTGCATCCAGTACAGTACATCCAGTACTGTGCATCCAGTACGGTGCATCCAGTAGGGTGAATCTAGTTAGTAGGGTGTATCTAGACGGGTGTATTCAGTGGGGTGTATCCAGCAGGGCGTATCCAGCGGGGCGTATCGAGTAGGGCGGATCCAGTAGGGTGTATCTAGTAGTGTGGATTTAGTATGGTTTGGGAAAACAAAGATGGGTAACGAACTATTTAATTGTTTTGTGATGATTATGTGTGGTAGATAATTTAGTTGTTTTTCCTATTGAAAATGCTAACACCGTGATCTTATTACAAAGTCTGAGTGAACAGTGTGTTAGCCCGAGACTTTCTCACATTAAAAAATTATTTCCGTCAGCTTCTATGGGGGAGAGGAACTGTTGTCTCACATACTAAGAATCCAAGCTGACTTTTAATTTCTCACTCCAAGCTTTTCAGTTGTATGACTTGTCACTCAAAGCTTTTCAGTTGTATGACTTGTCACTCCAAGCTTTTCAGTTGTATGACTTGTCACTCCAAGCATTTCTGTTGTAAGACTTGTCACTCCAAGCTTCAGTTGTATGACTTGTCACTCCAAGCTTCAGTTGTATGACTTGTCACTCCAAGCTTTTCAGTTGTATGACTTGTCACTCCAAGCTTTTCAGTTGTATGACTTTTCACTCCGAGCTTTTCAGTTGTATGACTTGTCACTCCAAGCTTTTCAGTTGTATGACTTGTCACTCCAAGCTTTTCAGTTGTATGACTTGTCACTCCGAGCTTTTCAGTTGTATGACTTGTCACTCCAAGCTTCAGTTGTATGACTTGTCACTCCAAGCTTTTCAGTTGTATGACTTTTCACTCCGAGCTTTTCAGTTGTATGACTTGTCACTCCAAGCTTTTCAGTTGTATGACTTTTCACTCCGAGCTTTTCAGTTGTATGACTTGTCACTCCAAGCTTCAGTTGTATGACTTGTCACTCCAAGCTTTTCAGTTGTATGACTTGTCACTCCAAGCTTTTCAGTTGTATGACTTTTCACTCCGAGCTTTTCAGTTGTATGACTTGTCACTCCAAGCTTTTCAGTTGTATGACTTGTCACTCCAAGCTTTTCAGTTGTATGACTTGTCACTCCAAGCTTATGAGTTGTGCCAATTTCTTGTATATTCTTGTGAAAGTTCAATCATCTCATCAATATTTAAGTCTTCATTAATAACTAATTTTTTTATGTAAACCTTGAATCCCTGTATTGCAATCAATAAAACTGGGTACAATGCTAATAATCTGAAGTATTCAGCCATGTTGTTTAGTTGAATCCAATCTCCTGGGTAACAGCATGGCCAGAAATTATCACAAACAAATGGTGAATTGGTTACAACAAAAGCAAAACAGGTCAAAGTTAAAGTGATATATCTTTACAATTAAATTGTAGCAAACTGTTGCACTTGGAGTCTCATTTCATTGGTTTTGTTTGTTTTATTCAGGTTGACCTGAGGTGACTCCATCCAATCCAGACAGGCAAGAATCGTTTATTGTTACCAGATTTTTTTCAAATCCAGACCATTACATTGACAGCTGTGGGAAACCCTGGGCAGAGACCTTCTCATTGGACATAGCCGCCATCCGTTGCCAGGGGCACAAGACGTCTGAAGTTATTGGAACTGTTAGAGCTTGTTCTCAAACAGGGACTACAACATAGGAGACATCTGAAAGTCTTACAACTGTGGGATCTTGTTTTCAACCAAAGACTGCCATCTTTCACTGACGAGTTTCTCCACAGGGAAGTATTGAGGACCAAGACAACAATTGTTTTGGGCAAAGAGGAATGGAAAATGTTCACAATGCTATAGCATGGTATCAGAAAAAGGTGAGCATCATTTCATTATGCTGACAATAACAATGTCTCAGTCAATATCCTTTCTTGCTCAAAAGAAATGAAATATTTTTTTTGTTTTGTGGTTGTAGCATTACATGGTGTAAATAAACTTCTCAATATTTTTGTTTCTTTCCTTTTTTAAATATTGTTTGGATAACCCAAAATGCTTGTATCTTTGGTTTGTGGAGGTCTACAAAGCAGATATTGAGTTCCCAACATAGACTCAAAGCTTGTTTTAACCTATTCAAATGTTTATTTGTTTATTCTAAAATTGACCTATGTGGCAAATCAAGGCAGTTCAGTTGTTTAATCAAAAAGAGAAAAAAGGTGCAACATATTAAACAAAAGCTTCCCTTTAAAAACATCAGAGCTTTGTGTAGAAAACAGTGGGCACCAGGGCTGCTCAAGCGGATCCCTGGATCCCTTTCAATATTTAGTAGATAAAAAATGAGCCAGGGATATCTTGGGTAACCACTTTTAGAATTAATAATACCCATTTTGTTGGATTTAAATTGAGCAAGGGACAGGTATGTTTCAAATTGTCCCTGTTAGGCCACAGCCAGTCAAAGCTACTTACTTGCAATGAACTATTGAGCTCTGTAACTCTAGTGCACAGGTTCTCAAGCATTTTCAAGTCATGACTACATTTATATACAAGCAGAGTGACCTACAACCATGACACACTAAACTAATGGCATTTAATAGGGTCAATCTCGATAAATGTAATTACATAAAAACTAGACATTTGAGCATGACATCATTTTAATTGAAGACATATTTAATGCCATTATTTACTTTTTAACTTAAACTGTAAGGCAGATGACATAATTTGAGCATGATATAATTTAAATGAAAGACATACTTAATGTCAACATAGACTTTGTAAGACATATTTAATGCCATAAGTGACTTTGTAAGACATATTTTTTGCCATAATTGACTTTGTAAGACATACTTAATGCCAACATTAACTTTGTAATACATATTTAATGTCATAATTGACTTTGTAAAGTAAACTGTATGGTAAATTAGAAAAAAGAACTGATGAAAAAATCTCTTAGTTTATTTTTCCAGCTGGTGACTCCACCAGTTATAATAGTAGAATAAGAAACCACCTCAAATCTGTGGTCTGTGTAACACTGAACCTTTAGTCAGCATTCTCCATTCTTTGTCTACCTGACGTCACATGATGACCGCCCACTCCAATGCTCCAACCAATGTTCACACATACAAGTTGAAACATTCATGAAAACAACTCACCAGTCCCCGCCCACTCCAGTGCTCCAACCAATGTTCACACACATTCATGAAAACAACTCACCAGTCAGGTCATACACCATGACAACACTGGACAATCAGGTCACAGAGTTCACTCAATACACACAACAATAATCTAGATAATCATACACACTGTCACAAGTGTCCCCCTGCGATTACTATTTGAGATGACATGTCATGGGTTGGGAACAGTGCTTAAGTAGCTTAATTCTACTGGCTGTTGAGGTGCCAAACTTACGTTCTGTGCTTAAGTAGCTTAATTCTACTGGCTGTTGAGGTGCCAAACTTACGTTCTGTTGTGTTGTTTACTTTCTAAATCAGTCTAGTAATGCATTGGCATATATATATACATCTTTTAGTTTTTTTTAAAATTTATACCGAACCCTTTGTTGATTCATGACAGATTCAAAATTAGAATTTGAGACACAAATAAACTGTGGTTTCCTCTATAGACAGTCATAATGACCTTAGCTTAATAAGCTACTTATCTCTTCCTAGGGTTTAGCAGTGAAAAACTTCAGCAGCTAGCAGCAAGTGATCAACCTCTTAACATCATTTTCCATTTGTTCAAAGACTCAAGTTTAAAGTTTAGCAATTTCTAAAACACAATCTTTCATCGTCTCAGTTTGAGAATGTTTGATGTAGAATTAATCTCATTGCGGGAGGATTCACTTTTATCATGTATTCAGGGATAAGCCAAACCTCTGGAAATGATGAGCAACCCTAGGTCGTGCTGAGTTTATTTTTCAGGCTGTTACTTGGGTGCTTGATTCAGGCTGTTACTTGGGTGCTTGATTCAGGCTTTACTTGGGTGCTTGATTCAGGCTGTTACTTGGGTGCTTGATTCAGGCTGTTACTTGGGTGCTTGATTCAGGCTGTTACTTGGGTGCTTGATTCAGGCTGTTACTTGGGTGCTTGATTCAGGTTTTACTTGGGTGCTTGATTCAGGCTTTACTTGGGTGCTTGATTCAGGCTGTTACTTGGGTGCTTGATTCAGGCTGTTTCTTGTGTGCTTGATTCAGGCTGTTTCTTATATGCTTGATTCAGGCTGTTTCTTGTGTGCTTGATTCAGGTTGTTTCTTGGGTGCTTAATTCCATTAGAATTCTAAATAAATCTCTTCATTATTATTTACCTACAATTTGACTTTGGGGATTTCTCGATTTAAATATTGATGAGATTTAATGCTTTCATACTGTCTGAATAATGAATATTCTGGAATATTCTGCAGATTGGATCCTATGACAAACAGCTTTGGGAGCAATCGGTTGAGAAGAAACTACAAAAGGTAACTTATGGGATTAAACAGATATTAATGCTCACAGAAGATAGAAACACAGAGTAGCTGACAAAGTATACATGGTTTAAAGTTCTCGCAAGCTGTTTAGAATCGGTAGACAAATTATGCAAGGGTCAAAGTTAATGAAGGCCGTATTGTAATAAGTCTAGGTGGAATAAGAAATAGTCAATTGATACCTTACAATACTATTGAAACACTTATTTGACTATTTATCACATCATAGTTACGTACAGTCCTAGGCATACGAACATGTAAGTCCTAGGCATATGAACATGCAAGTCCTAGGCATGTGAACATGTAAGTCCTAGGCATGTGAACATGTAAGTCCTAGGCATGTGAACATGTAAGTCCTAGGCATGTGAACATGAACTATTAAGTCAACTGCATTTACCAATGTTCTTTCCTCAGCAACCACCATTTGTTCTTCACAATGCTCCCCGCAAGAAGGTTCGCTTAAAGACAGAATATATTGATGTGGATCTCATTCGAGGTGAGTCCCTAACACCATCGTACACAGTTTGTCATAATCATTAGACCATCTTTGAAAAATCAGCTCTAACACCATCTTACACACATCACAATGATTAGAACATCTTTTACAAATTAGCTGTTTCGATGTTCTTATACCTCAATAGTGTTCTCATAAATGTATGGTGGTTTTTTCTCATACCATTTGGTGGTGCTTTCATACCCGACCATGTTGTTTTTTTCGTAGCTTGGTATGGTGCTTTCATACCTGACCATAGTTTTTTTCATATCTTTTTATGGTGCTTTCATACCTGACCATGGTTTTCTCATACCTTTAGATGGTGCTTTCGACCTGCACATGATTTTCTTATACTTTTGGATGGTGCTTTTATACCTGACCATGATTTTCTCATGTTTGGATGGTGCTTTTATACCTGACCATGATTTTCTCATGTTTGGATGGTGCTTTTATACCTGACCATGATTTTCTCATGTTTGGATGGTGCTTTTATACCTGACCATGATTTTCTCATGTTTGGATGGTGCTTTTATTCCTGACCATGATTTTCTCATGTTTGGATGGTGCTTTTATACCTGACCATGTTTTTCTCATATGTTTGGATGGTGCTTTTATACCTGACCATGGTTTTCTCATACGTTTGGATGGTGCTTTTATTCCTGACCATGGTTTTCTTATACCTTCGTATGGCGCTTTTATTCCTGACCATGGTTTTCTTATACCTTGGGATGTTGCTTTTATTCCCGACCATGGTTTTCTTATACCTTTGGTTGGTGCTTTTATACCTGAACATGGTTTTCTCATGTTTGGATGGTGCTTTTATACCTGACCATGGTTTTCTCATGTTTGGATGGTGCTTTTATACCTGACCATGGTTTTCTCATACGTTTGGATGGTGCTTTTATTCCTGACCATGGTTTTCTTATACCTTCGTATGGCGCTTTTATTCCTGACCATGGTTTTCTTATACCTTCGGATTTTGCTTTTATTCCTGACCATGGTTTTCTTATACCTTTGGTTGGTGCTTTTATTCCCGACCATGGTTTTCTTATACCTTTGGTTGGTGCTTTTATACCTGACCATGGTTTTCTTATACCTTCGGATGTTGCTTTTATACCTGATCATGGTTTTCTTATACCTTTGGTTGGTGCTTTTATACCTGACCATGGTTTTCTTATACCTTCGGATGTTGCTTTTATACCTGATCATGGTTTTCTTATACCTTTGGTTGATGCTTTTATACCTGACCATGGTTTTCTCATACGTTTGGATGGTGCTTTTATTCCCGACCATGGTTTTCTCATACGTTTGGATGTTGCTTTTATACCTGACCATGGTTTTCTCATACGTTTGGATGTTGCTTTCAAACCTGACCATGGTTTTCTCATAACTCAGAAATTGCAAATTTTTTTTTTTTTAAATTGTATTTTTATCTATAATCAATCTTTTTAACGTCTCTACAACTATTTCGTAATGTCTAGAAATAATCATGGCTGCAGTTGGTGAAGACTTTGCAAATGTTACCGAGGGGCTGATGGCACTAAAATGGTTGAGAACCTCTAATCTATTGGCTTGGATTTTTTTTGTAGAAACTTGAAAACATCAGGCCTGAACCAATAGGGGTGATGGGTTGTACTAAAAGATTTGCTTACACAGTACTGATGACATCATGTGGAAACAGTACTGATGACATCATGTGGAAACAGTACTGAGGACATCATGTGGAAACAGTACTGAGGACATCATGTGGAAACAGTACTGATGACATCATGTGGAAACAGTACTGATGACATCATGTGGAAGAAGCACACTAGCTGCACTTGTCTATTGGGCACTTTATGTCGTTCCATTAACCTGACACTAACATGGTTGTTGTATTGTTCTCCTAGGGTCAATGTTTGCCAAGCCACAAGTGCCATGGGTTTAGTTCCATTAACCTGACACTAACATGGTTGTTGTATTGTTCTCCTAGGGTCAACGTTTGCCAAGGCCAAGCCACAAGTGCCATGGGTTTAGTTCCATTAATCTGACACTAACATGGTTGTTGTATTGTTCTCCTAGGGTCAACGTTTGCCAAGGCCAAGCCACAAGTGCCATGGGTTTAGTTCCATTAACCTGACACTAACATGGTTGTTGTATTGTTCTCCTAGGGTTTTTTCTCATATGTTTGGATGGTGCTTTTATACCTGACCATGGTTTTCTCATACGTTTGGATGGTGCTTTTATTCCTGACCATGGTTTTCTTATACCTTCGTATGGCGCTTTTATTCCTGACCATGGTTTTCTTATACCTTGGGATGTTGCTTTTATTCCCGACCATGGTTTTCTTATACCTTTGGTTGGTGCTTTTATACCTGAACATGGTTTTCTCATGTTTGGATGGTGCTTTTATACCTGACCATGGTTTTCTCATGTTTGGATGGTGCTTTTATACCTGACCATGGTTTTCTCATACGTTTGGATGGTGCTTTTATTCCTGACCATGGTTTTCTTATACCTTCGTATGGCGCTTTTATTCCTGACCATGGTTTTCTTATACCTTGGGATGTTGCTTTTATTCCCGACCATGGTTTTCTTATACCTTTGGTTGGTGCTTTTATACCTGAACATGGTTTTCTCATGTTTGGATGGTGCTTTTATACCTGACCATGGTTTTCTCATGTTTGGATGGTGCTTTTATACCTGACCATGGTTTTCTCATACGTTTGGATGGTGCTTTTATTCCTGACCATGGTTTTCTTATACCTTCGTATGGCGCTTTTATTCCTGACCATGGTTTTCTTATACCTTCGGATGTTGCTTTTATTCCCGACCATGGTTTTCTTATACCTTTGGTTGGTGCTTTTATTCCTGACCATGATTTTCTCATGTTTGGATGGTGCTTTCATACCTGACCATGGTTTTCTCATGTTTGGATGGTGCTTTTATACCTGACCATGGTTTTCTCATATGTTTGGATGGTGCTTTTATACCTGACCATGGTTTTCTCATACGTTTGGATGGTGCTTTTATTCCTGACCATGGTTTTCTTATACCTTCGTATGGCGCTTTTATTCCTGACCATGGTTTTCTTATACCTTGGGATGTTGCTTTTATTCCCGACCATGGTTTTCTTATACCTTTGGTTGGTGCTTTTATACCTGAACATGGTTTTCTCATGTTTGGATGGTGCTTTTATACCTGACCATGGTTTTCTCATGTTTGGATGGTGCTTTTATACCTGACCATGGTTTTCTCATACGTTTGGATGGTGCTTTTATTCCTGACCATGGTTTTCTTATACCTTCGTATGGCGCTTTTATTCCTGACCATGGTTTTCTTATACCTTCGGATTTTGCTTTTATTCCTGACCATGGTTTTCTTATACCTTTGGTTGGTGCTTTTATTCCCGACCATGGTTTTCTTATACCTTTGGTTGGTGCTTTTATACCTGACCATGGTTTTCTTATACCTTCGGATGTTGCTTTTATACCTGATCATGGTTTTCTTATACCTTTGGTTGGTGCTTTTATACCTGACCATGGTTTTCTTATACCTTCGGATGTTGCTTTTATACCTGATCATGGTTTTCTTATACCTTTGGTTGATGCTTTTATACCTGACCATGGTTTTCTCATACGTTTGGATGGTGCTTTTATTCCCGACCATGGTTTTCTCATACGTTTGGATGTTGCTTTTATACCTGACCATGGTTTTCTCATACGTTTGGATGTTGCTTTCAAACCTGACCATGGTTTTCTCATAACTCAGAAATTGCAAATTTTTTTTTTTTTAAATTGTATTTTTATCTATAATCAATCTTTTTAACGTCTCTACAACTATTTCGTAATGTCTAGAAATAATCATGGCTGCAGTTGGTGAAGACTTTGCAAATGTTACCGAGGGGCTGATGGCACTAAAATGGTTGAGAACCTCTAATCTATTGGCTTGGATTTTTTTTGTAGAAACTTGAAAACATCAGGCCTGAACCAATAGGGGTGATGGGTTGTACTAAAAGATTTGCTTACACAGTACTGATGACATCATGTGGAAACAGTACTGATGACATCATGTGGAAACAGTACTGAGGACATCATGTGGAAACAGTACTGAGGACATCATGTGGAAACAGTACTGATGACATCATGTGGAAACAGTACTGATGACATCATGTGGAAGAAGCACACTAGCTGCACTTGTCTATTGGGCACTTTATGTCGTTCCATTAACCTGACACTAACATGGTTGTTGTATTGTTCTCCTAGGGTCAATGTTTGCCAAGCCACAAGTGCCATGGGTTTAGTTCCATTAACCTGACACTAACATGGTTGTTGTATTGTTCTCCTAGGGTCAACGTTTGCCAAGGCCAAGCCACAAGTGCCATGGGTTTAGTTCCATTAATCTGACACTAACATGGTTGTTGTATTGTTCTCCTAGGGTCAACGTTTGCCAAGGCCAAGCCACAAGTGCCATGGGTTTAGTTCCATTAACCTGACACTAACATGGTTGTTGTATTGTTCTCCTAGGGTCAACGTTTGCCAAGGCCAAGCCACAAGTGCCATGGGTTTAGTTCCATTAATCTGACACTAACATGGTTGTTGTATTGTTCTCCTAGGGTCAACGTTTGCCAAGGCCAAGCCACAAGTGCCATGGGTTTAGTTCCATTAACCTGACACTAACATGGTTGTTGTATTGTTCTCCTAGGGTCAACGTTTGCCAAGGCCAAGCCACAAGTGCCATGAGTTTAGTTCCATTAACCTGACACTAACATGGTTGTTGTATTGTTCTCCTAGGGTCAACGTTTGCCAAGGCCAAGCCACAAGTGCCTTGGGTTTAGTTCCATTAACCCGACACTAACATGGTTGTTGTATTGTTCTCCTAGGGTCAACGTTTGCCAAGGCCAAGCCACAAGTGCCTTGGGTTTAGTTCCATTAACCTGACATTAACATGGTTGTTGTATTGTTCTCCTAGGGTCAACGTTTGCCAAGGCCAAGCCACAAGTGCCATGGGTTTAGTTCCATTAACCTGACACTAACATGGTTGTTGTATTGTTCTCCTAGGGTCAACGTTTGGGTCAACGTTTGCCAAGGCCAAGCCACAAGTGCCATGGGTTTAGTTCCATTAACCTGACACTAACATGGTTGTTGTATTGTTCTCCTAGGGTCAACGTTTGCCAAGGCCAAGCCACAAGTGCCATGAGTTTAGTTCCATTAACCTGACACTAACATGGTTGTTGTATTGTTCTCCTAGGGTCAACGTTTGCCAAGGCCAAGCCACAAGTGCCATGGGTTTAGTTCCATTAACCCGACACTAACATGGTTGTTGTATTGTTCTCCTAGGGTCAACGTTTGCCAAGGCCAAGCCACAAGTGCCATGGGTTTACATCACAAGGAAAGCAGTCGCTCGAGTTCTCTTCTTCCCATTCTATTACAACTGGTAAGTCTCTTACTAATGGAAGTAACCTATCTCTCTTACTTATGGAAGTAATCTATCTCTCTTACTAATGGAAGTAACATATCTCTCTTACTTATGGAAGTAACCTATCTCTCTTACTTATGGAAGTAACCAATCTGGGCAATCATAAAGATTTCACAATTGTATCTAGATTTTAAAATATTTGAACAGTTTAGGAACATTTCATCTGACATCAGCTTTCTAGCTTTGTTTTTGGTAGCCATTTATTTAGTGAACTAGTTTACCCTTTGGGGTTGTGCAGTTTGGGGGGGGGGGGGGGGAAGGTCATTTTTTGTTTTTGAACCCTGCACTATCACTCTACTTGATAATTAATTTTACCAGTATTTCGGTTTGTTTCGGTTTACATTTTTCACTTCATGGGCTGAATATGATGTAAAAATAGGAGGTCGGCAGGTAGCCTTGAATTATTGTTAAATTTAATGAATTTGTTCGTAAAAATAGGTCGGCAGGTAGCCTTGAATTATTGTTAAATTTAATGAATTTGTTCGTAAAAATAGGAGGTCGGCAGGTAGCCTTGAATTATTGTTAAATTTAATGAATTTGTTCGTAAAAATAGGAGGTCGGCAGGTAGCCTTGAATTATTGTTAAATTTAATGAATTTGTCCGTAAAAATAGGAGGTCGGCAGGTAGCCTTGAATTATTGTTAAATTTAATGAATTTGTTCGTAAAAATAGGAGGTTGGCAGGTAGCCTTGAATTATTGTTAAATTTAATGAATGTGTTCGTAAAAATAGGAGGTTGGCAGGTAGCCTTGAATTATTGTTGAATGTATTGATGAATATGTCCGTAATGACACCTTTGGTTTACCTATTGTCTTCTACTGTGTTTGACATCTACCTTCTACCAGGTGGGTCCACCAGACGTCCAAACAGCTGTATGCCGTCCTCTTTGTGTTGTACACATTACAGGTGGTCACTATAGTTGTTTACCTACGCAACTTTGACCACAGCATCATGGAAGATGTAGGTATCGCTGAGGTTGGTTTAAAGACGCCTTGTCCTGCATGCGTGGCTAAGAATTGGTTTAAATGTCTTCATTACCGGCTCTGATTCTCATTTAAGACAAAGCCATGGTTATTTATAACAATAATTTTATGTTGTGTAAGCACGTTCAAAGTGCCATTGTTGTACAAATAACCTAGAAGTTTGTTAAAGACTCATGTTAGGACGGCTGATAGTGGAATAGTTCAAAGTTCCATTGTTGTATTAGTATAACCTAGAAGTTAGCTACAGGCTGTTGTAAGGACAGCTGATAGTGGAATAACAGAACCCCCCCCCCCCCCCCGAGGAGCTCAATTTTAGAATCGGTTTTATTATAACATACTGTAAGAACAAAATATAGACAAGGGGCGGCCACTGTACTCAAACATAGTTGAAGTTATCTTCTCATTGGCAGTGTTAATGAAGATGTATTCTATGCTCACAGAACAAGTGCCCAAAGTCTTGTTAGAAATGCCAAGCCACTGACTTTTCCAATATTTTGCCTTATCAAACATACACTTTTTAGCAATGTCAACACGGGCTGGTTCACAAGAGGTCAGTGCTAGCCTATGGTTACACAGTAAGGTACTGCAACTAGTTTAATCATACAAGTTCATTGATAACTTAGAGATTAGAAAACCTACCGGTCACAAGAAATCTGTGCTAATTTATGATTACACAGTTAATGTGCTGAAATCATACAAATATATTCATAGCATATCAGACTCCTAGCATTTGACACTAATGGCATGAAAGGTCTTGCAATAATCATCTAACAAACCTTAAGTTGGATCAGTGCGGAATCTGATAATTGGCCTGTGTTTCCAGGAGCTTTCCTTCACCGAGGTCATCCTGCCTACCATTCTCATGTTCCTACTCTGTCTGATCCATTCCCAAACTGTGCTGGCCCACATCAATCACAAGCCTCCCAAGCGGGCAAAAACTATCTCAGGGTAAGTCCCTCTAGTTTAACCATGGGGTAACTCTTGTTTCAACTCTAAGTTAATATGAAGGTTTGCCATTCAGTATGATAATTTGCATTGGCCAGTTAATATGTTAAGTTTTATCTATTTTTTCATTTATTTTTTTATAAAAAGAAATTGGTCTTGCATTGAATTCCTACTAAAATTGTGTTTAATGTTGTATACACTAGGACCTTCATGTGTTGAATTACATGATTTGATGTCTGCTTTTTAAATAAATGTTTTGTTATTGGTAAGAATAAATTAGTTAATTTTTTAGATTAAAACATCATAAAGAAAATATCTAATGAAATTACATTTTAAAAATTCATCTTTTGACTTCATCAGGGTGACACGGAAAGCACGACCTAAGAAAATTCCCCGTAAAGGTCGTACATCTGGTAACAACAGCACATGTGCTGAAGATGGCGGTAACACAGACACATCAAAGTCCAGTAAAGTACATTTCCCAAGCTCTACTGGAGGCTCAGATTCCAAGCATCGGCCATCAGAGACTCAGAAATCAGAGCCTCCCGTGGTGGCCTCGCATCTTGACATGGAGAAAAACTTATTGTCTCGATCTGTTAGTGACTACGACCTCAAGCCAGTGACCAGCTCCACCAACCATCAGTCGGCCCACCATCACCACCACCACCGACACCACACCTCCACACAAAGGGAGACTGCTCCCAAATCGGCCAAGCCCCAGGCTGAACCGGAGCTTGGTGCGGACAAAGTATTAGAAAAGACCCGACCGGTCCGACCTGAGGTTGGGGGGGAGCAGGCTGCCCGCAGTGACTGGGGGCATCGAGGCAACTGGGGCACTCGTTCCGTCCAAAAGTCTGGCTGTTGTTATAACTTGTTGGACAATTTGCCCAATTTGTTAACAGTGGAGAAGGTGTGCCGAGATGTTGGTGTTGCCAGTGACAATGATGACACAGAGGACGGGGATAATGATGTCGGAATCAAGTTTAAAAAACAAGATTCCTACCGCTGCCCTCACGGCAGGGATGCCACTAGTGCGGACAGAGAAGGTTTAGATTATTTTCTATGTGGGGATATCACAGACTCTAGACCAAAGGTTGGTGCCGACGGAGGGGTCAAGATTGTCGGCCAGGCTTTGTCAGCCTGTGCAGATAACTACGCAGATTGTGACTGCCTACTGGCCAGTAAACAAAGCTCCCACCATGTCAGCAGTTGTCAACAAACACAAACTGGGCAGTTTGATTCAAGGGATGTACGTTCATGTTCAGAGACAGACTTGAACCCTTGCCATCGGCACTGCCACCAACAGGAGCCTAGTTCTAATAGAGATATCTTACCCAGCCCCTTCCATGGGCCCATGTTGAATGACCCTTCATATTTAGCTTGTAAATCTGATAAATTTGCGTGCCAACTTTCCAATCGACCCATGGAAAGACAGGACGGTGTATTAGATTGGTGTAGTTCCACTCACAAAGACTTGTGTCATTGCTCCAATACTCAGCCAGACAAAAACCATCACCATGTTCTATTCAGTAAAGGCTTACCAAAGAAACCAATCTCCAATTCCACCAGTGGGGTAGCAGACGTCAGTGAGTTTTCTCAGGAACATTCTACTGAAAAGTGTCCAAAATGTCCCGATGTTCATAGACAGATTCGCTCTCTGGCATCTGCTGTCTCGGATACCAACCTTGACCTTCAAGTAGCCACATCATCCAGGTTGTGTCTGACACGTTCAGGTGGTGCCATCGACCAGCTCCATCCCGCCCACCATAATGACTTGAGATGCTCGGATAAACTATTCAAGAACCATGTCAAGTTTTCCAATGACCAGGGGGTCTGCGGTCATCATGAACCATCAAGTTCCCGCAGTTTACCTTACCTAAGACAGCAGGTGCCCAGCTCCGGCTGTCAGAAGGGGAGCAGACTAGAACAGGTGCCCGGTTATGGCAGTCAGAAGGAAAGTAAACTAGAACAGCTGCCCAGCTGTGGCTGTCAGAAAGGCAGTGAACAAGCTCCCAAAGAAACAGATTCCCAGCTGCAGTGTTTCTCTGATGTCATTGTGCAGGAAATCCTAAACGAGGAAACTCTGAGGAGCTGCAGTTCCCTCCTGATCCACTCAGACCTGGAGAACTCCTCCTCTTCCATCAGCCACCTCTCGTCATCCTCGGTGTCATCTCTCTCTTCCTCCTACAGACTGTCCAACATTGACCACATTCCCCCGTCCACCCCCTCTGGCCTGACATTGTCCTCCTTGCCCAGTTGCAAGGCTTCGGGCCAGCTTCATACACAAAGTGACACGTCTGAGCCGCCGGGCTCGGGGTCCGGTGTCACTTTACAACAGAAGGGACAAGTCACAGCGGGGCTCGATGCTCTCGATGAAAGCCTCGAGCAGATAAACATGTCTGATGGGGAAAGACCATCTGACATATCCAATTATAATCCATCGGATTCAGACGGAGAGTCGGATGGCCCGGCTAATGAGGACCTTCGGAACAAGTTTGAAGAGAAATGGAAGAGACTCAGATTCCAAGAGCTGGAAATAAAATCTGATGGTAATGTTGGTTTTACTCATTTTCTATCTGAGGGTAATGTTGGTTTTAATAATTTTCTATATCATGGTAATGTTGGTTTTACTCATTTTCTATCTGAGGGTAATGTTGGTTTTAATAATTTTCTATATCATGGTAATGTTGTTTGTTATTCACTACCTGGTTGATGGTCATTTCTTTCTTGACTTCCTGGTTGATGGTCATTTCTCTGTTCACTCCCTGCTCAATGAAAATGTTTTCATTTATAATCTCCAATAAATCTAGTTGGTATTCATTCGAAAGCATTAAATTTATTATTTTCATTATCTTAAACTTTAATCTATTGTTTAGAGTTGACGTCCTAAGTGTATTTATATGTATTTATATTTGACAGTGCATATGTATTAATTATTAAAGACTTTCTTTCTTCTCACCTTGCCGTCTTGTAAGTTTGTCCATGGTAATTTTGTTGTTCATACATGTGACCGTCTCTTTAGTCTGTCTTGTTGTCTTGAGCTGACCTGAAAAGTCACCTGAGTTGATGACAAAAGAGTTAAAGCTTCAGTGGGCTGGGTGGATGGACAGCTTCAGTGGGCTGGGCGGAGGGACAGCTTCAGTGGGCTGGGTGGAGGGAGGAGTCTGTGCAGAAAATATATTTTTAAAAAATCAATAAATACAAAAATCAACATGTTTAAGTTTATTCTCCATTTAATTGGAATGAGTTTAAAAAAATAGTTGTCTAGTTTTTAGTCCATTTCAAATTTTGTTCAAAAGTATTTAACATTTTTTTTTGTTTTGTTTTGATGTGACATGCAGGTGTATTTATTTCTTTAGATGTGACAATACATTTTTATTAATTTGTTCAGATGTGACCATGTTTGTGCATTAATTAATGAAATCATTCATTAAGATGTATTCACTTTAACCGCAGTCAATTTTTCTACTTAACACACTTCACATAGGGATAAACTGATGAATCATTGTTTTTGCCATCGACAGAGGACCCCACCAAATGTAATGGTGGAGCTACCACCGGGCCAAAAGCTAGTACTTCATCCAACAAGCCATCCAAGACTGGCAGCGGCAGCGGACCACGGTCAGTTGTTGGCATCCTGACCAGGAAACCTTCACCATTGAAAGACTTGGCCATAGGTAGAATGGCCAGTGCCAATGGCACCACAAACTCTTCAGGTCAGTCCATCCCTGTTGGCTTGTTACAGATAAGGTCAGTCCATCAGGGTTGGCTTGTTACAGAAAAAGTCAGTCCATCAGAGTTGGCTTGTTACACTTCATTCAGGTCAGTCCATCAGAGCTGGCTTGTTACAATTCATGTCAATCCATCAGAGCTGGCTTGTTACACTTCAGGTCAGTCGATCAGGGCTGGCTTGTTACATTTAAGGTCAGTCCATCAGAGCTGGCCTGTTACACTTCAGGTCAGTCCATCAGGGCTGGCTTGTTACATTTAAGGTCAGTCCATCAGAGCTGGCTTGTTAACACTTCAGGTCAGTCCAACAGAGCTGGCTTGTTACACTTCAGGTCAGTCCATCAGGGTTGGGTTGTTACACTTCAGGTCAGTCCATCAGAGCTGACTTGTTTCATTTAAGGTCAGTGACTAACATATTGTCACTAAATTTACTTGGTTTGTAACTGTCTGAGATTGTGATCGGTGCAAGGTTTTGTTCAACATGTCTGAGATTGTGATCGGTGCAAGGTTTTGTTCAATATGTCTGAGATTGTGATCGGTGCAAGGTTTTGTTCAACATGTCTGAGATGGTTATCTTTTCATTTTATGTTTTAAATGGAGTGAATTTGACTTAATTTTCACAGGAAGTGATGTAGAGTTAAATGAATCACGCAGCCAGCTGCGGCGCAGACGCCGTACATCTGGTACCACAGGGGACAGCGGAGAGACTACACGGAGTAGGAATGTCCCCAATACTCTGGGCATACGTTCACATAACCTCAATGGAAAACATATTAGCTCATCAGAAAATGAAGCTGGTGCACATACACCAGAAGGGTCTAATAAGGTAAGTGCATATATTATACATACATGACTGAAGGGTCTTATAAGGTGAGAGTCTTTAAGAATCAGGATTCAAATTCATCACCTTCATCACTGGCTATTTTGCCCCTACCCACTTTCTAAACTTCAAATGATTATTTTTCTTGTATCTCCTCCACTGAAGGCCACCATGAGTTCCGAGGAATGGGAAGACCACATGCAGTCGGACGAGACGACATCCTCGGCCTACTCCAGCAGCTGTGGTAACAGCGACGACTCGGGGGAGGAGGGTGAAGAGAAGACAGAGTACACGACCAGTACACTCCATGTCATCAACCTCCTACAACCTGTAAGTCAATGACTCTTTCTTGGCTTGTCGTTATCTGCTGTTGTGTCAGAGACCTGTCTTCTGTAGGTGTTGTGCACTGTGGACTTGGGCCCTAGCTGTTGTGTAAACCTTGATGTTTTTGTATGGCAGGGTGCTATGTATTTGGATAGATTTAGATTTCATCAGATCTCTTTATGGTAGACTCTATGATGGGGGAAAGGGGGAGGGGGGTCAGTGATACTGGATGCTAAGATAAGAAAGGCTGCACATGATAAACTCTGGGATATTATAGACTTGATGAGGCTAATATAGACTAGGAAATGATCAACTCTATTATTTGATAAATCCTTTGTTATATCTGGTACTCTTAGGGTATGATCAACTCTGGTATAATATTGAAGATGTGTTTTGCTATTGTATTTAAACATTAAGGTTAGAGCAAGATCTTGGATATATTTATATCACATTTTATCATTTTAAAATCCTTGTATAAATTCCTAATTAGCATTGAAGCATCTCCTACTGACTACTTCACTGAAATTATGTTATTATGATTCTTATCTTATGATCATGTATGCATTATTCAGAATTATTATTATTTAAACATGAGCTTTTCAATTCTTAACTAAAATTAGAATTTAGAAGTAATCTTTCATCGGGGCTATTTTGAGAAACAAGTAGGTCATCTTTACCAGAGGACTGGGCTGGGTTATATCGTCTACCTTTTTGAACTCTTGCCATTGAACTAAACATTTTTACCATTCATGAAGGAATTTATTGGACGTTGATTCATCAAAGGCACTCGTCAGCCATCATTCCACTCAAATCCTTTTTGAACTCTTGCCATTGAACTAAACATTTTTACCATTCATGAAGGAATTTATTGGATGTTGATTCATCAAAGGCACTCGTCAGCCATCATTCCACTCAAATCCTTTTTGAACTCTTGCCATTGAACTAAACATTTTTACCATTCATGAAGGAATTTATTGGACGTTGATTCATCAAAGGCACTCGTCAGCCATCATTCCACTCAAATGCTCAATCAAATTGCCATATTTATTTTTATGTGAGCCAGTTTAATGGAGTGAATTAGTCATTGACATTTATGGTAGCCTTTATAGGTGACATCATTTATGGGTGACATCGTTTATTTGTGACATTCTTTATTGGTGACATCCTTTATTGGTGACATTCTTTATTGGTGACATCATTTAATGATAGCATCCATTATTGGTGACATCATTTATTGGTTTCATCCTTTATTGGTGACATCCTTTATTTGTTGCATCCTTTATCGGTGCATCCTTTATCGGTGACATCCTTTATCGGTGACATCCTTTATCGGTGGCATCCTTTATCGGTGGCATCCTTTATTGTGACATCTTTTATCGGTGACATCTTTTATCAGTGGCATTCTTGTTTGGCGGGTTATTTCCAGTAAACCTCATGATAGTCAATTAGCTGTCATGAAGTTATCTGGGCATCTGCCTTATGGAGGTTTTCAAATTGTTTGGCTGAACACATTATTATTATTTATATCTTGCAATGAGTGGGTTTTTTAAATGTAAGAGTAAGTATTGATTTAGGCTTGATTAATGTATTGCTTAGTTTTGGGTGGGGAGTGGTGGAGGGTTAAGTGATACATGGTTATAGTGAAGAGACAGATCACATAAAATCTAAACATTAATTTCAAAGTATTCTATGATTTGTTTCATATTTATAAAATGACTTGTTTGTTTGTACCATCAATATTTGTTTGTTTGTACCAGCAATATTTGTTTGTTTGCATGATTGATTGGTTTGTCCAAGCTTGTTACAATCAATTTGTTAGTGACTATTGTTTTCCCCTCATTCCTAAGGGTTTGCAGCCTGGCTGCCTGCCTCCAACTAAGCAGGTATCAGTTTTAATCATCTTTCATTCATTTCATGCACACTTGACCCTCTTTTTTTAAAAACTCAGTACCATGGCATGCTGAAAGGGTCAAGATCTTGAGTAGCTTGCAATGGTGCTATAGCTAAAAGACCGGCTCATTTTATCAGAGTTTGAATTGATGAGAGAGAAGAGCTTTAAATGATGGATGTGTTGTGTTTATTTTTACACAGAGAGTTGGAAGCACTTAATATAAGAAACTAAAATAAAATTAAGCTGTAAGAAATAGAATGGTGGTGTGGATATGTGGGTCAGCTGTAAGAAATGGTATGATGGTGTTGGTATTATCATCTGGTGTAAGAAATGGTATGATGGTGTTGGTATTACTGTCTGGTGTAAGAAAGCATATGATGGTTTTGGTATTATCATCTGGTGTTTGAAAAGGTATGATGGTGTTTGTATTAGATCAGCTGTAAGAAAGAGTATGATGGTGTTTCTAATAGGTCAGCTGTAAGAAAGGGTATAATGGTGTGTGTAAGAAAGGGTATGATGGTGTGTGTAAGAAAGGGTATGATGGTGTGTGTAAGAAAGGGTATGATACTTATTTGCTTTGGATGGCAGTCAACCCTCCTGTGTTCAGCTTTTATATTATTTTCTTACATTTCTTTTTTCCTCTCTGTTATATTTCATTTATTTTTTAATGTAAGCATATTGTTGTTAGCCACAGATTGACACCAACAAAATCATGTAGCTTTCAGATGTGTTGTAACTCATGTCTGTCAATGTGTCTCTCAGCCTGGTAGAAACTCATATGTCTTTACTATGCCCACAAACTTAAGTGTCAGGACTCCTAACATAACAAAGGGCTGGCAGTGCAGTTAGGGGTTGTCAACAAACTAAAGATTTGGCAGTGGCATTAAGGGTTGTCAACAAACTAAAGATTTGGCAGTGGCATTAAGGGTTGTCAACAAACTAAATGGGTGGTGATGGTAGTTAGGGGGCCGGTTGTCCATTCAGGCTAAATAATATTAATTGGTCAGTTCAGGATTGGTCATGCAATTATTTAATTAAAATAACTCCTCCATGACTTGTTTCAATATATTATGACACTTTTATCTTTGCTCCCCTTAATCTAAGATTGCTCCCCTTAGTCTAAGATTGCTCCCCTTAATTTAAGATTGCTCCCCTTAGTCTAAGATTGCTCCCCTTAGTCTAAGATTGCTCCCCTTAGTCTAAGATAAACAACAGATAAACTTAGGGCAGTATTTAAATATAGCAAGTGGATCGCCTTGAATTAAATCTTGGAATAACAATGCAATCATATCTCATAATTCTGAATGTAGCCAGGATGCTGAGCCCAGCTCAGACTCATTATGTCTGTCATCAGGTGACCAACAAATAGCTTGCTGTCCTAATCTGATCAATTAGATTTGATGGGTTTTCATGGGATTTATTTTCAAACCAACATTAACCAAAATCTAAACACAGACCTGTCACTGTAGTACTAAGTTTGTCTTAGATAATGAACTGTTGATGATGGCAAGTGACCTGTTATTTTGTCCAAACTGTTGACATGTTCATCTCATCTTTAACCCAGTTAGTGTACACCCCTGGAACCTAACCCCTTGCTTGCTTGTGTGTCTGACTCCTAAACCACCATCTCTCAGAGTAAAACTACACCAAAATCTCTCAGAGTAAACTACACCACCATCTCTCAGAGTAAACCTAAACCACCATCTCTCAGAGTAAACTACACCACCATCTCTCAGAGTAAACCTAAACCACCATCTCTCAGAGTAAAAATACACCACCATCTCTCAGAGTAAACCTAAACCACCATCTCTCAGAGTAAAACTACACCACCATCTCTCAGAGTAAACCTAAACCACCATCTCTCAGAGTAAAACTACACCACCATCTCTCAGAGTAAACCTAAACCACCATCTCTCAGTAAACCTAAACCACCATCTCTCAAAGTAAAACTACACCACCATATCTCAGAGTAAACCTAAACCACATTCTCTCAGAGTAAATCTAAACCACCATCTCTGAGTAAATCTAAACCACCATCTCTCAGAGTAAACCTAAACCACCATCTCTCAGAGTAAAACTACACCACCATATCTCAGAGTAAACCTAAACCACATTCTCTCAGAGTAAATCTAAACCACCATCTCTCAGTAAACCTAAACCACCATCTCTCAGTAAACCTAAACCACCATCTCTCAGAGTAAAACTACACCACCATATCTCAGAGTAAACCTAAACCACATTCTCTGAGTAAACCTAAACCACCATCTCTCAGTAAACCTAAACCACCATCTCTCAAAGTAAAACTAAACCACCATCTCTCAGAGTAAACCTAAGCCACCATCTCTCAGTAAACCTAAACCACCATCTCTCAAAGTAAAACTAAACCACCATCTGCCAGACACTTAATGGCACCATGTCCCAGACAACTGTCTTCTTTTCCTCGATATTGACTTATCAGGAGACTTAAAAATAGTCTTTTATTTTACAACTATCTCCCTTTGTGTTTCAGACAGCCAATGGATTGCCCTCCCCCGTTAAAATGAAAAATCAGATGTTCAGTACATTTCCAAAATGAGTCATAGAAGTAGTGTTTTGTTTTTACAATTATGTCCCTTTGTGTTACAGACAGCCAATGGATTGCTCCCCCCTGGTATAATGACCAATCAGACGTTCACTACATATCGTAAACCACAAGTCTGTACAAGTCTTAGCAATAGTTGATTTCTTTTTTGTTTTTTTAAATATTTTTATCTTCTTCATGTAATCACTTGTAACTGACTAGCTTTGAACTCTGACCTTCAAAAATGTAAGCTGTGGTCTAGCATGGTGTAGGTGCTCATTTCTTATTTAGCCTCAACTCTGGTGCTTAATCAATTCTAAATATTTGATTTTTATTATTTTTTTACAAAATTATAGATAACTTATAAATTTTTTTTTTATTTTTAGATAACTAATTTAAAAATTTCTAAAATTATAGATAACTAATAATTTTTTTTTTCAAAACTATTTTCAAGTTTCAATTCAATGTATAAATATTTTGGCATTTATAATTTTTTATTCCTTGATGTTTTCTCCTAACAAATTTTGTATAATTTAAATAAAGATGAAAGGTTAGTGGAAATTTTTTTTACAATCAGCTAAAGACAAGAAACTCAAATACTTGTCTGTGACCCATAAGTGAAACAAAATGTCAACATCAGCTAAAGTTAATTTTTTGTTGTCATTAATTATAATGAAACCATCAATACATTACTGAAACTGTATGGCAGGCTGGGAATCAAGTCAATAACTAAATATATTCACAGAATTTTAGTGCACTAGGCAATAACTAAATATATTCACAGAATTTTAGTGCACTAGGAAATAACTAAATATATTCACAGAATTTTAGTGCACTAGGCAATAACTAAATATATTCACAGAATTTTAGTGCACTAGGCAATAACTAAATATATTCACAGAATTTTAGTGCACTAGGCAATAACTAAATGTATTCACAGAATTTTAGTGCACTAGGCAATAACTAAATATATTCATAGAATTTTAACATAGACTTCAACAGCTAAAAATATTCTTACAATTTTAGCATAGAAGTGGATGACTAAATATATTTATGGTTGCTGTGGATAGACGGTTCATCATTTATCTTTTCATCTCTGTTCTTAACATTTTAGTTATAATAGAAAAAAAAAACATAAAGTTGAGACAGTGATGATGTAAAAAATAAAGTTGAGAAATAGTTATTGTTAAGGAATATTTGATGTTATGGAAAAAGTTCAGAAATAGATTATGCTAGAGACAAGATTTAGAAATAATTTTAACATAAAGATAATGTGAACATAAAAACATAAGGTGACCTGTTGATCTAGAAAAATAACCTAAAAGCATTGTACTACATATCTGCTAGAGTTGATTGAACTTTTTGCTAGTGCTGCTCTTACATAAACTTTCTTCATTACGATTTCCAATGTATCTCTCTTAGTGCTGTATCTTGTAACCGCAACCACTGTGCCATTCTTAAGTTGTCATCTTCTCTCAGGAATCTCTAGCCACCACAGCCAGCGTGTGACATCTGTCCATGTTGCCGTGTCTTACAAAGGAACTATGTCAATGGCAGCATCACCTTCTTGTCTGTCATGGCTTATCCTCCTGTCTCCATATGTCTGCCAGTCGCTGGCTGTCAAAAGATCTATTTCTTCTGTACTTTGTATGTCTGCTACATCACAGAGGATCTCCATTCTGTTTGTATTTATCTATAGAAAAAGGGGTTTGGAAAGGGGGCGGGGGGGGGGGAGTATTTGTTTTGTTCTCCATCTACTGCATTTATATAGTGTGAGCGTTTGAATGCCGCTGTTGTACCTGCTACATCTAACCCATTGACACTGCGCACCGCTTGTACTGTCCAATGATTGGCCTGTACACTGTCAAAGCACTACACATGCAATGTTGCCTTAACCATACAGAAATTATTATGACATTCCTTCCCAAACAACCACTTAAAAGTTCACAAGAAAAACTACCTCCTGTTGGCCACTTTTAACATGAGACTTTGCTCATATAGTTTGAATACACTAGACATACTCTGCTCTAGCAGTTGCTCATATAGTTTGAATACGCTAGACATACTCTGCTCTAGCAGTTGCTTTTGTTTTTCTTGTGAACTTGTGCCAACTGTCTGCTTTTTAATGACTTTTTAAGGAAATTAAGAAAGTTTTGTAACCAGAAGCTCTGTAGTTTTTTTAAAAGCAATATTTCAGAAGTTGTGATGACCACTGGTCAAGGGTGCTCCCTATTTAGAACAGGACATGTATGATGAATGCTTTCATTCAAGAACATTGATTCAATAGAAATTAAATAGAAATGTCAAGTTGGTTGCAAAATTTGCGTCAATTGGTTTTTAAAGCTGTTGGAAAAAAGACATTTTTTACACAAAAAAAAAAAATGCAAATGAAAGACTCTTTGGTTGGGAATATATCGGCATATAATCTCTTTGATTCTAAAAACCCACAGCACCACCAAATGGGAAAATATACCCTCCCCTCCTCTCCTCTCCCCAACATTACATTTTTTAAAAAAATTTATTTTAAAAAAAATTATAGTTCTATAACAATTTATTTTTTTTTCTCTTTCTAAATAACTGTGTGAAGTTTTTAGTGATAACTTATCCCCCTGAATACAATTGTTGTGATAGTTTGATCACGTATACCCGATGTTTGAACTGATTGAAATACTTGGCTATAAAAGAGCACCAAGTTCAATTGCCCCCTTCTTTTTTTTCCCCCAAATGATGTCATTGCTTAATAACAATAAAAAGTGAAGTGAGGCTAGACTTACTGCTACTAATTAACTGACAGGTTTCATTGGAAGGACAATATGTGCACAATGACACTATGTGTGCAATGCCACTGTGCACACAGTGAAAACATGGCCTTGATGTCAATTATTTTCAAATCTTAAAATTCCATGACTCAAATATTTCATCAAACCATGCATTGGTTTTAGCATTTACTTGGGCATAGGTTGAAACAGTTAAATAAATGACACATCCAGGAACACTTGATCCATGATCCAGATGTTTAGTTCTTCCAATGAAGCTGATCTGCTCTCTTGCTAATGTAATATAACACGTTATTGTAAGCTTGTTTGTCAGACCTATATAACCCTATCACCATCATGGTTCAGGGATGTTACTGTAAGCTTGTTTGTCAGGCTTATTTAAACCTATGACATGTGGTACAGGGATGTATCAAGGGAAATGATTTTCAATCTCTATGGGAATAATGTCTTGGTGTTATGACAGGGTCTGGTCCCAACCAAAATGTGTTTGAAAACTCCACTGACTCATAACATGTATGGAATGGTTCCATTTCTATCCAGTAGATTATGGTACAGTCAGTGAGGTGCTCAGTCTTAACATTGTAATTAGGAAACTTGTACATACTTACAAACATGTTATACAAATAATCTATTTATCTATCAAGTATTATTATTTTATTTACTTCAGTAACTACACTTTTTAAAACTTAACATTTTTTTTTTTTTTTTAAAGTAGGACTTATTTTTTTAAATAGTTCTAACGCATTAATTTTGTAAAATATTTCTAACGGATGACTTAAAATGTACAAATTTTTTAAATGTTTTATTAAAAAAAATGTTAATTTTTTTAAAGACCTTAACTTAGAAATATTTAGTGATTAAAAAAAGCCATCCAACAAACAGCTGATGGATGTGTATTGTGTATTTCCAGCAAAGTGGCTCCCCAACAAGTTCAGGAACAATAACTCAGCCTGATAAAGGTAGGCTGTAGATTGTGGAGTTGTCTTTCAGTTAACTGACACCAACAAAGTGAATTTATGAATGGGTTTTATTGGGAAACTCGTCTGCTGGTTGTATCAAGAATTCTGAACATGAACACAACGTCTCTAGAAGTCCTCATAATGAACATTGAACTGTTCCTACCATTTCAGTGTCCTGTGTTATATGGGAGGGAAGTGAGTGCAGGAAAGTGGACCTGACAGCCTTGGACATTGGCTGGGCAATTATCGACAAGGTGGACAGCCTGCCTGAGTCATCGGACTATTTCCTGATTGGACTTTTATTCTCAGTCGTCATGGGTGTGGTGAGTTTCATGTATCCCTCCGTTAAGTTGGCAACAAGATTTCTTGAGATTATTAGCCTTTCATGTCATGTACTGGTCTGCATAGCCATGGCCTATATTCTATGATACTTGCAGGTGCCTCTTGTGTTCGAATCTATGGTCTATATTATATGATACTTGCAGGTTCCTCTTGTGTTTCGAATCTATGGTCTATATTATATGATACTTGCAGGTGCATCTTGTGTTTCGAATCTATGTTCTATATTCTATGATACTTGCAGGTGCCTCTTGTGTTTCGAATCTATGGTCTATGTTCTCTGATACTTGCAGGTGCCCCTAGTGTTTCGAATCTATGTCAACAAAGAAATGGCCCGCTGGGAAGATTTTATGACCTTGCCAGGAATTTGGGCTCAGCTGTCTGAAGTACCTAATCTTTTGGGCAGCACTTATTCTTGGAGGTAAACAATAGCCCTTTTCACCCATTATATGTCTAGGAAACACCATCAGTAAACAATAGCCCTTTTCACCCATTATATATGTCTAGGCAACACCATCAGTAAACAATAGCCCTTTTCACCCATTATATATATCTAGGCAACACCATCAGTAAACAAAAGCCCTTTTCACCCATTATATATGTCTAGGCAACACCATCAGTGAACAATAGCCCTTTTCACCCATTATATATGTCTAGGCAACACGATCAGTAAACAATAGCCCTTTTCACCTATTATATATGTCTAGGCAACACCATCAGTAAACAATTAATCCTTTTTTTTAATCAACGCCCAAAAATGTCACATTATGGTTGTTTTGTTATTGAAGCAGCTCTTATTGTTACCATTTGTAATTGAGGGCTGCCATGTAAGTAAATGCTGGCCGCTGTCCACCAGGCAGTACAATGTTTTGTTTCTCCCCAGACAATACTTGTTGATGTTCAATGGCATCGTGCAGAGGTTCTTCTTGAGCCTCATCTTCTTCTTCCTCCTGTCAGTGGCTGACAGAACCTTCAAGCAGGTAATACACACTGTGTTGTTCTAGCAGGTAATACACACTGTGTTGTTCAAGCAGGTAATACACACTGTGTTGTTCAAGCAGGTAATACACACTTGTTGTTCAAGCAGGTAATATACACTGTGTTGTTCAAGCAGGTAATACACACTGTGTTGTTCAAGCAAGTAATACACTCTGTGTTGTTCAAGCATGTAATACACACTGTGTTGTTCAAGCAGGTAATACACACTGTGTGGTTCAAGCAGGTAATACACACTGTGTGGTTCAAGCAGGTAATACACACTGTGTGGTTCAAGCAGGTAATACACACTGTGTTGTTCAAGCAGGTAATACACACTGTGTTGTTCAAGCAGGTAATACACACTGTCTTATACAGTTACCATACATCCCATTAATTATTTGAACACACAGAGCTAATGCTTATGCCATAACCACCCAACTTGTTTATAAATAGGTACGCCATCACTACTAAACAAGGAATCCACTTCCTTTCCTTCATATAGATTTGTACAAGCCCACATAAGCACTAAACAAGGACTCCACTTCCCTTCCTTCATATAGATTTGTACAAGCCCACATAAGCACTAAACAAGGACTCCACTTCCTTTCCTTCATATAGATTTGTACAAGCCCACATAAGGATGATTATCGATGAATATGTTTTTGATACAATTCCAGACAACTCCAGTGTTCTGTTTTAAGATTAATTAATTTCTTCCTCCCCCCCCCCTCCCCCAGCGTTTGCTGTACGCCAAACACTTCAGTTATCTAACTTCATCAAGGAGAGCTCGCAAGTTCTCGATGCCTCACTTCCGGCTGAATAAAGTCAGGAACATCAAAATTTGGCTGTCACTTCGATCTTACCTAAAGGTAGGCCCACGACATCAATGTCACATTGTGTGTACTGGAAGTTAGGCCCACGACATCAATGTCACATCATTTGTACTGGAAGATAGGCCATTGACATCAGTGTCACAAAATTAGTATTTAAATATAGGTCAATGAGGTCAATGTCAAAACATTAGTATTTGAATATAGGCCATTGACATCAATGTCACAACATTAGTATTTGAATATAGGTCAATGATGTCAATGTCATAACCTTAGTATTTGAAGATAGGTCCATTATGTCAATGTCACAACATAAAATTGCTTATAGATAGGTCTATGACATCCATGTTAGATCATAGCATTGCATATAAAAAGGTCCATGACATCATTGTAACATCATACCATTGCTTATATATATATATATATATATATATATAAATGACATTAAAGTCACAAAAATTGCTTATAGGTAAATGACATCGATCTCACATAATAACATTGCTTATAGATAGGTGACTGACATCAAGGTTCCCAGTAGACTTTGTGTTTTAAAATGATTTATTTCTTGGGGGGAGGGGTGGTTGCTTACACTGTCACACAAGGGTAGGGCATTTTCTTGACCACCTGGGAGCAGGCATTTTTTAATTAGACCATAGTCATGGGATAATATTTTTTTTTTAATTATAAAGGATTTTCTTGTCTATCATCTGACACATTTATTCATTGTTTTATTTCATATTTTTTTGTGTACCGTACATGAATGGTTGAAACACTTTTTTTTTCTCTTTTTTTTCTTTTTTTTTCTTTTTGTACATATTATGTGTTAATGGTTGGCTCAAAGCAGTTAAAATTCAGTCTGATTGGATGTATCGAAACTGTTAAAATTCAATCATATTGGATGGAACAAAGCAGTTAAAATTCAGCCTTAATGGATGGATCAAAGCAGTTAACCCTTTACGGGGCAGAGCGGCCGAAAACGTCTTTACCACTTAAAGGGCAAAACGCCCACAAGCGTCCGTGACGACTTAGTGTTGTTTTCTCGTGACCTCCGAGGCTTTCCGAGACTCCTATTGTTTACTTCCGTTTTTTTATGATAGCTAAATAGAGTCGGCGCTAGTTACAAGTATTTAATCAATTTTTTTTTTAGTTTTAGTGGGTTTACAAAATTTTTTTTTCGAAATGGATTTTGCCGATTATTCAAGTGATAGCGGAGATTTCGCTGGATTCAATTAAAGTGACATTTAAGTGCACGAATTGACTGTAAATTGGAACTAGATGTTTATATTATTAGTAATAGTAGTGAAATCAGCTTAGTAAGCAGTGTTGAATTTTACAAACTTGGATTTTGTGGCAGTGTTTGTAAATAGTAAATAGATGACTCACAATCACAAACAATATGTTTTTGCAAATATTTGTGCCCATACGAGGATTAATGGCAAAATGTGAGTACACTCATCAACCTGCATTCATTTTCCTTGATTTTGATTTTGATTTCACACAAATTTGTTGACTGAAACCTTAGATTTGATTTTTTGTGTAACGTAACCCGTAAATTTTATTAAAAAACAGAAAAGTGGTGCCCGTTCAGGACATGCAAGAGGAAGTACCTCTGCCCTGTAAAGGGTTAAATGTCAGTTTTATTGGATGTATCGAAACTGATAAAATTCAATCATATTGGATGGAACAAAGCAGTTTAAATTCAGTATTGATGGATGGATCAAAGCAGTTAAGTCAGTCTATTTCAGTTATCAAAATCAAGTACAGGAAATACATTATCAAGTTTTCTCTCTGTTTTGTATTTAATCGATTTTTGTTGTTGTTTCTTTCAGCGACGAGGTCCCCAACGGTCAGTTGATGTCATTGTTTCAGCCTGTTTCCTGTGTGCCATTTGTACAGTGTGTCTCATTTCTCTACAGGTCAGTGTAACTTTGTACTGTGTCCCATTTCTTGTACAGGTAACCTGATTTCTTGATAGGTGAGTTGAAATAATATGTGTACTGGTGAGTTTGACTGAAACTGAGGTTTCCAAATGTTTACACAACTCTGATGTCATGGACATTTAGTTGACATGTAGGTTACAATGACACAACTCTTTGAACTTGTTTGTTGAACTTGTTTGTTGAACTTGTTTGTTGAACTTGTTTGTTGAACCTGTTTGTTGAACCTGTTTTTTGTTGAACTTGTTTGTTAAACCTATTTGTTAAACCTGTTTGTTCGTTGAACCTGTTTGTTGAACTTGTTTGTTGAACCTGTTTGTCAAACTTGTTTGTTTGTTGAGTCTGTTTGTTGAAATTTCTTGTTGAACTTGTTTGTTGAACCTGTTGACAGATGTTGAAGGATACAGAGAGCTATCTGGATTATCTGTGCAACTGGGAGCTGATGGTCTGGTGTATTTCTCTTGGAGTTTTCCTCATGCGCTTCATGACGGTTGGTCTGAAGATCAACAAGAAGTACAGGAACCTGTCGGTGCTGATCACTGAACAGATCAACCTGTACCTGCAGATGGAACAGAAACCTCACAAGAAGGAAGAGTTGATACTTGCCAACAATGTGCTCCGATTGGCTGAGGATCTCTTGAAGGTAGCTCTCAGTTCTTGACCCTTTTTAAACCAAAGTTATACATTTCTTATAAATGTGGATCATATCTGGCATGACCCATGCTCTAACTGGCTGCTAAAATTTGGTCACGACCCCTGCTCTTACTGGCTGGGCCAATGGGGTCATGATCCCTGCTCTAACTGGCTGGACCAATGGGGGCATGACCCCTGCTCTAACTGGCTGGACCAATGGGTCATAGCCTCTGCTCTAACTGAACTAATGGGATCATGACCTCACCTGACTTGATAAATATTATATTTATTGAGTCCCTCCTATAGCTTTGTAGGCCATGGTATGCCATATTTATGTATAGTTGAGTTAATAAAATTCAATATCCATGTCCATAATTTAGTCCATAAAATGTTCACTTGTGTACATGTTCACTTGTGTCCGTGTCAACCCACAGGAACTGGAAAGTCCTTTCAAGATTTCTGGCTTCTCTGCCAACCCACTCATCTACAACATCATGCGAGTGGTTGTGTTGTCAGCATTCTCGGCAGTGCTGACAGAAGTCCTGGGATTCAAGCTCAAACTACACAAGATTAAGCTTAAAGGGTGACCCGGCTTCAGTCCAGATGATTTGATGAAAAGTCCACCTACTGGACGTGGCCGGTGTGTCAGCCATGTAGCCACCATGCCACTGGAGGTGGATTGCTTGGTACCAAACAACCAAAGATCTGCACATGCTTTGGGAGTGGAGTCCTTGCTGTCCAGTTGCCTTAGAAAGTGTCTGTGGAGACTTGATCTAGTTGATAATCATTTGTCGGTTGTCCCAGTTAGTCTAGAGCCCTTAACATATTGGCGCTCATTGCGGACCTTAGCCACCCCGACCTAGTAGAGGGAGACATGCGTTTTTCTCCCAGAGTTCCCCCTCATGTTAAGCATTGCTCCTTCCTGCCGTCTAGGTGATGCCCCATTGCTCAGATTAGCTGTGGCCTTTGTCCAGGGGAAGCTTTAATCTCCAATCCAAAGCCATTAGATGGAATATAGTTTTGTCCCATCCATGATCTGGAACAAGGTCATTTTTTTTAAATACCTGGTTTTATCTCAATGCCTCACATGTTTTTTTAAATCATTTTTTAATTGTTTGAAAACTGCCATCCCATTGTTTTCAATTTCTTATGGAGTTCAACAATTTTTTAAGCATTCATTTTTTAAATCTCTTTTAATCATATCTTAAATAATTCAGGACTGATATAAAAAATATTTTACATTTCTTAAGGTACATTTTATTGTTCACTTGATATCTCTACGTTTATTTAACTTTTTTAATTTGTTGCTGCTACGTGATTGGAGCAAGCTTTAACAATCATCTAAATAAGTTCATCAGACAGATGAAATATGATTCTTTGAGTTTCGGAAATATAAAGTTATTTGGATTAATAGACATTTAAAAAAAATAATAATAAACTCATTAGTAAACGTTCTTTCCTTAACGCCTACTAAATTCACGAGTGCTTGATTTTTCACTCAATCCACTACTAGAACTTGCACTGCTACTAGTCTCAGATTTTATTATCTTTATCACTAGCGGGTAGCATGAGTATTGACAACAAAACTTTCATCAAGAAATAATTCCAATAAATTGGGCTTTTTTTTTGTAGGGCCAGCATCTGAGTTCTACAAGTGCTCTTGTTGTGCTGGGCCAGCATCTGAGTTCTACAAGTGCTCTTGTTGTGCTGGGCCAGCATCTGAGTTCTACAAGTGCTCTTGTTGTGCTGGGCCAGCATCTGAGTTCTACAAGTGCTCTTGTTGTGCTGGGCCAGCATCTGAGTTCTACAAGTGCTCTTGTTGTGCTGGGCCAGCATCTGAGTTCTACAAGTGCTCTTGTTGTGCTGGGCCAGCATCTGAGCTCTACAAGTGCTCTTGTTGTGCTGGGCCAGCATCTGAGTTCTACAAGTGCTCTTGTTGTGCTGGGCCAGCATCTGAGCTCTACAAGTGCTCTTGTTGTGCTGGGCCAGCATCTGAGTTCTACAAGTACTCTTGTTGTGCTGGGCCAGAATCTGAGTTCTACAAGTGCTCTTGTTGTGCTGGGCCAGCATCTGAGCTCTACAAGTGCTCTTGTTGTGCTGGGCCAGCATCTGAGTTCTACAAGTGCTCTTGTTGTACTGGGCCAGCATCTGAGCTCTACAAGTGCTCTTGTTGTGCTGGGCCAGCATCTGAGTTCTACAAGTGCTCTTGTTGTGCTGGGCCCCTGAAATTTCATCTAGATCCAAAATTAAAATTAAAATATGAACACTTGAATTATTTATTTTGTTTTCTATAAATAGGAAATAAATCTAATTTGTTTAGAGTTATACCCCTTTAAATTTTGCTTTCAATTTAATAATTTTAGTAAAGGCCTATTATATCGGTCATAATGCCACAGAAGCAGCCATAACGGCTGATGATCTGCCATTTTGACAGCTCTTGAGTAATTCCAAAAGTGGAAAACTCAAATTTTAAGAATTTCTAAACATATCCTCATAATTTATACAGTGTATTTGATTGAGCCACAGCTAAAATGAGGCGCTTGACCTTGTTGTTTGTTAATATTCTCCGCTCATTAAATAATGCTACAATCCAACTTCAGTTGATATAATTAAAGGTTCAATACTATACACAATGCACAGCGCTGCTTTCAGTTTTAAGCAAGGGACTTTTAATCAAAATAGGAACGTCATTCTCTTTTTTTTATTTTTAACATATTTTCATTAATGACTATTTTATTGAACAGGAACTCAATGTCTCTCTATGTTTAACTATGTTTGTGTGTGTAAATACAAGCAGGTTGTGAGAGCAGCAACTGTCACGCCTAATTTTATCAGAGCAACTGTCACACCTAATTTTATCAGAGCAGCTGTCACGCCTCATTTTATCAGAGCAACTGTCACTGCTGATTTGATCAGAGCAACTGTCACGCCTAATTTGATCAGAGCAGCTGTCACGCCTCATTTTATTAGAGCAACTGTCACTGCTGATTTGATCAGAGCAACTGTCACGCCTAATTTGATCAGAGCAGCTGTCCCGCTAATGTGATCAGATCAATTCTTCCACCCAATGTTGTAAGAGCAACCACCACACAATGTCTTGAGAGCACTTGTCACAAATGCTCCATAGTTATAGTTCAATGTTCTAGTTTTGTAATTTATTTCTTTTGTCGTGAGGTTCAGTCAATGATTTTTATAATATAATATCAGCATTTGTCCATCAGGCGTTTGTCCGAGTATCCATTGCCCATTGAGTATCCATTGCCCATTGAGTATCGATAGTCCATTGAGTTTCAATTGTCCATTGAGTATCAATTGTCCATTGAGTATCAATTCTTTATTCTAACTCTCTAACCAGTTGTCCAAATTGTCAGTATCTTAATGACAGCATGAGACATCCAGTTATTTATTGTAACGAGTGTCATTGCTCTCAACTTTGTACCCAGTCAGACACTCCTCCGTGGTGGCTGTTTGCTACAGCCCTTTAAGCTGTCCAGTCGGTCACTGATGGCGGCATGGTTTGCTACAACCCTTTGAGCTGTCTCGTCAGTCACTCCATGGCGGCATGGTTTGCTACAATCCTTTAAGCTATCACAATCTGTGGCACAATAAAAGATGACTAACTCTACAGTACAACTTTTGTGTTTTGATTCATTCTCTTTAATATTGATTCAATTTGCCACAGTTTAAGGCTATCTTTTTGTTGAGTTGAACAGTTCTTATTTTCTGAAAGCTATGCTGTTCAGATTCATGTTCAATTCATGTTCAGTTCATTTTCAGTTCGTGTTTAGTTCATGTTCATTGCTTCAATCTTGTCAGTGAAGATTTTTTTTTTTTAATGGTTTGATCTTGACATTGGCTTACAATAGTTCAGTAGATTTGTTGACTATTAGCACTGAGAACCAAAACAATGGTCATTGCAATAGCAGATCTCATCCCAAAGATGTTTGGTCAATCAGTGGTGAAACATCTCAGGACAAACATGTTGGTCAATCAATGGTGAAACATCTCAGCACAAACATGTTTGGTCAATCAATGGTTAAACATCTCAGCACAAACATGTTTGGTCAATCAATGGTGAAACATCTCAGCACAAACATGTTTGGTCAATCAATGGTGAAACATCTCAGCACAAACATGTTTGGTCAATCAATGGTTAAACATCTCAGCACAAACATGTTTGGTCAATCAATGGTGAAACAATTTGAAGGTTTTAACCAATAATAACCAAGTTACCTTTTTATTTGTAGATTGCTGCATTCTATGGACACAAATATGTTCATATCCATTTCACTTCTTGTGTTTAATGATAATGTTCAAATGTATTATAAAAAAATAATATATTAAGTTCATGAAGCTAATGACATTTTACTCAGTGTACAGAGGGAGAGAATAGAGAAATACATTTGGTAATTTTGAGAATTTGTATTAGTGTGCCCTATGAACCAAGCTTTTATTGAGGAAATCTTATCCAGTTGGAGTGAAGGATCCGTCGACTGTAAAGACAGATGTATGATTTTTGTGTGTGTGTGTTTACATCTTAGGCCTTTACTATTACCTTGAGGCCCAAAACCCATATACCTAGGCCTTCATGGGATACACTATCCTATACACATGTACCTTAGACACATTTCTATAGGCCTTATATGGAATTCACTATCCTATACACATGTAGCTTAGACACATTTCTATAGGCCTTCATGGGATACACTAATCCTATATGCACATAGCTTAGACACATCTCTATAGGCTTCATGGGATACACTATCCTATACACACCTAGCTTGGACACATTTCTATAGGCCTCCAATGAGAATCTTGTTTACATTTAGATCTCTATATTGTTGGTCATGTTAACAGAAAATCCAATTTGCTGTCTCTAGGGCATTTTTAAATAACATGACAAAATGTTGACCGGATTGCTATCCTAAAATCTATCCATATGTTACCAGAGGTTTATTTTTTGATGTGAGTTTTGTCCTAAAATGTTTACCTTATGTTACCAGAGGTTTATTTTTTGATGTGAGTTTTGTCCTTAAATGTTTACCTTATGTAACCAGAGGTTTATTTTTTGATGTGAGTTTTGTCCTAAAATGTTTACCTTATGTTACCAGAGGTTTATTTTTGATGTGATTTTTGTCCTAAAATGTTTACCATATGTTACCAGAGGTTTATTTTTGATGTGAGTTTTGTCCTTAACTGTATACCCTATGTTTATATTAAGTGTGAATCTTAAAATACGAACCCTTATAATTATAATTATGTTATAATTATGTTCTTAATTCATGGCCTTTTAATTAAATTATTGATATTGTCCCAAAATGTGATGGTGATATTATCCTGACATGTGATGGTAATAATGTCCTGAAATGTGATGGTATCCTAACAGAAAAATTTGGCATTAGATGAAATGCATTGTCAGGACACTCGTCTCAGACTGGACAACGTTAACTCATTCCTGACATTTGCGACTGAATGTGTCATTTGGAGGCTTTATTTAAAAATAGCATCAAAATCTCGCAACCCTCGAGACTTCTGGTGATGGCGTAATTCTGAGTGATTTCATTTTAAAAACGGGAAGCTTTTATCTTGTTTCACTTTCACTCTTTATGCTTAAGTATGTTCATCAGAGGTGACAAAATAGATTTTTTGGTCAAAGCTCATTTGATCCCTGTTAATGATATATTTTTATAAAACTGAATTAATTTCTGGATGGATTATCTATTGTTCATTAATAGTAATAAATATTTGGCAGTTTAAAAAAAAAAAAATTAAAAAAAGTAAATCAATTGCAAAACAGAGTCACTTCCCTTTCTAAGGGATATCAATTAAATACCACAGCAGCACTGCCGTCAGGAATGAGTTAATGTTATATTTTTTCTAAAAATCCATTTTTCAGTGATTACATTATGTACTGATTGAAATGTCCTAGAGATTATTGTGTAACGTAAAGAATATATCTAAGTGTATCTCATTGATATATCTCAAATGTTAAATAAAAAGTTGAATTAAATCTGTCATGCTATATTTTGATCTATTGAAACATTTAAAACAAAGATCAAATCACTAAATTGTCATGGACGAGAAGGTGTGAAGACTTGTTTGATTTGATTTTTCAAGATAACTTGATTTTATAAGCACTAAATGACAGTTCCTGCTTGTTTAATCTAGAAGGAATGTTTTATGATTGTGTATTAAAGACATGTTTTGCTTGTTTAATCTAGAAGGAATGTTTTATGATTGTGTATTAAAGACACGTTTTGCTTGTTTAATCTAGAAAGGTATGTTTTATGATTGTGTATTAAAGACATGTTTTGGTTGTTAAATCTAGAAGGTATGTTTTATGATTGTGTATTAAAGACATGTTTTGGTTGTTAAATCTAGAAGGTATGTTTTATGATTGTGTATTAAAGACATGTTTTGGTTGTTAAATCTAGAAGGTATGTTTTATGATTGTGTATTAAAGACATGTTTTGGTTGTTAAATCTAGAAGGTATGTTTTATGATTGTGTATTAAAGACATGTTTTGGTTGTTCAATCTAGAATGTATGTTTTATGATTGTGTATTAAAGACATGTTTTGGTTATTAAATCTAGAAGGTGATTGTGTATTAAAGAAATGTTTTGTTTTTTTTAGTCTGGAAGGTATGCTCTGTAACTGGGTGTTTATTGAACCCATTCTAGTAAATTGTTTTCATCGTCATGCCAGAAATTTTTTTTTAAGCTTCTTTGTCAATTTTCCCAAGTCCTGTGTTGTGTGGGTAAAATTTTGTTGGTCCTTAAAGTTGTATTCGGGCAGCCATAAAGTTGTATCCGGTCAGCCATAAAGTCGTATTCAGTCAGCAACAAATTTCTGGTTTTATCAGTATTTGGTCTCTGCTAGGCTAGAGATAATTTCAATAATAAGACTGCAGGTGATCTATGAATGGTACATGTTCTATAAACAGAATGTTCTTTCTTAGTTGACCTACCATTTGATATTGGAACCCCTGTCAAGCATCAGTCCACACACAATCTAGGAGTGTTGCCTTATGTCACACTGTCTAATTTGCAGAGTTCAGAGACTTCATTGAGCAATCAAGAGAAAAAAAATTCTGTTACAAAGACAAGTCATAGATTTATCTTAGTGTGCATGATTTCTGTCACAAAGAAGTCCTAGATTTATCTTAGTGTACATGATTTATGTCACAAACACAAGTCATAGATTTATCTTTCTTAGTGTACATGAATCTTTTGCAACATAATTTTTCTGTCACATAATCAAATCATACTATTGTAATTTATTTTTATTTTATTTTTTTGAAGAAAAGTTTGAGTGAAAGTAACCCATCTATTGAAGTGGGAATTAAGCAAGTTTGAGCAAATTAGGCCATCTATTAAAGTAGGAAGTTATAGTTGTATTTATGTTGTCAAAGTTTGTTGTATAATTATGTTTAATACTCATTGATGTTACCAACGGGATTTAGTCATAGAAGGGAGATAATCATGTCTAGTCTAGTCGGAGCAAGTCCAGGTAACAATGTCAATTTTTTGTGCAACTTGCTGCCCTTGATTTGTCCTGGTACAAACAAACAAGGTTGAAATGTTTAGTGCCCAGGATACAGTCGGAGCTTTCTGTTAGCTCTGACAAAATGTTTAGTGCTCTGTCCCCAGGATACAGTCGGAGCTTTCTGTTAGCTCTGACAAAATGTTTAGTGCTCTCTCCCCAGGATATAGTCTGAGCTTTGTTAGCTCTGACCAAATGTTTATCCCTGTTGTAAGGGTAACTGACCAGTAGCTAAGTCTGCTTAATTAGTTGTGTCTATGTAACATTAGTTGAAACAATCTAAATTGTGAAACAACCTAAATTGTGAAACAACTTTAAGACTAATAATGTATACATATATTTAATGACCTGTCACTTTCTCATATAGTTCAGACTTGCGACTGGTTGAAATAGAAATACTAATCATGTTTTTTTTTTATATACCATCATTTTTAAAATTGATTTTAATCAACTCCCTAATTACAGCCGAGCAACACACTTATACCTAACTGGGCAATGTCCAACACTCCTATACCCAGCTGGGAAATATTCCTATACTCAACTGGGCAGTGTCCAACACCTCTATAGCCAGCTGGATAATGTCCAACATCCCTATGCCCTTTTGGACAATGTCCCAGGCCCTAATATCAGATGGCTTTTCACCCTAATAAAGCAGAGTTCACCTATTGAAAGTCTTGCTGTAAATCTGTTATGTACTTTCCAGAAATAGCTCAGGATGTACATTGTTCCATGTTACACCACCATGTGGTTTGTCATATTTAGCTCCTTGTTACACAATGTTGTGTGTCATTCAGCTCCATGTTACACCACCATGTGGTTTGTCATATTCAGCTCCATGTTACACCACAATGTTGTGTGTCATTCAGCTCCATGTTATAACACAATGTGGTTTGTCATATTCAGCTCCATGTTACACGACAATGTTGTGTGTCATTCAGCTCCATGTGACAGCCCACAATGGCATGTCCAAGTACCATTTGATGTTGTCCCATCTGCTGTAGATGTTTTAGATGTTGTAATTTAATGTAATGTACTGGGTGCGTTGATGGTAGGACAAGCACTGGCTTCCCTTGCTAGAGTGCATGGAGAGTTGTGCCCTGTGATGGCCTCTGGCAAGTAGTCTCCCTTGTGTGCGTTTGAAGCATTTCCCACAGTGGTGTCCCCCCTGTTACCATGCTATGATTGTTTTAGATTTTGTACTGAGAAATAAATCTATGAAGTCTTGAAACTGTGTAGTTTTGTTTGTTCAATTTCTGTTGTCTCATTAATTTTTGTTGTCACATACCAGTAGCAATTCATCCATCTGTCCGGTAGCCATGGATGCATCAGACCGGTAGCAATTCATCCATCTGTCCGGTAGCAATGGATGCATCAGACCGGTAGCAATTCATCCATCTGTCCGGTAGCAATGGATGCATCAGACCGGTAGCAATTCATCCATCTGTCCGGTAGCAATGGATGCATCAGACCGGTAGCAATTCATCCATCTGCAGGTATCAAAGCAAAAACAATTTTTGTTTCCCATTGGTATTTGACCAAAACTTTAAAGTGAAGTCATCACAGTTGGGACACTTCTGACCAAAACTTTAAAGTGAAGTCATCACAGTTGGGACACTTCTGACCAAAACTTTAAAGTGAAGTCATCACAGTTGGGACACTTCTGACCAGAACTTTAAAGTGATGTCATCACAGTTTGGACACTTCTGCCCAGAACTTTAAAGTGAAGTCATCACAGTTGGGACACTTCTGACCAACACTTTAAAGTGATGTCATTAAAGTTTGGACACGTGAGATGTTCAGGTTGTGCAATGCCAGAAGTGTAGGAACGGTGCCACCCCCCGGGAGATTTTAGTTTATCAAGGGGTGTCATTTTCGGCCGTGTGCAGAGATATATCTTGAAAGGGATGCATGCAAAGTCTTAACCCAACCTTGGCGACAATTACCCGACGTATGCATTGCTGTGACCAGGATCAGCTCGAACTTACCCTAGCTATGCATTGCTGTGACCAGGAATTCCACCCTTCATCCAACATAAACTCTATAACTCCACCCCTTCATCCAACATAAACTCTATAGCTCCACCCCTTCATCCAACATAAACTCTATAACTCCACCCCTTCATCCAACATAAACTCTATAACTCCACCCTTTCATCCAACATAAACTCAATAACTCCACCCTTTCATCCAACATAACTATAACTCCACCCCTTCATCCAACATAAACTTTATAACTCCACCCCTTCATCCAACATAAACTTTATAACTCCACCCCTTCATCCAACATTTAAAAAATCCTTTTAGCTGTGGATATGCTTGTGGCCCCAGTTAATTTTCACTCCTGGATTCTATCTAGCCCAACTCTATACTTTTGTGGGTATGCTTGTGGCCCCTATTAAGTTTTACCCCTGGATTCTATACAGCCCAACTCTATACTTTTGTGGGTATGCTAGTGGCCCTAGTTGACTTGCAGTTACTGCCCCTATCTCCCCTCTGTGATTTGAATCTGATTGGCTACGTTGCTGCAACCAAGTCCTGGCAGACGTGCAACGGTTTGAGAAACGATGCGGCTATTCTAACCGCTCCTACCGGGGGCCAGGGCATGACCCACTAGAATACTAGTTCTCGTAGGTTGTGGTCAGGACAGCCTTGAAACTCTCGATTTATTTCGAGTACAGGGCGGCATTGTCCAGTTGGTTCCAAGCAATTATGGTTCGTGGGAATAATGATCGTTTACACACTGGTTGCAAACAATACATTAAAAACGAAAAGTAATAATGCGACTTAAAATTAATTGGGAGCAGCCTTTTTATGGAACAATGTGGTATTTCTGTAATTAGATTTGTCTCAAATATCCGCCGCATCAAATGTATATATATATATATAATATATATATATATATATATATATATATATATATANATATATATATATATATATATATATATATATATATATATATATATATATATATAATGTAATTAAAGCACAAACATTTTTTTTTACTTTGAGTGGCATTGCAACGCATCCCGGGTTCTCGCTAGTATATCAGAATGAGCTATAATGACATAACGCCAAAGAACCGATACGATTTAAGTACGTTTGGATTCCTAAAAACAATCATAGTTATTTTCTATTATTTTACGGACATCGAATAGATTTAAATGCGCAAAAACTATTTTAAATACGCTTTTATTTTAGTAAATTTTAAGTATTATTAATATAAATTACAAATACATTTAAAGTATCAAATAAGGAACTATTTTAAGCATTTTATGTGAATGTAAAATTTATTAAAAATATTATTAATTAAAATATTAGGTTCTAAGAATTGAATCTTAATAACATTTATTGGGAACACCCAAACATCTGTTAATCTTGGTGCGTATTTTAGTTCGTTCTTAATATTGCGAAATAAAAATAAAATTTATTTGATCTAAATAATTAAGCAAATGACGTCATCGCGTGATTGCCTATTTTAGAAACAGCTCTAAGTTTTTTTTAATTTTATAACAGTGCGTAACAAATTCATTATATATTTTCCCCTTCTTAAAAGTAAAATTAATAAAAAATAATAGATTGCTTTTTAAATTGTTAAAATTTTCTAAAATTAAAGACAAGTTTAGCTTTGTATTTTTAACATTTAATAATTTTTTTAATTTGTTTATTCTTTCTAAAAAAACAACAACAACTTTTAAGAAAGTTATAAAGTAGTAAAAAAAACTTAACCTTTACATGTAGGCCTACTTTTAATACGAAAATGCCGTTTAAGTCAATCAGTGCAGCGCAATTCTATGGCCAAATAGCATTCACTAATCCACTTATACCTCATAAAAATAAGATCGAACC